GTTACTTTATTCATGTAATTTAATTAGCAGCTATTTTCTAGGTTACTATTTTCTTACAATTCAATTGTAATGATAACAATTTGTATATTTTTCAATTTATTTAAGTTTTAATTCCCCCTGTTTAATTTTTTTTTAACTTTTCATCTTCTTCATCATTTAATTTTTTATGATTTTAAATTTTATTATAAACTTTTAAAATGAAGATATTCTTTATAAATTAAACTAAAATAAGAAAAAATAATTTTTATGAATTACTTGTAAAACAAAAATAAAGTATGACTCATGTATCATTAGACTTATTTTATTATTTAGGTTATAATCTTAACTCATATAAAAATGATAAATAATTATTAAACATAATTAAATATATTTTTAATTAAATTTCTAGAGAAGCAAGTGAAATTCATTAATTTTTAATAAAATGTAAAAATCACACAAAAAAACATTTGGTAATTGAAAGGGGAAAAGACCCAAAAGAAAACATAAATGAACCTAATGACCTACCAAGACCCGAGCCCTCCCAACAGATGAAATATTAGCTAAGTGCAACAACTGAATTCCCATAGGAGGTGTCCGACAAATAATAGCATTTACATCTCCCAATTATATAAGATGAAATTTGCCATCTAGTCAGCACACAAGTTTCCCTCTCTATATGTATGTGAATCTTAACCCTTCAATCTTTTTGTAACGATGTTCGTATCCGGGAGATCATATGCCCCTCGTGGACTGCTGCACCAGATGAGGTGAGCACAATGATTGCACTTGTTGAATCACTTTCAAGTTCAATAAGACGAAAACCTTCACGCTAAGCAAATTCCATGCCCCTAAGAATGCCCCACAACTCAGCTTTATAGGAAGAACACGAGCCAAGCTTATAAGCAAACCCACTCAGCCAATTACCATTTGAGTTGCAAATCACCCCACCACAAGCTGCTGGTCTTGGATTACCAGACAATATTGATAAACACTGATCATCTGCCCAACCGATGACAATCAGGAGTGGTAAATGCTTCAATAACCTGTCTAACAAGATTGCTGATACTACACACTTTAATGTCCATATTCAGAAGTTGGGATCCATGATGAACCTCATTCCACCACTGCCAAGTCTTTCAGCAAGTTAAAAGAAAACAGACTTCCAGTTGTTGGGCACATTCAATCCAGTCCACCCCTTAATATTAGATTGAAGCCATTGCTCTAAATTAACATAAAAAACCCAGCTATGACAGAAGACGGAACCAGTTTGCACCACACCATTTTTACCTCATGACAACCGCGCAAGGCATGAATGATAGACTCACTTTCTGACCTGCAAATTGGGCATAAATTAGCCGCTTCACTCGATTTGGCAATTTTATCCATCGCAAGCAGTCTCTCATGCAACACCTTCCACATCAAAAATTTTACCTTTCGGGGTCTACTCTAACTCCACAACATGTGCCAAATGAAAGACTCTCTCTCATCCTTGCCACTACTTCCACTTAACAAATAATAAATTTTCTTAACCATTACAACTTCATTACTTCCTAGCCTCCACATCCTCCTATCCGAACTATTTTCTTGGCAAGGGGGTAAAATACCTTGAAGCAGATTAATTGCATTAGGAATTATATATTGCTCCAACAATTCCAAATCCCAATCACTAGCTTACGTCAACATGTCAGCCACCTCATTATTAAGCTCGATGTTTGTTACACTGGGCAGAATCACTTCTTGAAGTGTTGCACCATAGTCAGGCCACTTGTCACACCAAAAACTAAGGTTCTTCCCATCATCGAGATTCCAGCCCAAAGATCCTTCCAAACTTGTCCACATTTAACATATATTTCTCCTTAAATTTGAGTCTTCACTCCTAACCTCAAAAGGTCAGTTTCCTCTATTTGCATATACATACTTAGCCTTAAGGACTTGCACCCAAAGGTTACCATTATCCGAGAACACCTCCCACGCCTTCTTGGCAACAAATGTATCATTCATGATTTCAAGCTTCTTAAGACCCCGTCCCCAACATTTTTAGACTGCATGACAGTATTCAAGTTGATCAGGTGATGTCTACGAGCTCCAGCATGATCACCCCAAATGAAATCCCTTTGAATTTTCTCAATCTCCATGCACACCGACGAAGGGATTTTATAACTCTGCATCTGGAAGTAAGGTACAGCTGCCATAACAGAATGAGCCAACATGATGCAACCTACTTGGGATAAATAATTCTGATACCAATTACTTAACTTGGATTTAACCTTTTCAACAATGCTTGCATAAAGGTCTTTCGATGCCCTCTAATGCTACATTTTAGAAACGAGGTATCGACCTATATTTCTATTCCTCTTGAAGCCACTTCTGTGCACAATCCTATCAATTAAATCTTCCCTAGTATTTTTCAACAAAAATATGGAAGTTTTCTCCACACTCAATTTCTGACCAGAGGCTTCTTCAAATAAGTTGAGGCACCTTAACAAAACATTCAACTGTTCCTCTGATGCCTCCATGAAAACCATAAGGTCATCCGCAAAAGTTAAATGAAATTTTTTTGGCCCTCATCTCCCAACTTGGATGGGCCTCCACAAACCACCATTAGTAGCTGTAGAGATAATATGAGATAAATTTTCCATGACAATAACAAATAAGCAAGGTGAAATAGGATCACCCTGACGGATCCCTATTGTGGGCTTGAATTCAGCCGTTTTCCTTCCATTCCACAACACATTAATCTTTGAAGATTCTACACATTTCATAACAAGACCGATGAAACGACCTGGAAAAGCAACTTCCTCAAGAGTCTGACGCAGAAAATTCTAGCTTAATCTATCATAAGCTTTAACAAGATCAATCTTAACAGCCATAAACATCTTTTTCCCCTTCATTTTATGCATTGAGTGACTTAATTCCTGGACAATAATTATGTTATCATAGATATGTCTATTTGGGACAAAGCTTGCTTGCCAAAGAGAAATGATATTTTCCATGGTTTTACACAATTTTTACATGAACAAATTAAAAGACTTTCTTATTTCATAATACAATAAAACTTATTTTATTTCCTCTATCTTCTTATAGATGTAATTTTTTATAAGTCAATTATACGCTCATTTGAATTAAATACACCTTAAAGGAAAAAAGATAATTTTTTAAAGAAAGTTGATTACTATATAATCAACATTAAACATTTATAAGAAAATGAAAGTTTCACTAAAATAAAATTACAAATCATCAATATTAATACAACTAATAAAACAATAAACCATTAAAATTAAAGGAAAGTTTTTAGATACCCACAAAAGTGAGGGTGGGTTTTCAAGAAGACTATGTTTGGTATCACATTTCAAGAAATTTACATGGGAATCCATTTTTGTGTGTAAATTATGAATGATGATGTTCTTAGATTGCTGGGAAAATAAAAAAAAGTAGGTGAAAAAGCTGACAAGAATCAAGAAACTTATCCAATATTTTCGATATTACTTTTTACCTACCAAACACTTTTTTGGTAATATTCTCGAAAAATTCACTTTCTCACCATATTCTCAGGAATCATGATTTTCTGATAAAAAAAAATTCTTATACCAAATGCCCTCTAAAAGAAACTTAACTCTGACGTGCCTCGATTTACTTCATATAATAACTTTAATCAAATTATAAAAAATATTCAAAAGAACAAATATTTATTTGACATAGTAATAAGAATTTTACATTAAATTATATTGTTATCGTAACTTAGGTAGCAAAGTGGGTGGGGCAGCCATCAATCTGCCAAAAAACGAGTTAGTCCGCCCAGCTTTTAAAATTGGGCTAAAAAACTCAACCTTTTCTATCCCGTAGAGCAGATTGATTTGCCGAACCGAATCTATTTTACTGAATGTGAAGATACCGTACAAAATATTAAGAGAATTTCTCAAAGAGTTAAATTATGAGAATTCAATAAACCTTTTGAATTTTTGGTACGTAAACCAAATGAATTTAATAAAAGAATAATGCTATTGCTGTGTGTATTAAATATAAATTTCTACCCAACACACTTGAATTTATTAGTTTTCTCCTCTATTTGCGAAGGCTGGCATGGACAACATGGCGATGCCAATTGCCAAGGTTATCCACAAGATAACGAATGCTCGACCACACCTGATCCTGACTGCACCGAATATCCTTTTTTGTTTTTTTGGCACAAAACTAAACCTAACTGTAACCAAGTTGCAATGCACGACCGTTAGGAATTCCGTCACCGTCAATGATGATCCCCACCCCAAATCATGGATACCCCAATCAGCAGAGGACGCGTAAATCTTCAGCGTAGCTGGCGACATGATATTTTCGCTTCAGCAGAATATGTGGATTCCTTCACCCGCCATTTCCTCTTTCTCTTTTTGTTACAAACTCCCTATCATACTTTTATGGATTTGGTATTTGGCAATTATGCTTCTGATGGTGCAGCAGATACATATTTATTAAGATATAAATTTTGGTATTTAAAAACAAAATCAATGAATTCTGCTTTATTGTGTCTGTTGTAAAATTTTATTTTGTTCATCAATTATAGAAAAAACGAACCCTTGGTATTTATACTAAAGTGAAGCATTTACTAATTGGTTTTCTTATAATAAATATTAAAAACTTACTTAATATGAACATTAAACGTAAGGAATAAAAAAAAAATACGAATATATACCTCTTTTTATTTCATTTTTCCACAGCAACTGACCAAGGTAAGAATTTTCTTACTTTAATTTTTCTTTTTTCTTTTTATAATTATAATTTTTAATTTTATAACACAAAACGATATCGTGTTGATACTAAAGTTGAGCATTGACTAATTGGTTTTCTTATAATAAATAGAGAAATAAATATTTAAAACTTACTTAATATGAATATTAAACGTAAGGAATAAAAAAATGAACTCGAATATATACCTCTTTTTATTTCATTTTCCCACAGCAGCTGACCAAGGTAAGAATTTTCTTACTTTAATTTTTCTGTCCTTTCAGCTTTTATTTATGCTGCTGCTTCTTTGCTTTAAATGGCAAGATAGCAAAACAGAGCGTGAAGGGGTGCACCTCCTCTATCTCTATATATAAGATTCCTCTCTATGTGCTCTTCGCGGACACAACACAAGCTTTCACTCCTCTCGGACCTCTTCTTTATGTGTCTTTTCGAGATCTGTGCTTAAACCTTCATTTGCTTTCCTTTATTCGGCAGAAGAACTTTACCTTGTGCTGGTGAGTCTCTCTGTTTTGCTGCTTTCACTCGTATTCGTAAATCGCCGCTTCATCAGTTTTTTAGCAATTGCCTGTTTTGGTTTTGTTCGTGAACTTGATCACTTCCCTTTCTCGCTCGCTTTCAGTGTATGCGACGTTATCAAACTTTTCGCAGGCACACTCATGCTAACGTTTCTGTAAACGGCACTTGCTTTAATTTTCTATGTTTTCTCTTGATCTAACAATTGCTCAGCTGATATCTTTACAAAACGCGTTGATTCGAATTGCTTAGATCTGTGGCGGTTTGTTTGACGGAGGGGGGTTTCTACGTTTTTTTTTCTCTCTCTCTATTTTCTGTTTCTTTTTGGTTAAAAACGTTTTGGAAACGGAGAAGGAAAATGTCATATGGATTGAATTTTTTTATAAAACCCTTTTTGGAGTTCTCGGTTCATTTGTCCGTGTTTTGTATATAAATAAGAGGCATGGCTAATGCTCTTTGGAGCTGATGTCTTTTCTTCACTGTCAAAAGTGTACACATCTAAAGGTGCCAGCTGCGATGATTGATATCGAGATGGATGCTGAAATTGTAAGTCGTAACTCGTAAGAACTATAACCATATCAAGTTTGTGATTTTGCTTTCCTAATAATGGGAAAGAAACAAAGGATATCTATATATATATTTATTCAGATTTTATATTTGTTAATTATATCTGAGTTCATGTGTCAACTGGTGCGATTATACTATTATGTTGTAATTATAATATTAGTTTTTGGATATATAGTGTGCTTTGGGTAATCCCACATAGGTTAAAAAAGAAATATTTTTCTATTTTTAGCTGTATAGTTGGCATTGAGGGATTATGTTCCAATATAATGACGCATCTCTGAATAAAAATTACTACATTATTTGATGATTATTTCAGGCTTCAGATATGGTTCCGCCCATTGAAACTCCAAACAATGTTCCTGTCTCTCATCATTCTTCACATCCTCCTCTTAATGAGAGGATTATTTCATCCATGACCAGGAGATCTGTTGCTGCACACCCTTGGCATGACCTTGAGATAGGTAAGCATCAAACAATATTTGGGGAAAATTGGTGACATTTTGTACTTCAATCTTAAACGTATCGTGCTTCCTCGTTTCTTTTCCTTAATTCGTTTGCCAAGCTAACTGTATTTTCTCCACAATGCAGGACCTGGAGCTCCAAAGATCTTCAATTGCGTAAGCATATATGACTACCCTTGCAGTTTGCATCCCTGAATACTAATATCTCATTAAATATCTTAAGGAAACCTAGGGTTACTAATGGTTAGAACCGGTGATCTTATTGGATAACCTAGAATATGTGAAGAATTTATCGTTAAGTAACAAAGAAAATGACCTCTACTCTGTTTGTTTGTTTTTTTTCTCCATTTTCCCTTAAATGCTAGTGAAGTGGTACTTACAAACTTTGCTGTCAAAGTCATACCTAATGAAACAATTTTTTCAACTTTTGATGCTTCTCTGGCAACGTATAAATTTGTATGTCAAGTTGGGGAGTTAAGTTGTAATATTGTTAATTTTTTCAACGGGTTTAAAATAATATTTTTTCCTAAGATTAGATTTGAGTAACTCTGTAACGCAAAGTACCTGATTACTGCAGGTGGTTGAGATTGGGAAAGGGAGCAAGGTAAAATATGAACTTGACAAGAAAACGGGACTTATTATGGTAATAGTGGTTGCTGAGTTATTTTCACGTCTACAGTTTGTTTGAAAGTCAGATTGCTGAACAATAATCTATTTATAGGTCGATCGTGTACTTTACTCGTCAGTGGTATATCCCCACAATTATGGGTTTATCCCACGTACTATTTGTGAGGACGGTGATCCCATGGATGTCTTGATTATTATGCAGGTATTTGTATTTGTATCCGTTCATATTATAAACTTTTCCTTATCAGTGTGCGTCGTGCATCTCTTGTTGGAAGCTTTCAAACTTAATTATGATATTTACGTTCCTACCATTGTCCACATCTCATGTGTCTTGCCAAGTAATCTTTATTAATTTTAAAATCCTTTTCAAGCCTTGGACTTTACCTTTATTACCAAGCAATGCACCGGTGATTCAAAATTTAACCAACTCAACGTGATATTAATATGCAAATGTAATTAATTTCACAATTTTAGCTGATGAATAGAGTCTACTAGTCGAACAATGCTTGGTGATCATCCTACAGTTATAGATCTTATCATCTTACTATTAGATGTTTCTTAATTTATGTTATATGCGTTTTACTCATACTTGGACAGGAGCCAGTTCTTCCAGGTTGCTTTCTTCGGGCCAAAGCAATTGGTCTCATGCCCATGATTGATCAGGTAAAATAGACATTCCCATTTCCCTCGTGGCAAGTGGCAACAACTCCGCTTTTGATTATAGAATATTGAGCACCATTAATTGTGATGAATACAGGGCGAGAAAGATGATAAAATAATTGCTGTCTGTGCTGATGATCCAGAGTATCGACATTATAATGATATCAAGGAGCTTCCTCCACATCGTCTAGCTGAAATTCGTCGTTTTTTTGAAGACTGTATCCTTCAGAAAATTCAAATTCTAATGTTTTGTTAACATATCTTTTTGTTAACATCTATAGACATGACGAAATATACTGGTCCTTTTAGTGCAACATATGAAATGAATTTCATATTTTTCCTTGACAAAGGATTTAGACAAGAAGAATGAGAACAAGGAAGTTGCAGTAGACGACTTTCTGCCTGCCTCAGCTGCTTTTGAAGCGATTAAACGCTCCATGTAAGCAACAGTCGTCTGATTTGAACGCACTTACCATTTGTTTACTTTACTCATTACTAATATGGAAACTAGATTGGTTCAAAAGTTTTGGATTGAATTGTTTAGTTCTATATAATTTCATATAATTTCCTATATTTTCTTTGAAATAGTAAATTTTCAAATTTAGTAGAAACTTTGTTTCTTTTTCAAATTTCAAATTCCCTAAGATTTTAGTAGTAATATTCTTTTCTACACATAAACAACTGTATTGAAGAACACTTTCCACATGTTAAAAACAATTTTTTTGCAGAATTTTTTTTTATTGAAATGTCCAATGTCAAATGGAAAATTGTTTGCACAGTTCAAATACAAATTCAATAGTTATTTACTCTTCGTCTCATTAAACGTGATTTGAATAACACCATCTTGCTTGCACAGCTTATGTCAGTGGCTGATATAACCTTTTTCTTTATCGTGAAGGAGCTTGTATGCGGACTACATAGTGGAGGGCCTAAGGCGTTGATGCACGCCGTGGATTTTGTTTGGTCGTCCTCATGATTGGAAAACATTCTTTTGAATGGCCACTTTCTTATTATTATCGATGATTATGATGAAAAAAAAAAAAAGATTATGATTTAGTCGCATGTGCGTCTCTCAAAGCATATTCTACGCACTTTGTGTTTAATTTCAAATGTTTTTTTCTCTGCACTGCTGGATGTTATTCAATACGTGTTTATAGCATATGCAATATGAATCCCTACAACCTGTGTGAATCAACAATTGTGGATACTGCAATTCGAAATTAGTGCATATACACAATAGAGATGATCATTAAAAGTAATCAAACAAGGCATGAGTAAAAATCGAATTAGGAATGAAAATCTGAGAGTAATGTAATCACTATTTTCTTAAGATGAATTGTCATTTTTACGGTGCCCGAGATTTTAGATAATTATCTTATTGGATAGAATGAATTATCTATCTATCGTCGGGACACTTTCACTATAAAATCCCCTTGAATGCAACAATATTTCCATGAAATCGCATAGGTAAGGTTCAGATATGCAGGGATAGAGAGGTATTTCGGAAAAGAACAAAAGTCCGTTTTCCTTGAACCATGATTTGATTTCAAAGAAATTGGATGCTCACGAATGACACTGTCAACTTGCCGGTGTCCATCAATAACAGCTCAAAGAGACACGGATGTTCATCAATCAATCGCAAATTTTAATTGGATTGAATCGGATTTCGGTTTGGTTGATGAAAACTGATCCAATATATTAATTCTCTTCTACTTACTTGGCTTTTTCCAATCATAGTCCAAAAATTCTAAACCCAAGACCCATTAACCCATCAACTAAATCCAAGAATAAACTTAGTCACATCCCATCAGCAAAATTTCATTTGTGTAAAGCCTCATTGCCCTAAAAAAATAATTATATTATCGTTTACTGATGTTTCTGTATTTAAAAAAAATAAATTACAAAGCCAATATATAGAAAAAGATATATTATTTGCACAATAATTATGAAACAAATTTTAGGCTTTTCAAAAAATTGAAAATCAATCCAATCCAAACCAAAAAAAATTGGATGAGATCGGATCGAATTTGAAAAAAAATCCAAACCAAATGGATGATTACATGATCAAACCGAAGGGATTAGATCGGATGATTTTTGCTTCCAAAATCGATCCAATCCAGACCGCGAACACCCTTACAAAGAGATGCGCCGGATAAGAAGAACGGTAAGTAAATTTGAGAATTTTTCAAGAAAATGGGCATTTGTGAAAAAAAAAAATATTTTTTTATATATATAAAGGATTTATCGTTTCTCCCATAAGAGATAAAGTTATCTCCATCAATTTTAAAAATCGTTTTGAGGAATTAATTAAAGGTATTTTGATAGAATTTATATAACAAAAAAATAAACAAAATTCCTACAATATCCTTCGTTAATTCCTCCAACTTTCAAAACAGCGTAATTTTGGGTTTAGAGGAGATGAAGTTATCTCTAGGAGAAATTTTTTCCCTTATATAAAAGATTGTTTCTTCGCGGCAGCAATTATTGCCGAGCCGCCCGACGTACCTGTGGTGGATCAAGGGTTTTGTAACATCTTAGGCATTGACGAGGACATGAAATAGATAGTCCTTTGGCATGTGGGTTGAACTGTATTAATAGTCAAAAATCTTAGTGCTTGGAGTCCAAACCTGCTAAGGTAGGAGGGTTGTGACGGTAGACTCTTGGCAGACTTCCAGCGGGAGAGGTAAATGAATAAATCGAATAACACCCGAATAAGAGATATTCAGAGTCTGTGCAAATATGAGACTGTATAGTTGAGGATGACATAAATGAATTAATATGTACTACCTATACTAACAAAATGCATCTAGTTTTTGATAGCCCATAACTTAAAACTTCATACTTAAGTGTGCTTAACTTAGAGCAATTCTGGGATGGGTGACCTCCTGAAAAGTTTTTCAGGAAGTGTGTGAGTTAGGACAAAGCATGCTGAAAAATCTTGTGTTAATTTGTGGGGACAGACTATGATCCTGCAAGTGGTCGGACGTTACAGGTTTCTTCAATCCTCTTCTTTTTATAAAAATAAGAAGTCTTCACGAACACACTACAAAGCTAGCCTTACAAGTTCTCTTCCAACTCCCTTTCCTAATCAGCATATTCCTTCAATCTCCTCCTTTCTTTTTCATTCTTTTTTATATACCGATCATAATTACCTCTTTGAGGTGAGTCAGTCCTCGGGTATACTATGAAACTAATCCCAAGTCAAGGTTTAGCCATAGTTAAAACTCATCGTCTTTTTCCAAAGATATATTTGGTAGGAATCAAACTCAGGTTCTCTTCCTACTCTACTTCGTCTGTGTTGCCAATTGAGCTACACTCATTAGGGTCCCCCCTCCCCCTTCTTAGCTTCTTATTCATAACACTTATTATCTTACGCAAAAAGGATTCTCTATCTATTAGAGATATTAGCAGAGATAAATAAAGGGATTTGATTAGTTGTAATTATGTATTAAATATAATTTATAAAGAGAGCAATAAATCATCTAATTTCTTTGATTGTGAATAAAATAATTTGACCCAATTATTATATTATTTATTATTTATATTGAAAGGAACCTCTTCATGGATCATTACTGGGAAGGGAGAAAATGCATCACAAGATATACGTCGCAACCAACAAACCACTATACTCACCGCGTGCCTTTTATATTCTCTATTTTATTTTTTACTAATACTATCCCTTATACCAAATTCAGTTAGATTTATATTCTCGTATTTTCTAATATTAGAATCAAGGAGTTTATATGTAAATATGTCTACATAGCAATCCAAAATTAAAATACGGTGAGACGAAGAGGAAATAGATGTGAGAGAAGAGAGAACTTGAGATAGAACCTGTTATCTTTCATTATTAACTTCGCTTTGATATATCCCTTTGTAACAAAAATAACAAACTATTACAGTTAACAATAATTAAAAATGATAATTAAAAAAAAATTGTAAATGCATGTTATATTGCATGACCCCGTGGAGAAAAAATTTTGTCCTCCAGGAGCACAAAAGTTCAGTAGTCTCTTTTTGTATTTTCGCAAGAAAAATTTACTTTATTTTTTTCTTTTATGTATATTTTCATCTCTATCTCACATTTTTAAAAGGGAAACACTAAGTTTTTGTACTTGCGGAGCACAAAAACTTTTCTCCACCCGTGCTTTTCTCTAATTGTCGCCTGTTAATCTTGCCCTTGAGCTGTCATTGTCCAAGATTGGAAGTGACCTCACTAATATTTAAGTGATCCCCGTTACGGATCTTAGTAGGAGGGAACAAAAATGTAAAAAGAATAAAAAGTTCACAAGCAAATATTTTTATTAGATGAGATATACTTAACAGGGTGTTTTTTTTATAGTTTTTAAAAATAGCCTGCCAACTATTGTAACACGCCCGGATTAAAAAAAAATGTTAGAATGGAATTTTTGTAATTAACTAAACAAACTTATCGGGCGTTTTATCGGAGCTCAAGATGAATATAGAGCACTGAAGGGAAAAATGCCTCGTTCTCATTACTCAAAAAATGGTGATTACAAAAAATGATTCAATTGTCTAACTATGAAGATGAAATATATATATATATATATATATATATATATATATATATATATATATATATGGGGCAACATCCTTTGACACCGGTGTCAAATTTTAAAATTTGACACCAAATCCTAACTGTTGATTTCCGCCAATAAACGTTTATCATTTATTGGAAATTAATGATTAATTAATAAGTGTAATTCCCAATAAATGATAACCGTTGATTGACGGAAATCAACAGTTAGGATTCGGTGTCAAATTTCAAAATTTGACACCGGTGTCAATGGATCCTATCTCTCTCTCTCTCTATATATATATATACATCTCCTAATGAAGAAGAATAACAAAATAACTAACTCCTCTAACAAACTAACTTCTTTCTACTAATCTGTTGTGATTGGTTGGAAGAAAAGATTCTTCATCTGACGTGGCTGAACTTGACACACTCAGCTGTGTTACCCCCACCCCCCACCCCCACAAGTGGGACTATGTGGATTAACTAGGCCCAACTTGGGAGTAATGACTTTGAATGCAGAAGGAGGAATCAGTTTTGTAAAAATACCAGCTAGTTGGTTGGAAGAGGTGACTGGAAGCAGAATTAACAAACCATAAGCGATCTTTTCTCGAGTGACATGACAGTCAATCTCGATATGCTTGGAATGCTCGTGAAACACAAGAGTGTTAGCTAGGTGAATGGCAAACTTGTTGTCGCAAAAGACAGAAGCAGGTTTGGACCAAGGAAGATGAAGATCAGTGAACAAATGTTGTAACCATTGGAGCTCGCAAGTAAGGGAGGCAATAGCTTTGTATTCCGCTTCGGAAATGGATCTAGATACGGTCGACTGCTTCTTTGATCTCCAAGAAACAAGTGAAGAGCCAACAAACACACAGAAACCAGTAATGGAACGTCGGGTATCTGGGCAGCATGCCCAATCAGAATCAGTGAACGCACGCACCTTAAGATCAGACTGAGAAGGAAAGAATAAGCCTGAAGCAGGTGAACTCTTGATGTATCGTAGCACTCTAACTGCAGCCTGGTGATGAAGATCAAGAGGACAAGAAATAAACTGACTGAGTTGCTGTACAGCAAAACTCAAGTCAGGTCGTGTGGTGGTCAGATACAGTAGACGACCAACTAACCGACGATATACATAGACATCTTCAAGAGGAGTGCCATTATTACGACTCAAATGAGAGGAGGTTTCCATTGGACTATTACATGGTTTAGCAGCCAGCATACCCATGTCATCAAGAATTTCGAGAGCATACTTATATTGGTTTAAGTGAATGCCTCGTGATGACCGAGAAACCTCAAGTCCAAAAAAGTATCGAAGAGAACCAAGATCCTTTATATGAAATTTGTCATGCAGAAAAGCTTTGACTCTAGCTATTTCAGACGAGGAATTACCAACAAGGAGAATGTCATCAACATAAATCAATAGGACAGTGAATGATGATCCTTGCTGAAAAGTAAATATGTAGTGATCTGCCTGACCTTGAACATAACCAAGGGAAACTATGGCAGCTGAGAGCTTACTTTACCATTGTCTACTAGCCTGTTTAAGGCCATACAACGTTTTGTTCAAACGACAGAATTGGTTGGCTTTGGACACTACTAATCCTTGGGGAACAGACATGTATACCTCTTCTGAAAGATCACCATGAAGGAAGGCATTGTCCATATCCAGTTGTTCAAGCAGCCAACCTTTAGCAGTGGCAACAGATAATAGACACCGAATGGAATTCATCTTATCAACAGTACTGAAAGTGTCAAAGAAATCCACTCCTTCCATTTGTGTGAAACCTTTAGCTACAAGACGTGCTTTGTAGCGTTCAACATCACCATTGGAGCGATATTTCACTTTGTACACCCACTTGCAACCGATGGGTACTTTACCGAATGGTAGATCTACAATAGTCCAAGTGTTGTTCTTTGCCAATGCAATAAGTTCTTTGTCCACAGCCTCCCTCCATTCCTGCGATTTGACAGCTTGGGAAAAAGTGTGTGGTTCTATATGTGTAGTGACACTGAGGCAACAAATTTTATAGGATGGTGCACACAGTGAATAAGAAAGCACATTGGATAAAGGATATGAAATAAGTGAGGGAGAGGTTTTACCTGAACACGATTGAGAGGTGTAAGCAACGGATAGACTGTGATGGTAGTCAAGTAGGTAACTAGGAGTAGATTGAATGCGTGTAGATCTTCTAAGATTGGGTGAGGGTTCTGAGAGGGCAGTGTTGTCAATGGGTAAGTCTATAGGAACACTATTTGATGAGGGTTGAGGATTTGAGGCTAGTATTGTAGATATCAAGGGAGGATCATAAAGGGACTGGTTTTCTGGTGTATTAAGTGTGGATATCTGTGTCTGTGGTAAGCACGATGGATCAAAGGGGAAATAATATTCATGAAAGACAACATTACGGGACAAAAAAATATCTATAGATGTAAGGTCAAGTAAGAGATAACCTTTAACTCCATCACGGTATCCAAGGAACACAACTTTTCTAGCTCTTGGTGAGAATTTAGTACGATTGGCAATGAGGGTTGTAGCGTAAGCTAAACATCCAAAGACACGAAGATGTGAAAGAACTGGTGGCAAGCCATATAGCATTTCATAGGGTGTTTTATTTTGAAGTGTCGGTGTGCAAGTCCGGTTAATGAGATGGACCGCATTAGTAACTGAAAAACACCACAGGTTATTGGGAAGGTGTGCTTGAAAAGAAAGTGTGCGAGCAACATTCATCACATGCTGATGTTTTCTTTCAGCTTTGGCATTCTGCTGTGGTGTCTCAACACAAGTGCATTGATGCAAAATTCCTTTTGATACATAAAAGTCTTTCATCAAAAATTCAGGGCCATTGTCTGTGTGTATGGTTTTAATAGATGTGCTAAACTGGTTTTGAACAAAAGTAATAAAGGCTTGGAGGTGATTTCTGGTTTCCTTTAACTTTCCATCTCTTTTTTTGTCTTTGCTGAATTTCACATTCAACTAAGCTTTTTTCTTTCTGAGATTTTGATTGTGGAATTCCTATTCTTTATTTAATTTCAATTATTCATTTTTCCTCCAATTCTAGGGTTTAATTTGTGCCAAAATTTAGGAAATCGAACAATTGAGAACTTACTAGTCGCTCGCGATTTTCATTTATGTGGTTTTGCTTGGTTCATATAGAATCTATTCTGATGTGAATTCAGTGTGATATGTGAGAATCCGATATTTTTATTTATTTATTTGCTTATTTGTTTACGGAGGAGATTTGACCTTTGTTGCCTGTTGGGAGATTTAATCGATTAAATCTCGAGTCAACCATTTTTGCCTGTTTTGACCATTTAATCGATTAAATATTCAAGTTAATCGATTAAAGAGGGGCAGATTGGTGGATAATTTGAAATAAGGAGCAAAAGAGTAATTAATTAATTAATAAGGGTCAAAAATCCAAATTATAGAAATATTTTTTTAAATAAATTATTATTATCATTCCATCTCAAGTCCAATGCAACGAAAACTGACTCATTCAAATGTGGGATCCACCCACTTAAAAAAGGGGCGGGAGATAGTATATTTTGTTGTTTTTGCATGAAGGGAAGAGTTTCTACTCACCCTCTTATAAAATTAAAGGTTCGCTTTTTTTAATAAATGTAGATAAATTATTTACATTGAGTCCAAAATAATATTATTTTGGGACAAAAATCAGGATATTTTTGTAATTATAATTTATTTCAAGGTTGTATAATATTTTTCATTATAATTTTTTAACCCAAAATAACGTCGTTTTAGGAGTGAATGCAGATAACTATCTGCATTCACTTTATAAACATTAAAGCCTAAAAATAATTAATAAAATAAATAAAAACTACTTTTCCGTAAAGGAATTGTAGGTGATTAAAATTAGGTAAATATTATATCATAAAAATGTTGATTACCACAATTGATGATAATGACGAAACTGTTATATATACGGGGGAGGAGGATCCAGTTACCACAAAAAAAAGTTTACAATTTTTACAACTAATTTAATTGTCGTTGATTTTCATCAATCTAACGGTTATAATTTATTGAGAATTAATAAATGTGACACAATAAATATTATTAATTTTCAATAAATTATAACCGTTAAATTGACGGTAATCAATGTTGATTAAATTAGTTGTAAGAGTTGTAAACTTTTTTGGTGGTAAGTGAATCCGTTCCCTATATATATATATATTAAAGAAGGGAAAAAAGTATCTAATGTTATTTTAGATAACTTTGTCTAATGTTCATCGAAACGACGTCGTCTTGGGGTTAAAAAATTAGAATGATAAAGACTATTACAAAAATTACAAAATTACAAAAAGTCATGGTATTAATAATCGGTAATTTCACTATACTTTTTCGTCAATATTTCACCAAACATAGTATTAGTAAAAATAATTCAACTTTTCTAGAAAAATTGACGCCTATTAAATATCTTTTTGTAACTAAGCTGGGCGAACAAATTTCACACCATATTCTGAAATATTTTTTTCCTCGGAAATAAAAAATTTCTGAAAATACCAAACGCCCCCTAGTGTTCTAAAAATATCTGTGGGCGAAGGTGCATATGTAAGACGTAAACCCTTTCCGTTTCTTTCACTAGGTCTTCTAAAACCCTTTCTTCTCTATCCATTTGTTGAGAACATATATCAAACACCATGAGCTCATTCACCACCAACAACAACAACTCGAACTCCAACTTGGACAACCTTCTCCTTCAAACACTCATGGGTAGGCTTCAGCTCCGAACTCCGATGAACAACCCTTTGGTCTCTCAGTCCCTCGAGGACTTCCTCTTCGATGCTGCCAATGACCTCGACCTCGACGACGATGACGACGAAAACGACGCCGTAAACTACGGAAGCAGGTCAGAGCTCGCCAAAGAAGAGTCGAAGCTCGAAAGAGAAATCGTCCAGGTCATCCTCAGCGGCAACGCTGATTCCCTCAAACCCAATTCCGGCCAGGCTGTGTCGATTCGCGACCACCACATCTGCGTCGGATTTCAAGAGGAAGAGGGTTCGGATTATCGAGTGTGGGAGTGGCATGGCCATATAATGATGTTCGACGAAGAACATGGTTACTCGCCCGAGTATATATATGGAAATTACTTCCAGAGGTTGATGCCCAAACCTGCTGGTAGTAGTGGTAGTGGTAGTGGTGGTGGTGGTGTTGATGAAAATCCTGTGGAGCAGAAAGTGGGGAATTTGGGGTTGAGAGAATTGATTGATACCAAGGATTCCACCGGGGGTCGGATTCTTCATCGGAACATCAATGCTGGTTCTCCCAGGTTTGCGTGGAAATCCCCTTTTCCTTATAGTCAAAACAGTTTTTTTGCCTTTTATTTTTATCTTGTGAAGTTCGTTTTGTTGTTTTGATTTTGCTTTTCTGACTTTCTTTGGTGTAGTTTACAAGTCTTTAGTTGTTTTGTTTCTATCCGTGTCCAGATTTTTTCACATCCAATGAAACCTAACTGTTAGGAGGTTGGATCGTATGTTTTATGTCTTTGCCTTTGTCGTAATCGAGTGTAGTTATAATTGAATTGACTGAGGTTTCTGATCAATATCTTGGTCAAATTTTATATTTTGGATATGCTTTTTTTTTTTTCCCTAGCTGAAACTATTGGTGTCGGTGAGCTTATGCCTTATGTAGTTAAACCAATTCCTGGTTATAGTATCGGAAATTATGTTCTTTTGTTGTTTAAGGTTACTTTGGCCTTAATAAGTTTCATGAAAGCTCAAATGGGTGAGGAATGATTGCATTCGCGCAGAGCTAAAAATATTAGACAAGTGCTTGTGGAGCTATTGACAAGGGCATTTAAGATATGGTTTTAGGTAGGGTTGTTTGGTTCAGCTCCAGGGACTATGCTTACATATGATTTATACCACGAGACAGAACATCTTGGTATATTGTAGAGTCACTTTTTATATTTTTGAATGAAAGCCTACCATCTATTTATGCTTCCATCTGATGATATTTGTTGACAAGATGGCGAATTAAATATTTTTCAGGAAGGCATAATGAAGATATGATTGCATGAATGGGTATAAGGCAAGAAACTCGTGAATGCCTTTTAGATCTCTTGGTCCTGGCAAGGTTTTTCTTAATAGAAGGGTAGTAGCATTACCTGTTTCCATATTTATAGTGGATGGAGTGTCACTGTCAATCTAGATTCAAGTGCTGGTTAGATTTTTTCTGACTTCATATTCACATTGCAAAGTTGATTTTTAGATGCTGTCTACTGGATGCAAATCTGCAAATGGTTTCTATAAACACAGGAGATGGTGCCACGGCTGGTGTAAATTACAGTTTTGGTCCTTCTAGCTTCACCAAAAATTGTTTTTTATCGTCCTTATTCCTACTACAATAACGTCTTCCCATAATTTTCAACAACAATGAAATATCATTTGGGTTCAATTTTCAAATTGGTGCAATTAAGCCCCCTCTTAGGCAGTTGTTGTTGCGACTGTCTATATTGACATAGCAATGCCTTTTTTTGCGGTAAATTTTATGTCATATCACTCATCTATGTTGAGTCGTTGACTTTGTTGATTTGAAGATGACATGGCATTGTGCCAAATCAGTGGCAGAGTGACAAGGAGTATTGTTGCAATTGTAAATAAGGGGGATCAAAGTCGAACTTTGGTGATACTAAGAACAAAATTGTGATTGAGCCTAGGATTTAATAACTTGATAGGGAAGTCTTTAACTATACTGCTGTAAATTTGAAATTCTATCCATAGTTACGCAACTGTAAATAAGGGGGATCAAAGTCGAACTTCGGTGAAACTAAGAACAAAAGTGTGATTGAGCCTAGGATTTAATAACTTGATGGGAACTCTTTAACTATACTGATGTTAATTTAGAGCGAGCCTTGAAGATCCTTGTGAACCGGTCACGGGTTGAGTCTGGAAAATAGCCGCTTTTCAAAAAATGCATGGATAAGGCTATTTACCATTGATCCTCACTTTTATCCTCGTAAGTCGAGGAGCTTTGTGCACTTGGGTTTGCCCTTTTAGTTATGCAGTGACCAGGGCTTGATATTAGTAGAAGATCTTTGATAATATATGGTTAATGCATTGGCTTGGATTTAATTGACAGCCCTCGAGGTTGATGGAGATGTTTTCATTAGTAAATAACTTGCTTTAGCATCTTATTGTTGACTTGGTGTTCACTTGCCAACTCTACTTATACTAAATATTCTGATTTTACCAAAGCCTACCTGGTGCCCTCTTTTTGGAAATTTTTGCTTGTATTTTTTACTGACCTGAAGATAAAAAAAAAAAATTAAATTCCTTTCGTCAAGTAGTTCAATTCCTGTATTGCATATAGTGCACGTTTGCAAATTGCAACTGTATTGAACGTTTTATGCATCCATGTTTGACTTCTCTCATGTTTTTCCCTGCTGAAATTGACAGGTACTAGATAAGAAATTTTTTCTTCATCTTCAAGTTCAAAGTATTGTTAGCAGAGGTTGTAACCAGCATCTCGTTCCCGTTGTTAAGCAAAGATTGATTTCCGCTGTTTTTCACAGTGCCAATATCAGAATTAAGCCTGCATCTAAGGTATCTGTTTGATTTTCAAAATACATACTGTAAAGGATGTGAGACATAGATTTCTCCAATAATATATTTTCTTTGCTTAGAAAATTAATATTTAGCAATTTGTTACTTTTCCCGTTTGAATTAAAGCTAGCTGTTTTGACGCATGGCTTTGATGCAGCAAGGTGACGTGAATGTTTAAAAATATAACTAAAGTTTTTCGTATAATGACCAATGAGGATTGCTAGTTTGCTACATTGCTCGAGTTGAGTAATTAGCTTTTTCGTATGTTTTTAATAGAATAAAAAGATAGAGAAAAAAATTATCACACAAATGAAAGGTTGGCTGGGCAGCACGCGAGCTGCTATCTCGCGGGCCATCAAACATTCTCCTTGACAAATTATAAGATGTAAATGCAAATTAAGCATGACAATACTTTAAAAACATAAAAGTAATTCAAATTAATTGTTGGACCGTACTGGTGTCAAACTTCCCTTGCCCGAGGGAAAAATTGTCGGTGCTACTTTTAGAGCGCGTTTGGTAGAAGAATTTTTTTTTTTATCCGAAAATCACACTTTTTAGAAATATAATGAGAAAATGAGTATTTTGAAAATGTTATCAAAAAGTTGTTTGGTAGACTAATATATTCTCGGGAATATTGAGTTAATTTTCTTGATACTATGTTTAGTTGTATTAAATTTTTTCTTGTCATAAAAATTTCAAAATACCACCTCCTGGATCTCTGGTTGATATTCTTGTATGATTTTTTCAAAAAAGTTTACACAACATAAAATTTTGGAAAAATCAGATTTTCGAAAAAAATTTAAAAATCTTGTATCAAATGTGAATAAATAAGATTATCACTTTTAATTTTGTGAGAATTCTAAAAATACTCATTTATCAAACGGCCCCTTATTCTAGAATATGTAGGTGGATCTAGTATAAATGCGTTACTGAGCTAAAAGTTTTCTCTCGAGGGAAAAATCTTCAGTGATACCGATGTATTGAAATTTGCATCGGTAATTTGTTTATGGGTAGTTCAGTGCGTCGCTAGTTTTCTTTTGTTACTAAAGCTTGAAATATATGGGCTCATATAATGTCATAAATAAAAAGTGTAGTGAAATAAAACTATTTAAATTAGGATTATGTTTATCTCATTTAAAATGAGATAAACAACTTTCCTACATACACGTAAAAAGTTTGGATCCCATTATTCTTTTTTCTATTCTTTTTTACCTGTAAGTCTTATTTATAATTTTATTTCTACAACTTAAGAAAAATATTTCTCTTTAAATTATTCTAATTTTAGTGGGTGTTGCATTGAGTTTTGATTCGTAAGTATTGCCAATTTATAGCGAGTAAATTGGGTGGGGAGGGATGAAATCGTAAATTTGCCCATAAATGATTTGATCTTCTCATTCATTAAAATAACATCACTCCAAAATTTGAAATACTTCTTGCAGTGATTTTTCTATACTAAAGAAAAATAAATGGGATTCATGTTGTATTATTTATAAAAATGTGGGTAGAATTATTATGATTCAGTAATTTATTTTAACTTTAATAAATGATGCATTAACTCTTTACATATATTCCGAAGAAATTTTCAAATCATGGGTCTAATGGCTTAACCTACGTGGCTAATAGTAGTTATGAGTTAAATAACCCATTTATATATATATGGGTTTGCTTTTTATATATATATGAGTTCGTTTTTTCTGCAGTTATTGTAGATAAGATAGGTTATCTGCAGTAAGCTCAATACGACGTCGTTTTGGGCGGAAATCATGGTGTTTTTGTAATTTTAAATTATTTCAAGATTATTATAGTCTTTAAAATTATAATGTTTTAATCTTTCAATCCCAAAATGACATCGTGTTGGAAGTAAATGCAGATAATTTATCTGCATTAAATGCAGAAATATTTTTCTGTATATATTACAAAATTCGATTTGGTAATATGATGAAAATTGTTATTACAAAAGTTTTCCATAGCTTAGTTTTCTAAGCAAAGTTAATTAATATAGGGATGTTAAAATATGTTATGACCTGCGGGTTCCGTTACACGGACACGCGAATTTTTTTGAGATTTACGTGTCGGACACGCTCCGACATGCTCGGACAAGCGTCCGACACGCGGTCAACATTTGGGGACACGGTCGGACACATTTTTTTATTTTTTTTAAATCTTAATTTTATTTTGTTAACTAAATATAAAAGAAATAATTTATAAATTAATTTTTTCCTGTTATAAAATTTGACATTAAAAATTAACAAACTACGAAAAATTATTTATATTTATATTAATGTTATGAAATTTAAATATTTAATTGGTTATATGACTTATTATGGGCTCTTATATGTATTAAATATAAATCATATTATATATTAAAAAATTTATTTAATATCAAAACGTGTCCCAACGTGTCCAAATATGATATTTTTTAGAATTAACGTGTCGGCGTATCGTATCATGTCCCGTGTCCCGTGTCTGTGTCCGTGCATCATAGCCTGCGGGTCAACTCGTGACACGACACCAAAATTTATTTTCGGATTGACCTGCAAAATATTCGTGTCTTGTTCGTGTTAGAAAAACATGACACGCAAAAAAATCGGGTCATGTCGTGTCAACACAAATCCGATTCATATTTTTTTTTAAAAATTTTTATTGACCATTTTTTTTATTTTTTTGGTTTGTTACCGTTTTGTCCAATAGTTTGCGTGTCATTTGTATCGTGTCAACCTGCAAAATTTGTGGGTCGTGTTCGTGTCAAAGATTCTGACACGAATAAAATTTTGTTTCGTATTCGTGTTGCGTGTATTTGTGTTGTGTCAACTTGTTTTGACACCCCTTCCAATAATAAGAATATTCTTTTGATATTTAAAAATCATTATTAATAAGACGATCATAACCACACACTAACAAGATAAATATAAGGTAGTGTTTGGTTGGAGTTATCTTAGGAGATAGATAGGCATCTGAGATTGGTATTTCAGTTATACCATGTTTGGTAAAAGAGATTAGAATATTTTCCTACCAAAGCTATTCTCCCATCAATCGATGTTTGCTTGTAAAATTGCTCAAAATAGACTACTTGGGATATGGTATTTGGAGTTCTCCGGCTAAATGAAACAAAGAGCAACATTTTGCTGACAAATATACCCTCCCCCATCAACACATGGCCGTTGCAAATGGGCACAACCCTGCAGACACCACATCAGCGGATCTGGAAAAAAAGCCATCTAACACCGTATGGGTTTCAAGTAGCCAACATGCTGTCCAAAATCCTCTTCTTTGTCGGTGTTCATTGAAATTTCAGACTCGCGGTGCCATTATGATGGTTGCGACGGAGAGAAAGACAGAGATCCAAACTTAAATATTGAAGTTGGCAAATGTTAAACCATCAATATCTAAGTTCCAACTCGCGGTGCAATTCCCAGACTCGCGGTGTTAAATCCTCTTCTTTACCCAAACTCAAATTCACGAATGTTTTTGGGTAAAGGCTTATTCACATTCAAAAATTATAAAAGGGTTGCTTTGGTAATTGCAACTCATTTTCCCATCAATATTTTACATTCAACCAAACATAGACTTATAATATTCACCAAATTTTCCTAGTGCATTTTTTTCCAACCAAACAATTTTTTTTACATTTCACTATCAAACTCAATTTCCAACTATTTTCCTAATATTTAAAAAAAAATTCCTCAACCAAACACCCCCTAAGAGCGATCTCATTTTCTTTAAGATGAGAACTTCATAACCTTTATCTTCAAGTCTTAATCTGGAAACTTCATTTCAACCGCATGGAATAGGAACATTACAAAATTGAACGGTAATCTCCAATTTCCCTACATTATATTTGTATATGAAACTAATCCTTACTCAAGATTATAAAGGTTGCTCTCTTCATAAGTAATGTACTAGGAACTTGAACCCTTCACATTGCAAAAATCCTTCACCTATAAAATTTAAGCTTACTTATCACTTGGATTACTCTTACCACGTTTTTTTTTTTCCGAATAAATATTCTTTTGGATCATTCACAAAAAATATTGAATCCTTTAAAAAAAAAGTATTCATATTAGTCCTTTTTTATGGACTAACGTGAGTCTTCTTTGAATTTAAGATAAAATACAAGTCGACTTTTTAAAAAAAAAAAATTAAAATAAATTTTGTATTTTGTATTTTTTTGTTGAGGAGTAAAAAGTTATTTACTCTAATTTTATTTTTTTTATCTTCACGTATATCTATTTTTTATCTTATTTTCAAACGACTACGACTTAGCTCAGACGAATGGGCCAGGGCCCAAGTAAATAAACCAATGGACCAACGCGAATAGCAACGACGAATTATGCAAGCTCCCGAATCCCAACCCAGTACCATTCGGCGGTGACAAAAAAAAAAAATGCAATCTCAACCGTCAACGAAGCAATCCTCAACCTACGGAATACAAACACGACACGACAACGATCCGCGTGACGCCCTCCCTTCCAATTAGAACTCATCTCTCTTTCCTATATATACATATTCTCTTCTATTCTAACCCTCATTCCGCACTCATCCTCTCTCTATTCACGTCTCTTCATTGAAGAAGCCAAATTCTTCCTTTACAACCAACCAGCCAAAACCATAGATGGCTCCTACAAAGGCCGAGAAGAAGCCAGCGGAGAAGAAACCCGCGGCGGAGAAAGCACCGGCGGAGAAGAAACTGAAGGCGGAGAAAAAGATACCGAAGGAGGGAGGGAGCGACAAGAAGAAGAAGAGGGTGAAGAGGAGCACCGAGACGTACAAGATATACATATTCAAGGTGCTGAAGCAGGTGCACCCTGACATTGGTGTCTCGAGCAAGGCAATGGGGATCATGAACAGCTTCATCAACGACATCTTCGAGAAACTCGCTCAGGAATCGTCGCGGTTGGCCAGGTATAACAAGAAGCCAACCATTACCTCTCGGGAGATCCAAACCGCCGTGAGATTGGTCCTTCCTGGCGAATTGGCCAAACATGCTGTCTCTGAAGGCACCAAGGCTGTCACCAAATTCACCAGTTCTTGATTCGTTTCTTTGGTTTTATTTGTGATCTAGGGTTTTCTTTCAACCCCAATTTGATCCGCATCTAATGAGGGTTTCTTTTATCGAGGCTGGAGATGTAAAATGAAAGTTTTAATTCGGAATGATGATATGATTGTTTTCTCTATTTGCGTTGTCATGTGCTTTTCATGAATTTGGTTGCCGATTTTTTTTCTTTTTTAATTATTATCATTTTTTATGCGGCGAGTGCGATTTGATTAAAGCGTCTTTTATGCCTTCTGATTATTCATTTGACAGCGAATACGATTCATAACATTGGCCTCCGGTTTCGCAACTTTGGTGAATTATAAGTTTTCGATTTCCTTTGAAGATAATTCTCAGATGACAAGAACTTCTTTTTGTATTGGTCAATATTTGGTTATTTGATTGAAAAACAAATTACAAAAACGACATGAGATATATGCAGTACCTGTGCCCATAGAAATGTCTGCCTATGATTAATTATAGCCTAATGTTTTATTGATCAAAAACAGTTGTGGGAAACGTATACCTTTATGGTAATTGCTGAAAGTATAGAGAATCATCTTTTAAAACGTTTTAACGTTCAAGTTTTATGCATTTATGCTTGCTGTTCGCCTACAACTTCCTACGAAGGATTTTGTGTTATGTCTGAAAATTACAAAAGACCTGGCTTTTTTGACACTTGTGTTATACCTGGAACTTCCTTATTCTTGTTAACCAATGAAAGGAATGGCATAACTCGGTCGCGTGTAACAGATATTAGGAAAATATTTCCTCCGACTTAATGCTTAATGTGACCGGTGTGCCTTGTGCTGAGCAATGTATGAATTTTGTCTTGACCAATGTTGACCATTTTTCTCAGTTAAAGTTCTTGTGTGTGTGGGTTGTGGGCTGTAAAATTTTCACCCATTAACAAGTTAAAGTCTTCCGAGTAATGGAAAATCAATATTTTTTGTTTTTTGGTGGGGGAAAGGAGGACAGCCTTTGGTCAAAGCTGCATCATTGTTGTGTTTGTGCATGCCCAGCTTGGTATGATCTGCTAGACCCCGGATTATTTGTCCGCCCATGTGACAGGTTCATGTTAATACAGTAACAGAATTATAGATTTTCACAGGCTTCGTGTGGTATCATTGGTAGTTCTGGTATGGGATCCAGACAGGTGCAGTTCCTGAAAGGACTGCACTTTTCAGGGACTGCACTTGCTATACTTACTGATCGAATTGTTAGATATTTCTATACCATATTTGCTTTTAACATTTTTGTTCCGGGTTAATACAGCCAGTTGTACTTGCTCGTACCGTGTATACTTTATCCGGATAGGCGGTTGGTCATGTCAGTGAGTATTACACGTAGTGGAGTTAGCAGTTGGTTGAGTCAGCCGTATTCCCAGTAATAGAGTCATAAGTGGACCTACCACGATGTCATGATGGTATCCACCACTCCCATGATACAGGTAACTACCACCACTCCCATGATACAGGTAATTACTCCAACTCCAAAGCTGTACCTATATATACACCAAAGAACAAGATAACAGACAGATAACCACAATAGAGATCCAGATTAATGTTCGTCCAGAACAATTTTATTATAAATAAAATATTTTTAAAAGCTAAAATGCTCTGCTGTTTGTTTAAAAAAATTGCAAAGGAGTTATAAGTAGGAGGGAGTCATGAAAAAGAGATTGAGTAGATTTTAACATTCAAATATTTATTTATTAAATTTTATTTTTAAACGCTTCATCAAGTTAACCGTAGAAATAAAATAAAAAAAAGCAAATATAAACTATTTAAAAAAATTAACCAAACCAAAACTAGTTTTCAATGCTTGTTTAAAGTTGATGAAGACCTCCTTGGACGTTTAGGGTGTACTTAAGAAATAAATTTATTTTTGTCACTAATCTTTTATCTGGTTTTTTTCCTTCCAAGTCATTTAAACCCCGTTTAAAATTGTAGTTATCAGTTGCACAGAGAAGGGTGCGTAATTAAGCAAGGGATTAGCATCTGCAGGATTTAATATGATCTTAAACGTATAATTCTTATCATTTTGTTTTATTCCCTTGTAAGCATCAATCATCTTAGCTTTATTCACTAGATTCTGACAATAAGGTTACAGCAATACGGCAGAATGATTCCCTGGTCTTAACGAGTACTACACATCTGCCATCTAAATTCTATTTCAGGTAGTAAATTGCGGCAGAGGAACATGAACACAATAGGAGTTGCGGAACACTAACTAAAATGTGACCGTTCACTAAGTTTTTTATCTAAATGCCACGCGAACAATGTTATTTCCTAATATGTCACGTGGGCAAGTTCGCCGGGCACTGCAGCGAACTCAGTTTGCTGACGTGTCACGTTTTTAGTGGACACAAGTTCGCTACCCAATGTAGTGAACTTGTTACTTTTTTTTTTATTTGGTACTTGTTATCCACTAGAAACGTGACACGTTAGCAAACAGAGTTCGCTACAGTGCCCAGCGAACTTGCCCACGTGACATATTGAAAAATAACACTGTTTGCGTGACATTTAGGTAAAAAACTTGGTGAAGAATGACATTTTGATCAGTGATCCCACAATAGGCACCACCAGATGGGTTCCACATATACAAGTGTGTGCTTCCAGTACAAATCCTAAGATGCCACTGTCATAGGGTGCTTCTGCATTAAGATTGCAACAAGCTCAAGATGTCCAATATGCCATACCCAATGACAAAGTACCTACAATAAAATGCGTTTAGCAGATGTTCCAGTATACTGAATCATCCTGAAAAAAAAGAAAAAGAAAAGATGTTCATTAAGTTCAGAGACAGCCAGATGTGTCTGTCTCCAGTAAATTACAATTGAAAAAGAAACTGATATGATACATAACAGTCAAAGTGATACTGCAGAAACTAAAGTGACAACAAAATAAAGAATATAAAAAATTAATGAAGAAGATAATCCAAAAAAAAAGAATAACTTGCTAGTCCTGCCTGCAAAGAAAGAACAAGTAAGGTAGGGAATAACTTGTCTATTGTGGGACAAAATTGAACGGTCTAGGTAACTTTAAATGGTGTCTCAAGTTTCAACAAAAAAATATAAAATAAAATCATAAGAGGTGTATGATAAAAAAAAAAAAAAAAAAACAGTAGGTATGACCCACATATAGTAATTAAAATTTCCTATTTATTTAGTTATTTGGAGCTAATTAGAAGATTCATCACATAGATAATAATCTAGGATCAAGACAAGAGGTAGTTTTCTCTTGATGGTATATGTGGGCCCAAATATGGAAGGTATATTATTGGGCCTGGACGTATGCAAACGGGCTGGCAGTGAGAGAGTTTAGACGAGGTCAAAAATATCTATTGGATGATTGAAACGTGTACGTTGGAGATTCTGTCTCGCTGAGTGACTACAATCTCGAACAACAGGATCCTTGACCTTCCAGGTTCCTTGCTATAAATCCCTTTTTCTCCGTCTCTATCCTAACAACCTAATCCAGGAATCCTTGTTTGTGAAACACGTTTATTACCGATCCCCTAATTTTTCTCCATTTTTCATGTGCTGTGTTGATTGTTATTACTCGTCTAATATTTAAGGGAGATTTCTCCATGGGATAAATCTGATCTAACCGTTTTTCATTTTCATGGACCTTTGATTTGGATTCTACTCTTCCAATATCCTCAGATTTGTTTCCTTCGTGCAGATAAACCTTCAATCGAAACGCTGTGTCTGTTTTTTTGTTTTGTTTTGTTGGGTGTGTATGAATTAGGAGGGTTTCGAAGAGCATAGAAAATGCCTTCGGTGCCCGTTGAACTCCTTCTACGCTATCTCTTTCCTTCCATGACCATTTTCCATGGTGGATCCTCTTTTCATCGTCTGAAACCTCTTGAAAAAAGTGATCGGCGTGGTAATCTTAGTTAACACTAGGATCTTCGGTTTGTCCCTTTCTGCTTTGCTTGTTTTGTTCTCGTTGTTGTTGTTGTTTCTGCTCTAAACGAGGATTGAGCTGCGAGTCAATCCGTCAACGAATTGGGGATCGAGGTGTTGATCTTGTTATTTCTCTGCTTGCTATTCACAGTTCCTGTTTTGAGAGTGTTCCAGCTCTAAACGACGTATATTAAGGTATTTTCTTGTGATCTTATTCAACTTTGAAGTTTTGGGAAGTGTTTTGCCTTGGCCTATAATAGTTGATGCCGCATATGCTTTGCGACCTGTGTTGTAATGTAGAGAGTGATTGCTATCGGGTTTGAATTTAATGAGGACTGTTTTTTAATCTGTCTTAAACATGTTCCTAGTTGATAATTATGCTTGTCTTATTTTGTCACTTGTTTGTATTGAACATCATGTTTGTTTGATCAGATCTGACTCATAGTGTGATCGTTTAGCTAAAAACAATGCTGATTTTTAAAATGGTTCAACCAGGTTGGATTGGTGCCAGCTACTTATGAAATCTATTGGTGTACTATTTTTTTGGTGAAATTTGCTTATGAATTGTGATACTTTATAAATCACCTCGATAATTCACTTGAACTGGCTAGGTTCGGGTATCAATACCTTGTCGGTCTTTTTTTTTTTTTTTTCCTCCCACGAATTTTACCTTCAAAGAGGAAGAAAAAAAGTGAACACTTTCTTCTTAGTTCGATGCATTGTTGTAGCATTTTCATTTTAGGAGACATCAACACAATTCCGTCTCTATATAATTTGAATAGAACTTTGTTGTATTAGAAAGGGTAACCTTTCTCCTGTTTGTAAAACGGGCTATGTTTTAATCAGAAATGTATTGGCCCAACCGAAGACTGATAAAATGTGTATTTTGGAAAACATGGAACCTTCTGTTTGTATATTTTGTATTTTATTTCTATTTTAAGAACATTTTTTGATTCAATGATATTTACATATGCCCTAATAAATAACTTCTTTTAAGAGTAAATACTCTTCTTCGTCCTCAAGAAAAAACACGGGACCTAACTTGATCCGTTGGGGAAAAAAAGTCGACTTGTGGTCCATAATCCCATGTTAGTCCTTTTGAGAGACTAACATTGGTCTTCTTTGAATTTTTAAGGTACTACAATTTCAATTAATTGGGTCTATTTTGAATTTCTGAGTAACCCCAAGTCTATTTTTTTCCCTAAGGGATTAAAATGGGCCCCATGTTTTTTCTTGAGAACGAAAAAGGGTATTTACTCTTCTTTTAACATTTAATATGAAATATCTCCTCCATACCAACTTAAGTCGTAAGCTTTATGTTTTTCATAGATTGCTATATTCACTCTTTATTTTGCCATCTAAATAAGCTGTGGGACAATTGGCTTTTATGTTGAAGTCTTCACATGTTGATTCATCACTTGTCATCAATAACCTGGGAGTGCCTATTATACTTATTGTGCGTTGCAGAACCTCTTCTATAATGCTTTTTCTAGTTTTTCCTAATCAAGAAGCATAATATACCTAGACTAATGCTGAAATATGTGTGCGGGATGTTTTACTTTTTAATGCTTATTATGAAGATTAGTGATTGTTATGTTTTTATTATTCATCTGATATTTTGTTTCTTTTAGTTGCCTTTTAGTACCTGATACAATCAATGGACATGTGCTCTTCGCCTAATGCCGAATTAATAAGCAATCTTGAAAGAACTTTTAGTGAGTCATTACATATTCAAGATGGTCAGAGATCTGAATATGCATCTGAGGGGAATGATATCTGCGATGTGGTAGAGGGAAACTTATGTGAAGGTATTAAACAGAAAGAAACAAAACTAAATATGGCGTGCTTGACAAAATCTGCAACCTTTCCAATTCCTGATATGATGTTGCCTTCAAGCTCTTCTGATGAGGAGGCTGATACATCAGTTACAGAATCTTTCTCTGAGCATTCTGTTCATCAAACTTACTCACGCTCAGTATCTCTGCCTGTAAGTTCTCACTATTACTGGTTGATTGTTGTCTGTATATCTAGATTTTCAGCAATGTATGATTTTATCAATGAGGAAATTTAGAAAAATTCAGAAATGATTGTTTGACTTGTTTCCTTTTAAAAGTACCAGTTTTTTACCTCAATACTTGCATTCATTTTCCATCTACGGTATTGGTTTGTTGGGGTTTTGTATGCTGTGTAGTTACACAAGCATTTCTAGTTATGTAACACTTTGAAAATCGTGTTAACAAATCTTTATGAGTACTCCCCCTGGCCTCCTCTCCCTTTTTCGTTATTGAACATTGAAAGTTTTGTTCTGGCTTTTGGAACTGGAGGCATGTGTTTTCCATTGCTATATGCTTTGAAACATATGGATAGAATGTTATTTTTGCTATCTGTTTTGCATGTTTTAGTTTCTCTGGAACTTTTATATTTCCTACCCTAAATAGTGTTGGGAAGCAGCAAAGCTTCACACATATGCTAACCCTTCAAATTTTATTGTGTCTTGTGTCTATGTCAATGCCCATACATGTTCAATTAGATATGAATTCATTGTAGTTAGATAATTACTTTCTTTGAGAGTGGCCACGGATTAAGTTCTTATGGTTTTGGCAAGGTTCTGAGTTTTCTATTCACAATGAGGTAAATGTATCTTATAAGGTTGGTATATTACAACTCTTGTCTCCCTGTACCATTTCCGTTTTAATTTGACATCTCCAGATAGAAGTGAGGTTTGAGGGGATTAGAAACTTGTCGCACTAATGGATATGCATTTTAAGATAGGTGATAAAATCACTCTGCAAAACCAAGTTTTGGACACACATTATTTATGGACAAATATATATATTTGCATGTGCCATTTCATGTTTAATGGCTTCCACTTTCTCTGTGCTTTGCACCACAGGCTCCGTTGAAGCTGATATCTGCCATGAAAGGTAGCCGAGAGAAAAATGGGAGATCACAAAAGAAATTGACTGTAAAATGGGCCCCTGATGTGTATGACCCAATACCTACATTATTATCGCACACTGTCAAAAACAAGAAACCACAGAAACCCAGGAAGAAGAAGACTGAAAAGAAGAATGGAAAGAAGGGTCAGAAGGGAAATTCTTCTCGAGGGGGCAGTGCCAAAGATAAGAAGCAGTTTCGCAAACTGGATGGGAACTCTGATTTGTGCTATAAGTCGCTGGATTCTCATGATAAAGCCATCGAAGCTTCTACTGAATTAGATGCTCTTGATGTTCGTTGTCAAGATTCCTACTGTGGAACTAGTTTCTTGAAAAAATCAGTCACAGAAGTGCACTACTCGGTTGCAGAAGCGTTGTGAGCAAAATGCTTCGAGTGTTTTGTCCTATTTCCAGCAATGTGCATAAATAAATAACATCTTGCTGCTAGATAGATTGTGTGGTGAAAGCTGTTTGATACTCGTCGTGGACCTGGCAGTACAAACCAGCTTGATGTTCGGAAACACATTTTTGTTTGTAATGTGGAACAAGTTCTTGTGGGTGACGTCATTTCTAGGCTTCTAGCTTTCCAGGCATCAGTTCCGTAAAGGTAGGATCTCTGAAGTGAGCCTTTTTTGTTAAACCATATCTTTGTATTTAGATTATTGTTTGCGATCAATGGTGCTTCTGATAGCTAGACTACTATATTAGTTTCTGCACTAATAAATGCGACTACCCTCTTAAGATTCAATAAACTAATATAGGTATAATGATATTGAAAGCATATATAATTATGCTTGAAATAAAGTGCATGATTGCAAAGAAATTTGTGAAATCTGAAAAACCCCTCATTGATAAGCATCAGATCAGACATTTGTTATAAGTGTTGCATGCATACAATATTAACTGGAAAGCAAGGAATACAAATCTCTTACCGTTTTTGAAATTTGTAGTACCCATGGGGTAAAACTGCTGCCGATCTGGATTATATTATGTACTTCTTAACCCATCAGCCTCAGGTTCAGTTGGTTACACTCTTGCATTAAAAATCAATTGAAGGAAACCGATTAAATTAATCTAAGTTCAACGAAACCTGTATCTGTATTCTCCAAAGGATTCTCGGCAACCAAACACGCGTTGATGAAAAAGCGTGACAAAGATACTAGGTGACAAATATACTATGGAGTTTTTGTGGCTTATAACGGATTGTTAGTAATCAGTACATTGCCAACTGCCAAGAGCAAACTGCAACACCGAACGGTGACTTACTCAACGTTCAAATATCAACAATTACACACTATAACAAGGAAAAAAGTGTTTATCATTTTAAATGACATAATACTCTGTCCTTTTAAGAGAGAGAGGAAAAAAAAAGTTATTTAAATTTTAAATTAAAAAAAATCACTCACTTTTTTCTCTCTCATGATTTTTATTTTTCTGTGTCTATCTCTCTCCTAAAATGATATAACTTATCTCATTTAAAATGAAAAATAGGGAAATATGTATATTATACATAAAAAATAGATGGGATTTACTTCTTTTCATTTTTTCTTAACGAGACTCGTTTTTTTTGTATTACATGAAATAATTTTCTCAGAGAAACATATTCCCCTAACAAATATTTTATCTTTAAAATGACGTTTAATTGAAAATAAGATACATTAAGGGGGAAAAAACGTATTCTATTTAATTAAAACGCGAGTAATGAGTCCAAGTTCGAGTTATATATACCCATTAGATACAATTATAGGTGTTTAAGTTGCTACCCTTTCATGTATAGGTTCAAATACAAGTATTTTTCTTAAATACAAGTAACTGAGTAAGACTGAGTTGGTTTGCATAATCAGAATCGAAGCTACCACACAAAAGCATAAGATCATGCAATCCTACAATGAAGATTGCAGTCTTAACAACTTGGACATATGGCAATATGAAAAAAAAAAAAAAAAAAAATTGGGTTTCTTTTGAGAATATTATATAGCATAATCTACTTAAATAAGTTTCTTCTATTAGTTATTATCATGATGGAATTGTGAGCTAATTTTAGTGGGTTTTCGTTTTAATATCCATCAAAAACATATCCGAAACACATAAAATACAGATATTATTGCGATAACAGTCAGTTAACATTTATTTATTTTGGTATATTGTACATAATTGCATAAGACTAAATTGTATGAAATTAATATTACCATCCTTAATTTGGACTTCTCGTTAAGGAATAATAACGGGTGGCATTTAGGTATTCACTCTCAGAACAATAAACAATTGCAATTACATAAAGTATTTTTATTACATCAAATTAGGGCTTTTTGACCATCCAATGCAAAATTCTAAACATTTCACCTATTTAACCTATTTAATTCTTTTATCAGTGTGCAACTTATGCAAAAGCCAATGTACACTCACCATATATTACATTCTGCTGACTTAAACACACATTACTGGAATGCGTGTCTTTTTACATAAGATTTATAGATCATTTGTCAAAAGAATTAAATTCATAAATAATTTTAAATTTTCCTTTATATGGATAAAAAGCCTCAAATAAATGAATGAATCATAATTTCATCCATACAAATGTATTTATCAAGATTCCAATTTAAATGTCCATAATCTCTCAATGATGTTATTTTAAAAGAAAAATGTCTAGGGAGAAAAAGATACTTGTTTCAAAATTGAGGCATGTCACAAGCTCTATAGAAGACTTCCAATACTTATAAACCTTAGCATGACAATTCACAAGCAAAAATCTCAATCATAGTAACCAGCAAAAAAAAGGAACAAATGAGACGAACAATAAGGGGAGGAATAAAGTCAAACGGATCACATCAGCAAAGGGAGGATTAATTTCCAATGCAAATCAAAATTTTCAAAAATACTAATGGTTTAATCATCAATTACGTTTGACTGATACAAAAATTCTTCAACAAATTGCAGTATAGTTGATTAAGTTGAACGAAGTCTTAAAAAATAATCCCAACATGGGAGAAGAATCAAAGTTTCTTCAATGATTAACCACACCACCCAATAGTCTTGTTAACTGTGAAACCCGTTTGAGAGGGCTGAGACTGTGAATGCTGAGGAGGTCTTGGTTCTCTTGGTTTGGCAGGATCAACAAATATAACCCATCCATCCAAAAATTTAGCATTCATTCCTTCTCTTGCCTTTTCGGCTTCTTCTACGGTTGCATAAGTTACAAAACCAAATCCCTTCGATCTTCCAGAGGCTCTATCAGTTATCACCTTTGCTGTATAACCAAAACGACTGAAGGTCAAGCACAACATACATCAAGCAAAATTAGGACATTAGAATTAAGTACTGCAGAAGAAGAAGAAGAAAAATGCTAATTATCACCTTCGACCAGCTGTCCAAAAGAAGAAAATGTTTCCGTAAGTTTTTCATCTGTTGTCAATCTTGAAAGACCTGTTCAAAACTCCAAATACAACAAAATGCACATTATTCTCATTTTAAAATGTTGCATACAAAATCATGTATTTTGTATGCTGGAGAAATATATTAGAATCTTTAATCACACAATAGGATTTAAAAAATAAATTATTTGCAAGCACCAGTTATTGTCGTACACACATTATACATCTAGCAATTCCATACAGCAAATGGTGCCAAAAAGTAGCATATAACTTTATGGAAGTGCATGCCAAATAAACCAGAAAACTGGTCCCTTCAAAGTTCACAGAAGTGAGCACTAGCCCAAAATAAGAGTAACTTAAATAAAGAAATTCTTGGCCGCAGAAATCTAATAAGGAATTCAAAGAAACCCTACTGGATAACTGCCATAACTTTGTTTTGTTCAAATTAGTACTGCTAGGAACACAAACTTCAGGTACAACCACATGTAAGATATAATTAAACCAAATGAGAACTGCGGGTAAGATATGAACTAAAGAGCTTCATATATTCTATCTTCTATCCCTTAATATACAAATACCCTTTTCCCATAAAATTTCCATTTTAACCAATATTTCCAGTTTTACAAAGTTGTGCCCAACTGACATGTCTTCCATAATTTCAAAATTCTTCTGATCCACATTTCAACAACTCCTTTGGATTTAAAAAGAAGGAACTTTACTAGAAGGGAAGAACAAACAGATAGAAACGGAGATAAAATATTCTACACAGACAAAATAAAAAACAAGATAGGAGAACCCAATAATCCCCCTGCAGTTCTACCGAGACACCAATTACATATACATGGGCTGAGCACCAAAAAGAAGTCATGAAATCAATTCCGTCCCAAAGCAACCACAGGGCCCAGAATTTCCTTAAAAAGTATAAAACACAGAACCATAACAATTTTCCCTCCTTAATCGAAAGCAAAAAAAACTTTTAGTTTTGAGGGCGCACACATGACCCACCGAAGACATTGAAAAGCCCACTCCAGATGTAACTAGCTTCTGGGAATGTTAGAAAAAATATGCCGTGAGTTTCTGACTAAGAGAAATACATTACACAAATATCCAAAGCTATCTTAGGCCTACATATCTGCGACATATCTCCATTAATCCAACTGAGTACCACTGTCCAAATGGATGACTTGACCTTAGAGGTGATCTTAAAGTTTTAAAGGGGCTTTTCAACAAGAAACCTCGTTTGACAATTATGTCCCCAAACCACTGCTTCAAACCAGAGAAGAGAACCAAGAGAAAACAGCACTGAAATGCAAAAAGTTCAGCAAAATATGTACTATAGGTCAGTGATGATTCCGGGAATATTAGGTGTTCTTCTAAGGAGTATGTTCTTCTGCCCTACTCCTCTCCCCCTTTTATTAGAAAAATTCTTGTTGATGAATCTTATGTGGGTGGATTTAAATTTGACATAACATAATAACTAGGGCAGGGAAAATTTGCAAGCTGAATTTTGACGAGAAGTAAATATGGTAAATCAAATTTGCAATATGTAGGAAATGGAGGGTACAAGTAGATACAGCAGTTTATTGCACAACATAGAGCATCAAAACGATTTAAATAATAATAATAATAATGGCAACACCAATTAACATCCATAACTAAATCCATTACATTTGAAAACAAAGGGCTTCTAGGAGAGCAAAGAGAAAAGAAGAGGAATTTTGCTATATCAAAAGGAATTAGATAACTAAAAATAGTGAATATGGGTAGGTAGGTCACCGCTGATGAAAAGTTTCGGGGAAGTGAGAGTTGAACTGAGACGAATCGAAGTGAAATACGAGGGAAGAACTGATGAGCGGCGAATCAGTTGCTGAACTCCAGAGAAAAACGCCATCTCAGAATCAGCCAACAATAAACCTTGGAGTTCAGAGGTTTCGAGGATCCTTAAAACCCTCCTCTTAACATAGAATCCCTAAAACCCGAACCAGTTGTTCGTCGAATGTTTTAGACTTTAAAGACAACTTCAGTTTAATACCACGTGGATTTTTTTTTAGTACAAATACCACGTGGATTTTAATGTAAACCATATTAAAGAAAATGTTTTGGATTAGGATTTAAAAAAAAAAAATTATGGATTTTAAAAGACTATTTAAATTTCGAAGGATTTTAAAGATTTTTTTTACAATCAAAATTTCATAAGATTTAATTTTAAATGATTTTAATAGAATTATAAAATTTGAAAGGACAATACGGATTTATAAGATTTTAAAATATCATATGAATTTTTAACAAACATTAAAAATTACAAGAGTCAGTAAATAAAATAATAAAGAAATGCAACGATATTAATAAAATAAAAACCTAATATAATTTTCTCTAAAACATAATAAAATTATTAGGCAACAGCTCTTCACATATTTAAAGTTATACTAGTTCTCCATGCATTATCATTTTCTCGTTCATGCTCTTGAGTTTGACAAATGAGTTGACAATTATCTTCTTTATTTGGTATCAGAATTATGCATATATGATTATAAGACCTGATTTTTTTATTTATTAAAATAATTCTAAATTTGCATACAGTACCTAAAGTTCATAATAAATTTTCATTTGAAATATTTTGCAATATAAGGTTTATATTATGAAAGTTTCAATCTTTCTTTAAATTGATTTTGTTTCAATGATGTAAAACGAACATTGTTTTGAGGGTTTTAGCTCTCGTTGTTTTTCCAATGCTTTATGTTGTTTTTAATAAAAAAATTATACACTTTTTGTGTCAAGAAAAATAGCAACCCATAACTTGAAAAATCACTTTTTAAACTTTCAAAAGCTCTAACAAATATGTTGTTTTTTAGATGGATTTTGTTATAATTTTGTTGTTTTGTTATTTCTGCATTGTTTTGTGATGAAAATCGCTCAAAAATATGTTATTTTTGAGCTTTGACAAAGCTCTCATGATGGAACTCAGTTTCGAGAACCTGCCAAATGAAGAAGAAAATACTGCAACAGATAAATCTCAATAAATCCTAGGATTTATGGTGAGATTATGAGAGAAGTATCATATTTATATTTTTTTCATTAAAAAATCTCACGAAATCCACACCAATAGAAAATTCATTAAGATCATTAGATTTTTGAATACTACAAGATTATTTTTCCTTTATTTAAAATCGTGATTTAATAGAACCGGATTTAGACGGACTCTAAAACAATCTTTTAAAATCCTAATCGAATATCACGTGACTCTTTTTCAATCCTTTAAAATCCTAATTGAATATCTATGGATTTTATTTAGGTTGGCAAAACGGGTCAACCCGGCTCAACCCGACTCAACTCGCGTTCAACCCGAAAAAAACGAGTCGGGTTAGGGTTGGCTCGCGGGTTGACTCGAAAAAATAGAAAAATAAAATAAAATTCCATTGATGCTATAACTTCTAAATTTTTTTCTTAAATTAATAATTCATTTAATACAAAGACATTATACAGATAAATCATAGAAAATTTTGCATTTGGACTTGGACTTATTGGCAGTTGACACCACATTCACATTGTCACACATACTATTAAAAAGGTCCTTAATGCACGATTTTGAACTTATTGGCAGCTGCAGGGTATTTTCGTTAGGGTCTTTGGAATTAGAATTTTAGGTTTTACCTTTCCACTTTACCTTCATTAATTGTTATACTTTTATATTAAAAAAAAAATAACCTGCGAGCCAACCTGTTTGACCTGTGAGTTGGCTCGATTTTTTTCGAGCTGAAACGAGTCGGGCTGACTGGAGTTACTAACTCATTTTCTCTAACCCAACCCGGCACATTTTAGCCGGGTTACGAGCCAACTTTGCCAAGCCTAATTTTATTGTTCAATAATAATCCATTAAAATTCTTTAAAATCACAATCCAATACACCTCCCTAAAGTTCTTTTACATGAATTAAGAGATGGAAAATTTCTTTTGGACATCGGATGTACCCTAAAGGGTATATTTTTTTTATCAAAAAGAGGAAAAAAATCTATTTAATCCATATCATTTTAAGTATTTTTCATCAAATCTTAAATTTTTATTTTTTTAGAACAAATATATGATACATCTAATGCATCAAAACAGTGCTCTTAGATATGAGTATAACATGGCGAATTTCGCGAAAGTACTTTTTTTTGTTAATCTTAGAGGGCGTTTGGTATGAGAGAAAAATTTTTTGACCGGGAAGAAATATTGCTTGAGAATATAATGAGAAATTTTTGTTGCCGGGTAAGTAACGAAAAAGTATTTGGTAGCCCAAAATTTTGCAGGAAAACTTGGATTATTTTTACTAAGGTATGTTTGGTTGATTGTAAAAAAATGATGGGAATATTTTTTGAAATTACCTTTTTCCACACCTAAACAATGGCTCACCATTTGAGGTTTGATAAATGTACCTTGATCCGGGGCATTTTAGTCACAACAAAGTGTAAAAAATTTGCCACTGACAGGGGAAAAAAGCTAACCACCCTTACGATTGCAAAATTTTCTAACCCATTCATGAACAAAGTGAAAACACGGTAAGCTTTTTTTTCCAGACACATTTTTCCTAATCCTCCTACCAAACATTGCCTATTATTTTTCCTGTCCTATTTTTCTGGCTAATTTTTTTTTCCCCTACCAAACAACCCCTTATGGAGAAAAAAAATTATGACTCGTAGTTATATTTTTTTATAAAAAAAACTTATGATATTTGTCTATTTGTGCTTTTTATTAGTGATCTGAGAATAAGTATCGTGACTTTAAAAAAAATTAAAGGAAAAATAAATAATTTATTATACGGAAACAAATTTATCATAAAATTAAAGCAGGGATGTGCAAAATACCCATAGAACCTTAACCACATTGAAAACCAAACCAAATTGAATCCAAAATAATCGGTTTTCCAAACCAGTTTATAAACCACAATCGTTTTTAATTTTTTAAAATAATCCAGTTTGAACTGATTCCTTAATTTATTTGTAACCGGTTCAACCTGAACCGAACCATTTAATCATATTAGTTGTTTTCATCTTTTTCTACTCCAATTCTCATCTTCTCTCTCTCATACAACAGTTTCTCTCTCCGATCTCTCTCTCTCTAGAAACCACAAGATGGATTATGCTGCAGTACAAGTGTTTCTAATCTTTGGGCTATTGGCCACATCATGCATGGCACAAGCACTTGGTGCTGCACTCAACCAGCATCAACCCCACCACCATCGCCCAAATCAACACCAGACGAACATTTTGCAGTGAAGAAGATGAGAACGCCAAGACTTGTATTTACACTAGTCACGATGCTTTGAGAAACAATGAATTTGAATAAGCAAACCGGTTCGGAACTCGTTTTTTTTTTAAATGGGACTGGTTCAGAAATTGTTTTAGTTTGGAAATAGTTTTGAAATCACTTCATAATTGCTTCGGGTCGAACCAGTTCTAAACCAAACTGAACCGGTTCTATTTTAAAAAATAGGTTGGTTCAAAGAACCGAACCAGTTTAAAGCAGTTCAATTCGATTCTTCCAAAAAATCGATTCGGGTTGACCCATGCCCAGCCCTAAATTAAAGTATGAAAAGTATAACTGAAAATATGTCACATCAAATTTTAAGGATTGATTCAAGTGATAATATATGCCCCACGACAGTCAAATTGTTAAAACAATAAGGGTTAAAGTTGGACAATTATTACACCTCGACTCATGATTAATTATATCCATATGCAATCCCCTTTTGTCACCGGGTCGTAAGGATACATAAAATGCCTGACCCACTTCAAATAAATAATTAGAGTCATGAAATTGGAAGAAAAAATGTCACATTCATTATATTAATGTGTATTTTAATTTACTTATCTTTATTCAACATGCCTTATAATTAAACTTTTATTAAAAAATTGATTTTATCCTAAAAATAATAAGATTTAAAAGATTTTTAAAAAAAATGATTGTGTTATGTTATAGGGACAGATATGTCTAGTCTTATGTCTAATGTGTTAATATTGAATTTGTGTCTCCTCTTTAAAGTATCTATGGAAGAGATACTTTAAAGACCAGCGGATCATTGTGCATTATAGTAAACAGCATAGCCAAAGGATGATGTGTGTGCACAGTGACAACTAAGAAAAAGAGTTTAAAATCCATGTACCTTATTGACCCCTTATTTATAGATGGATTACCTGACAAAAGTGGACGTTTGAGTCTCTTAGGAATATTGGGTTCAATTGTTGATATGTTGTTGCCGTAGTGGAATTAATATTATTAAGGAATATTTTCTTAATTTTCCTCTTACCCATTAGTCCTTCTGAAGTCTTCTAGAGTATGAGCCTCTATGTTAGGTCCATAACAAATTGTTTTTTAAAGTTTTCTCAAGCGAATAAAAAACCCCTAAATTAAGTTATCAAATACACACTTAAACTTTAGGATGATTTGATGTTTATTTTTTTGTAAATTGACTATTTTCCCTATAATTTATTTTTTATCACTATTCCCTGTAGTTTTTTTTCTTATACTTGCATTACCTTTAGTTTTTTCTATCCAAATCCACCTTTAACATCTTTAAAATTTGAACTAGCTTACCCATTTTACTCATGTTTTGCCTACATCAAAACTAGAGTTGTCAAAACGAGCCAGCCCAACCCATTTAACCATAGCCTATGTGTGTTAGGGTCAAAAAGCCCACAATGATATTGGGCCATATGGGCCAAAAGCCTTATGGGTTAGGGCCAGCCATGGGCTTTCCAAAAATTTAATGTGTATTTTTTTTGTTAACCAAAAAAGCCAATACTTGATTTTTATTAAGCTTTTTGTAATTTTCCAATTCAAGCAACAACCTGTACCAAGTTCCAACCAATTTGATTTTATTTAATCTAAAATCTTACAAAATACAAATGCTGGACAAAATGAAATAAATTTTCATAAAAAAAAAATCAATTAGTACAATTTGGGCAGCAACAACTATTTATCATAATATTCACTTTGCTAAACCCTTCTTTTTTCTTTAGCTAGTGGATGGGACTTTCACATGATTGAGATTACAATGAATCAAAGAATTTGATGAACTAACTATAACACAACTTCATTTGAGTAAAGAGAATGCATAACTAACACATAAAGTTATTACGTTAGCTTTATCCATATTATAATATTGGGAAATGTAGTTCTCCTTTTAATGGAGAAAAAAATTTCTACATGCAATCGACATTCAATATGTATCCTTGGGGGTACATAGTGAAAATATTAAAGCTGCAAAAAATTTCTCTCTCCTCATATGTTGCTTGCTGATGTGGAGAGAGTGAAAAAAATGATTTTCATATTTTCACTATATATCCGGGAATATATAATGAAAATCGGTTGATGCAAAAAAAAATTTCTCAAAGATAAAATTTGAACCCTATAACATTTACATAACTATATTATAAAGTGTAATGCATAGTTTCATTTTTTATGACAGTGGGAGTAGCGTGTACTACAGGGTTTTCAGAATTAGAAATCAAATTGATCAAAAAGTCAAAGATATCAATGGCTATAACAGCAGAAGCCATATCCTCTTTGTGCAAAGTTCTCCTTTTGCCTTGGATGGCCATGATCCAAGATCTTCTTGTAAGTTCCTCAATATAGATAGAACTGTATAGTGACATGAATCTATGTATCAATTAGTAGAGTAAAGGATTAATTTTCAATAAAAAATCTTAATTTTATTATGTCATCATCCTTGACATGTAAACATAATGCAAAAAGCCTCCATTCATTCAAATGTGGATTAAAATGAGGGAAATGCACTTGGTTAGCACATTGAATAAGTAACTTCTCATACGAAGGATCAAGCAATATCTCCAACAGATGACTTGAGCAAGAAACTGTCAAACTGATATCCAAAAAGTTAAAAAAAAAAAAAAAAAAAAAAAAAAAAAAAATCGTGATGCATGTAAGTAGCATTTTACTTTGTTCCGAATTATTTTTAGTAAATGACATAACCTGTTCCGAATAAGTAGAATAACCATTTTACTTTGTTTTAAAATTATCAAAGGGGAAAGTGATGCATGTAAAATAATTTAATTATTAAAATAAATCCTCTAACATTGTTAAAATAAAGTTATATGTAGGTGGATACCAAAAAAAAAAAAAAGTTATATGTAGGCAAGTAACATTACTTTATAGCTTGTAATTTTTTAATTAAATGATTGGTTGCGATTTAACAGTTTGATAAATGGTTGCGTTGTGGTGGAGTATATTTTTGGTGTAATGGATGTACGTATATTTTTACCAAAAAGAAAAAATAAGGATATAAAAAAATAACCATAAAAAAAGAGTAATATAAATATGTTATTTTTTCATATTTAATAAAAAATATATTGAGTGATTGATATATCTGTATTACTAAAAATATTTTCGTAGTGGTGGGCACTGGCCAGCGAGTCAGTGACGACTGATACATGAATGTGCAACTAGCTAGCCTTACAAATTAAATTATTTATATGCTAATAAAATATGAATATGGGTCGCGTTGGATTGACGCAGGCGTAGAATCTCATGGGACCCAAATCTAAGTGGCGTTTTCATCTAAAATAATCAATAGGTCATTCATGCTCATGGTTTACAGGAAATATCTACATTATTCACACGTAAAAACGTAAATGTCAGCGATTTCGGAAAATTTGTATCCATAGTGACTATACGCCAGCTGAATAGTGAGCCAGCCACCCAACTATTTTGAATAAAACCCAATTAAGATTTAGGAAAAGCCTCACTTCAAAAATGATATTTAAAAATTCTTTATTAGAGTCCATTGAGGGAGAAGAGGGAAGTAGAATTGGAAAATAATAAGCGACTAAGTGTCTGTTTGTATTTTTTTTTTTAAATTAAAAATTACTTATAAACAGAGGTTAAGTAAAATAGATTTTGAAAAAAATTCTTATCATGAAAAACTTTTTATAATGAAAAAAAAAAATTAAAAGCCAAAAACTCCTAAGAGAAGCTTTTTTTAAGTTGTTATAAGTTTTTTTTGAATTATGTATTTTTTTAAAATGAAGAGTTATAGAGACGGAGAAGATAGAGAATTTTCCTGAAATATGTGCTTTTAAGTTAAATTTTGTATATAATCACCAAATAATTTTGAGCTTTTTTTAAGCTCTTTTTTTAGCTTATTTGTAGGATACATACATACTTAATAAGTCGCATATAGTTAAAAGATGTATTTAGCTACCCAGGAATCGCTCTGCTATGGTTAGAGATTTACGATGAATTCAGCCACCGGTCGTTTGCGCTCAACTGAAGAGGAGGATAATCTCCAACGAAGTGTGAAAAAGAGTAAGGGAGGCGATGGCAAGTTCTCCAGTGAGCAAACCATGACTCCTCGTGATGAAGAATGGATGAGAGATAACATGTCCTTCAAGGAGATGTTAATGAGACATAATGGAGAGTGGGAGGATCGAATTGAAGAAAGTAATTCAGAAGATAAAGAACCTCCTACAGAAGACCTAATTTTGGAGGACTAGCCAGAAACACCAGAAGTGGTTAGGGAAGAGGATGCGGATGGTAAAGTGAATTTCAAATTGTCAAACTCCTTCAAGAAGAAAGCCTGGAAGCCTTGGCATCAGTCCTTTTTCGTGAAATTGATGGGGAAAAATGTCTCTCTTGCGTTTATGAAGAAGAAGATGGAGAATTTGTGGGCACAGCAAGGTAAGGTCTTTGTCACTGACCTTGAAAATGATTATTTTTTAGTTCGTTTCTCAGATAAAAAAGACATGGATTTTGCTCTTACAGCAGGTCTATGGGTCATTTTTTATCACTATCTAGCCATTAGGTCTTGGGAACCTGATTTCCATCCCTATCAGGCCTATATTTTCTCGTATTATGGCCTGGGTGAGACTACCTGAATTTCCAATAGAATATGTTAATACTTCATTGATTAAGAATATTGGGAATTGGCTGGGAAAGTTCGTGAGAATTGATGCTGCCACTACTTCATTAGCTAGAGGCCGTTTTGCAAGAATGTGTGTGGAGTTAAATCTGACTCAGCCTCTTCAAGTGGAGTATAAGGTTGAGGGTAGATTGAAAAGGGTAGAATACGAGGAGCTGTATCTCATTTGTTACGGTTGTGGAAGATATGGTCACAGGTTGGAAAATTGCCCGAATAAAATTTGTGGAGTTCCTGATCTGACAAATTCTGTAATGGAAAAGGACTTGACTAGTCAGGAAACTGTTGTGGGAGATGTTTCAGTTGCGGGTGTGGAGACTTCTAAATTTGGCCCTTGGATGCAGGTGTTGAAAGGGAGCAGGTGTTGAAAGGGAGAAGGAATAAAGGGAATCAGGATCAAAGATCAGATTTAAAGAAAGGGAATGGGAATAAGCTAGCTGTTTAGATGCGAAATTCATTTACTAGTTTGAACAATCAGAATATGCAGGCAGAGAAACAGGATAATACAGGGGGTGAGAACATGAATAAGGTGTCAAGTCTGAGGTCCCTTCAATCCAAAGATAAGAAGAATGTGCCTGCTGCTGTTGAAATGGTGGAAACTTCATCACAATTTATCCTGGTGGGCAACCAAATAGAAAACAGCAGGATAAGCCAGGAGCTGAAGAAGGGACATCATAGTCAGGAGTTAGTGAGTGAGAAAAGATCTGAAAAGAAGAATCAGCTGAGGTTGTCAAAGGAGAATGGAGAAGCTAATTGTGCTGAGATGGTAAATACTAACAGTACAGAATATCATGGAATGACTAATATGACCCCTGTCATTCCGAATCATGAGTCTAATGTTCATGTTGTGAGAGGTGTGACTGGTCAACTGGATCCTAAACCTCCTGACCCGATGATGGAGGATTGTGAACAGGATGCTGATGCAAAAGATATGGAGGTTTTAGGTGCTAATGACAACAACATGTTGGGAGGGAATGAAAAACAGGGATTGTCAGGCCCTGTAACCTACTCTCAAAGTTTTTAATGAATTTTTTAATCTGGAATTCTAGAGGGGCTGCTCGACGAGAGTTTGGTAATGCCCTTAAAACTCTGGTTAAGAAGAATATGGTGGATGTGGCTGTAGTGCTTGAACCTAGGACTCAAAGTGGGATTTGTAAAAATATTATGAAGAAAGTAGGGTTTGACAGTTTTGTAGTGGAAGAAGCTCAAGGTTTTGCTGGTGGAATTTGGATCATGTGGCATAGTGAGAAGGTGAGTATAACTGTTTTTTCTCAAGCATCTCAATTTATCCACTGTAGAATTAATATTCCTAATGGCATTTGTTTTGACTTCACGACAATATATGCCAGTCCTTCCCAAAACATCAGAAACAATCTTTGGGAGGATCTCAGGGCTCTTAGTAATTATATATCTGGTCCTTAGGTACTTGGAGGGGATTTTAATGAAATTGCTTATTCTCATGAGAAGAAATGAGGTACTATAGCTGATCCTGTGAAGTGTGCGAGATTTGCTTCAGTGCTGGAAGACTGTAAGGTGGCTGATATGGGTTGTGATGGCCCTTTCTTTACGTGGCAAGGTCCTAAGTGGACTAATTTGAAGAGAGTTTACAAGAGGCTTGATAGAGCTGTTGCTAATGTAGAGTGGAGAATGTTATTTGATGGAGCAAGAGTGTCTTCTCTGCCTAGACTCTTATCAGATCACAATCCAATCCTTATCAAGCTTTTTGAAGACCAGAGTAGTGATAAAAAGAAGCCATTTAGATTCTTTGCTGCATGGCAAGAACATCAAAATTTTGTTGAGTTTCTTAACTCAAATTGGGATCTGAATTTTGACCTCCCTTATATGCTTCATAGTTTGATTCCTGAAATCAATGTGTGGAACAGAAGAGTCTTTAGTAATATTGATAGGAAGAAAAATTGGCTTATCAAGAGGATTGCTTATATTCAGGGTAGAAGGGAAGCTAATGATTCAGATCACTTGCATGCTATGGAGAAAGATTGTCAAGAGCAGTTTGGAAAGGTCCTTCTTGAAGAGGAGTTGTTTTGGTTTCAGAAATCAAGACAGAAGTGGATCACTGATGGTGACAGAAATACCAAGTTCTATCATCTTAGCACAGTGGTGAGGAGAAGCACTAATAAAATCTTTAAGTTAAAAAGTGAGGGTGATGCTTGGGTAACAAATGCTGCTGACCTGAAAGAGATGGCGGTGAACTATTTTAAGGATCTGTTCAATGAGGATTTTTTGGATAGAAGGTGGATCAGTTCTGAAAATCTCTGGCCTAAACTTTCGGTTTTGGAGAAAAATGATCTGGAGAGGTGTCCTAATGACCTTGAAATTAAACAAGCTTTGTTTAATATTGGTGCTTTAAAGGCACCGGGCATAGATGGTTATCCAACAATTTTCTTCCAAAAAAACTGGGATCTGATTAAAAAGCAAGTATGCTCTCTGATCTATCAGATTTGGGATTATCCAAATATTCTAGCTTCAATTAATTCTACACTTTTGGTTCTCATTCCAAAGGTGCAGAATCCGATTCATATTAGCCAGTTTAGACCTATCTCACTATGCCCAGTGGTGTATAAAATAGTCAGTAAAATTATTGTCAGCAGGCTTAAAATAATTATGGATAAGGTGGTGTCTCCTGCCCAGTCTAGTTTTGTGCCTAGTCGTCATATTCAGGATAACATTATTGTGGTTCAAGAGTTAGATCATTCTATGAGGAATATGAGAGGTAAAAGGTGTTTTATGGCGATCAAAGTGGATTTGGAAAAAGCTTATGACAGCCTAAATTGGAACTTCGTCAGGGGGATCCAATATCCCCGTATTTATTTGTGTTAGCTATGGAGAAACTATCCCATATAATTCAAACTGCAGTATATGGTAATTTGTGGCACCCTATCAAAGCAGGTAAAGGGGGTCCGAAAGTTTCACATTTATTATTTGATGATGATTTAATGCTCTTCTTAGAAGCTAGTGAGGATCAGATGCACATCCTTCTCCGCTGCTTGAACCTGTTTGGTGAAATCTCTGGCCAAAAAATTAGTGATCAGAAAACCAGTGTGTTTTTTTTCTAAAAATATTTCTGCTGAAACTGCTGACAAGATTATTCAAATCAGTGGTTTTAAGAGAGTGGCAAATATCGGCAAGTATCTTGGAGCTTTAATTCAGAATGGTAGGGTTACGAAATCCACTTTTGCTAGCATGGTGGATAGAGCAAAAGGAAGATTGACTAGTTGGCAAGCTAAAACTTTGTCTCAAGCAGGTAGAATTGTTTTATCTCAATCTGTCCTTTCTTCTTTACCTTACTATCATATGCAGTATGGTATGCTACCGAAGGCTAACTGTAATGATTTGGAAAAACTTCAGAGGTCTTTCATTTGGGGGGACTCGGCTGATAAAAGACACATGCATCTTGTTGGTTGGGATGCTATAGCTAGACCAAATAATCAAGGTGGTTTGGGTATTAAGAAGCTTACTGTGATGAATGAAGCGTTTATTGGGAAAATTGTTTGGACTTTTCTTACTGATCAGGATTGTCTTTGGGTTAAGGTGTTGCAAGCCAAATATGGAAATGTTTTTAATAGGCAGAATGATTTCATTAGGAGGCCTGGTAACTCGAACCTTTGGAAAGCCATGTGTGATATTTGGCACAAGTTACGTCCTAGACTGATTTGGGACATAAGTGATGGTTCAACAATTAAATTCTGGGAGGATAATTGGGTGAATCATGATAGCAATTTGGCTAGCAAGGCTCTCATCTATCTTTCGGATTCAGAGAATGAGAGGACAATTAAGGACTATGTTACTGTAGATGGGGTGTGGGACTATGGAGCACTTTCAAATAAGCTTCCAAATAATCTCATTTAAACTATCAGAAGTATCCTTCCTCTTCAAGGAGATGGTGGAGCGGACAGCTTTAGATGGAACTTGAATAATTCTAGTGAGGTGGCTGTTAAGCATCTGTATAATGCACTCCTTAATCATGATGGTGATGAGGATCTCGAGCATGGCATTTGGTCTATGATATGGAAGCTGAAAGTCCTTAATCGTTTGTGTGTCCTTCTGTGGAAAATTGCTCACCACCGTTTACCAACTCGAAGTCTGTTGGCTAGAAGAGAATTGGCCTCTCCAATTTGTCCGCTGTGTAATTCTCATGAAGAAACCATATTACATATGGCTAGGGACTGCAGTAAAATTCATCGGGTGTGGCAGGACCTCCTTAACCCTGTTTTTTATTCTTTATTCTTTAATGCATACTTGAATTCCTGGCTGCTGTTGAATCTGAAGAATGATGTAATAATGGAGAACAGTGCGCATTGGTCGTCCTTGTTTGCTGTTACGGTGGCATGTGCTTGGAGATGGAGAAATGAAATAGCTCATGGTGAGGAGGAGAATTTTTTGGCTTATAAGAGTCAGACTATTATTCAACAGGTGCATGAAATCTCTTCTACTTGGAATAATTCTTCGGTTGGGAGGACTGTAAGAAGACCGATTCAGATCCCTGTTGTTTGGCAACCCCCTGATACCGGTTGGATTAAAATTAACACAGATGGAGCATCTAAATTACATGCTGGTGATTCTGCTTGTGGTGGTATTTTGAGGGATGAAACTGGTAGGTGGCTCCAAGGTTTTTCCTATCATATAGGTAACTGTTCAACCTTTGTTGCTGAGCTTTGGAGTGTGCTTAAAGGTCTTGAAATGGCTTGGAATGGAGGTTGGCGGCGTTGTTTATTGGAAAGTGATGCTAGCTCAGTGATCACTTTGCTCTCCAAGAAAGGAGTTGCAGCTCGAGAGTCCCGGTTGGTGACTCACATTCAAGCATGGTTACATAAGGATTGGAAGGTGCGTCTAGTTCATGTTTTTAGAGAATGTATTGGGTGTGCGGACTAGCTGTCCAAATATCCATTAGATCACCATCTAGATAATAATTTTAGAATTTTTGATTCTCCTCCTCCTGGAATTTTGCCGTTGTATTTGGTTGATTTTTCGTTGTTTTGTAATTTTCGTAGAGTTCTTCTGAACTAGTTGTCTGTTTTGGGGTGTTTTACCCTTTCCTTTTACCAAAAAAAAAAAAAGAATACATACTTTTTTCAACTACTAATTCCATTTTGTTAACAAAAATTATTAATAGGACATTCTCAGTAAACAAAACAGCACAATTGACATTAAAATAAAATATAAATTTGTGATGAGTGTATATGATCATAAGTATTAAAAAAAATTGGCAAAAAAAAAAGACATTTTTGTGCATCGTAAATAATTTTTATAAATAAACTTACGGTTAAATATTTCTCATATTGTAGGAGATAAATTTATTTTCTATATACACAAAAAATATGTGGGAGCCATATTTTCTCTTTCTCTCTCTTCTTCTCACATGTGCCACATATAACATAAGAAACATTAAGGCAGTGTATTGGATTAGTATTTAAAAAACTTTTTTGAGATAATTTTTTTGTAGATTTTAAAAGACTATTTAGAATTGGAGGCACTTTGAAAAAAATTAAAAGACTTTTTTTACAATTAAGATTTCGTAAGATTGAATTTTAAAGGATTTTAATAGAATTTATAAGATTTTAAAAAATCATATAAAATTTTAACAAACATTCAAAATTACAAGAGTCAATAAAAAAATAACAAAGAAATTCAATGATATATTAATAAAAAATGTAAAACCTAATATAATTTTCTCAATCAGTAAAACATAATATAATTTTTAACAAATATTCAAAATTACTAAGCAACGGCTCTCCACATATCTAAAGTTATTATAGTCCTCAATGCGTTAGCATTTTCTCGTTCCTGCTCTTGGGTTTGACTAATGGGTTGAAAATTACATTCTTCATTTGATACCAAAGCTATCCATGTATGATTATAAGACCCAATTTTTTTATTCATTAAAATAATTCTAAATTTTCATATAGAACATACATTTCATGATAAAACTTCGTTTGGCATTTTTTACAATTGATTTTGGAAACCTTGGGGTTTTGTTTTACGATATGAGAGTTTTTTAACCATATATCATATGCATGTTTTCATTGAGTATTTTGAGAAAAAATTTTAATCTGAATTTATGGATTTTATTACATGAAAGTTTAGAAAAAATTTCAAATTATTTTCAATTGATACATTGAAACCTTAAATTGCTTTGGGGCTTTGGAAAACAAGTTTTTAGTTATTTATTGACACAAAAATTATTTAAAGTCATTTCATATAACAAAGGAATTTCATTTATGAATGTATTGTTACGAAATATAGGGTTCATATTATGAAAGTTTCAATTCTTTAAATTGATAGTTTTATTGATGTAAAACGAAAATTAATTTGAGGATTTTAGTTCCCTTGTTGTTTTTTCACCATTTTATGTTGTTTTTAATACAAAAATCACACATTTTTGTGCAAAGAAAAATAGCAACCCATAACTTAAAAATCATTTTTTAAACTTTCAAAAGTTCTCAAAAATTTGCTATTTTTGAAATGAATTGTATTAGAATCTTGTTGGTTTGATTTTTCTGAGTTATTTTGTGATGAAAGTCGCTAAAAAATTTGTTGTTTTTGGGCTTTGACGAAACTCCCGTGGCGGAACCAAGTTTCGAGCTGGTCAACCAGCCAAATAAAGAGGAACACACTGCAATAGAGAGACCTCCAGAAATCCTAGGGGTTATGGTGAGATTGTGAGAGACATCCTATTTATATTTCTCACTAAAAAGTCTCACGAAATTCACACCAATATAAAATTTATTAAAGGGAAAAAGACTTCCTATGTTGCATGAGAAGTCTCCTCTCCTACCACTCTCACTTCGATGTCTGTGCCAATCACTTTTCTATTTTTTATTTTTTTCTTCAAGGTGGACCCCACCCCTTTCTCTCTCGGTAGGAAAACTTGAATTTCTCATGCAACATGAGAAATTGCAAGCCCTTTATTAAAATATTCAAATTTTTTAATACACAAGATTGTTTTTTCTTTATTTAAAATCTTGATTGAATACCAACTGATTTTGACGAACTCTAAAATAATCTCTTAAAATCTTAATTGAATATCACATGACTTTTTTCTCAATCCTTTAAATCCTAATTGAATACCAACAGATTTTTTCCCAAAAATAATTTATTAAAATCTTTTAAAATCTCAATCCAATACATCCTCTAAACTTATAAACTTAAGACTTAAGAGACAAGAAGTAAAAATTTCACATTTAAAAATGAGTTTAACAAGCACATATGAGATTGTTTTTTTTCTTTTTAGAATTCATAAATAAAATGAAAATGTGAAAAATACTTTTTTTACATAATAATAATTATAATAAAGACCGGTATCTTGATGTGCATATTTTTTTTTTACAGTCGAAATTGAAAAAGTATAATTTTAAAAGTTTAGTCTTTATATAATTATTTAATTGTAATTACTTATTTAATATTTTATTTATATAAAACACAAATAATTACTATTTACTAACTACATGTCTACATCATTCTATTTTTTAGAAGAAAACTTGTAAGATACAAAACACCAAAATCAAAATATAATATAAAAGTGAGTTCACTAATTAAACTTTTAAGACAAAGCTTGTACAATGAAATTAAACGATACATGTGCTTATATTTTTTTTTAAATTATATTCAAAGTACTTTAAAAAAAAAACTTTTGGTCGAAGATATTATTGTAAAATTAGATATCAAGATTTGATACTTTTAGGGAGCATTTGGTTGAGGAGAAAATTTATTAATAATAGAGAAATGTTATTACTAGGGAAATGGTTGGGAAGTGAGTTAGGTAGGGAAATATAAAAAAAGTTGTTTTGTTGAGAAAAAATTTACCGAGAAAAATAGGTAAATTTTATAAAGTCTATGTTTGGTTTTAGGTAAAATATAGATGAAAAAAAATTGCTATTACAAAAATAACCTTATTTTTAAAAAAAAAATTCACTTTCACGCGCTCTAGCAATGATACGTTCATCATCTGATTATTGTCCAATGTGACCATTTAGGTAGACAACCCACGATACCACATCTCAAGTGGGAATATATGGCCATCTATTTTGGTCAAATAGACATGCAAATTGATAAGCTGGGATACTGATATAAGTAAGCAAATATTAGAAACGGTTCAACCAAACAAGATCACGATATAATCTCAGTTCTCCAATACCTATCTATCCCATCACATTCCTCCGACCAAAGACACCCTTACTTTCATATACAGTTATACTGAGCACTTGACAAAATTATGCTACCACATTTTTAAAGTAATAGGCTAAAACTTAAATATGAATTATAATATTAAAAAAAATAAAAACATTGGTATCGACAGTGGATTTAATTAATAGCATCAAAATATAATTGGTAAAAAATAATTTGGATTTGATTAGAATAAATATTACTATAAATAATTAAAAATATTTTAGCAAGGCTTGCTTGATATTGAAAGTTGAAACGAAACAATCTCTCTTTTTTTAATTATTATTCAAAAAAAAGAAACAAATTTTTTCTTAAAAAGAAAGTGAAGTTAATGCGCACGGTTACCGCTGACTAGCCGATCCTCTAGGCCACAAGCCAGATAAAAAAACCATGCACTGTATATTTCCCATTTTTTACACGTATCTTTTGTTAGACAGGTGGCACCGTTAATTGGGTCCATCGTCATATTAATTATCGCATAGAGCCACGGCTTCGACATTTTGCATTCCGATAACCCTCGATCTCGCTCTCCCACTATATCCCCTCCCCCACCATCCGCGACCCTTATTCTCCTCACGAAGAAAATGGTCAGTTTTTCTTTTCCTTTCTTTTTTCTACTCTCTTCGCTTGCTCTTTATTTTTTTTCCCTCTGCGGTGCTTGGTAACCGTAAATTATGAGAAAACGGAAACAGGAAGCACTGGAATTTCCTCTACCATAATCGATGCATGATTTGAAGTTTTCTTCGAATATTTAAGTGGAATATACATTCCTGGCATTCAGCTTGTTTTCGGTTTTCATGAATTACTGATTTATCTAGAATTTTGTTGAGTTCGAGTTCCTATCCTTTTCGATCTGATCATCAACACTGAGGGCTATAGAACTGGGGGATTATGCTTGATTTTTATTTTTCGTGGACTGTGTATTCGTGTGCTATTTGCTTGCGGATCTGATTTTGATATCAATTTCAGTGTTTAGTTTGGATTCGCCTTGTACGATAGCGTTTGGCCCAATCGAATTATTCAAGAATTTTTCCTTTAATTTGTATGTGGTAGTGATTGTTTGGAAATGCTACGGATCTACCAGAGTATTTGGACTATTGATTGTGACAGCACTGTTGTTTACCCTAGATGTTGTTGATCGAGTTAGTTTTATAATATTTTAGTGGCGATTGTGATTTGTGATAGCATGTAATGTGTTTGATATTTGGAGCTTATTTTATTTTTTATGTTTACAATTACGTGGATCCATTTTTCTTTACCTTTATTCATCATATACTTATTAGAGTTGGTTTTGGACGGAACATAATGGCTTTATTTGTTCGTGTAACAGACCTCACCTAGTGGGAAAATATTTTGATTGTTGTTATCCATCATATACTTGTTAGCTGTTTTCCTTTTTCCTTTGAACCACAAATTAAACTGTAAAAACATTTACTCTTCTATGTATGTGGCATGATTTTGCTGATCTGTTTGTATTAGAAATAGAAATATTATTTAGGATATTTTGGTATATGGTTATTCTAGAATCTTCTGTTGCTCTGGTACCATGTTAGAAGGTAAAAGAGAGACAATGATGATTAAAATTATGAAAAGAGAAATCAGAGAAAATTTGATATTATTGATAGGGTAATTAATTTGTACATAAATGAGGCTCTTATATAAAAGAGCAAGAGAAGATTCTAGAATAACCATATACCAAAATATCCTAAATAATATTTCTATTTCTAATAGTTTGTTTGTAGCATTGCAAGTGTAGAGCGGCATTCCCTTGTGTCAAATGTTAGCTACATTCTGATGTCCATGATGTGTTTGCAAATTGCAACTTTACAGGCAAATGCAGCATCGGGTATGGCTGTCCATGATGACTGCAAGTTAAAGTTTCTGGAGCTCAAGGCGAAAAGGACATATCGGTTTATAGTTTACAAGATTGAGGAGAAGCAGAAGCAAGTTGTTGTGGAGAAGCTTGGTGAGCCAGCAAATGGTTATGAAGATTTCGCTGCCAGTCTTCCTGCTGATGAGTGTCGATATGCTGTTTATGATTTTGATTTTGTCACGGAAGAGAATTGTCAGAAAAGCAGAATTTTCTTCATTGCTTGGTAATATTAACTTATTTGCTCTTATATAGAAAATGAAAGAAAAAATAGGTACGCATGTGTTATTAGTACTTTTTAATTGATTTTGTCTGTATTGATTCTGTTGCTTGTTTGAAGGTGCCCTGATACATCAAGGGTTAGGAGCAAGATGATTTATGCAAGCTCCAAAGACAGATTCAAGAGGGAGCTCGATGGAATCCAAATAGAGTTGCAAGCAACTGATCCTACTGAGATGGGTCTTGATGTGTTCAAAAGCCGTGCGAACTAAATGATTATGAATATAAGGAGTTTGGTGGGTAGCGCCCTTCAACCTTAGTTACTCATATGAAAATGTTTATAGTTTGTGGGATGGTCAACTTGGTTAATTACGGTCTCAGTGTTCCAAGTTTTGACATGGAGCCTATTGAACCTCCAACAAGCTTCTCTTGTTCCAGTGTATCTTGTGGTTTGTGATTTATACAACCTGTGTTTGAGTGGCATTTTAGTCCTATGAATTCGTGTTATCAGACATAAACTTGGGTTCAGTTATTTCTTAAATATTGACACTAGTCATTTTACTAACACCTTTTACTACAATTGGTTGAAATGTTCCTAATTAGTAAAGAATGAATTGTCGAGTGAAATCTCTTGTGAACCAAGTCAACCCGATAAGAAAATCGAGTGGGGTTGGTAGCCGAATAATACTGAAATATGACTGGCGTATATTTCTGAAAAACATTTTATTTGTGGCAGTTTTCATTTATTCATTAAGAATATAAAACAGAGTGTCAAACGAATTGCTAGGTTGAACCAATGTAAATTTTAGAAATGAAATTATCTATATAGTCAGGGTCTCAGCTATAAAGTCACTTCTTCCTTTTGGCCCTCTTGGTCTATGAATTTCAAGGACTCGTTGTGTGTCTTAAGTTTTGAACATCTCTACTTAAAGAGTTGTTTATATGGTGGCGTTGTTTGAGAATATGTTAATGCACCACTTCAATGGTGCATTTGTTTACCGTACAGAAACACTTGAGAGTACTATTGAACTCCCTATCTTTGGACTAAAATGGAAAGTCAATGACGTGCTTCTTTTCGTAAGAGGGGAAAGGTGGATCTTGAATCATCCTTTCCTGATGCAATCGAGATTTGATTGTTCAAGAGATACAAATCCTTCAGTTTACCACGGTCCATTAAAACGCCATTTCTTTAGGGATAAGCAAAGAAGGGTGCTGACATTTCTTTTAAGGCACGTATGGGATAGCTTTGCTTCTCATGTTGGTAGTCTCCTCTTTGATTTCATCCTCTAGCTACCTTATCAGGTTCGTATACCTCATCGTCGTGTATAATTTGGTTCTTAATCCCTTAAAATAATGGTAGTAAGGGGAAACAAAATTCCGATGTGCTATTAGCTTTCGACGAGGAAAACAAGCTCCCCTGGCGTCTGAACTGCGTGAAAGAATCTATACAACCATGTACAGAGTTATAATAGTATATTAATCTACTTCTGTGTAACAAAACAAAGTTTTTACTCTTTAAAATAGAACAATCTTTTATTATGCTCTCTTCTCCTTTAAAGTGGGACAATTCTCTATTTTACTTTCTTTCTCATTTAAGACATGAGGTATCACTGTCGTTTTAACATTTTTCTATGTTTTTAACGTGGGTTATATACTTCTTATGTGACTGAAAAAAAAACATCTGCAGCAACTATTAACGACGTCGTTTCTCGCTTTCCTTTTAGTTCTTTTCTTTTTTTGTATTGCGTTTCCTTTCACTCTTTTTCTTTCTTTGTACGAGAAGACACCACTCCTACCACCATTTCGCTCCACCACCACCGTGCAACATCATCATCGTTTTCCATCACCTCCGTGCAGCACCACTTCCATGGCTATATTTCCTCTATTGCTATGAAAATTTTGGTTTGCTACACTCCAACAACAGTAGTTCAATTCTAGGGTTTTGGGGTTTTTGCTTTTGGTGATTTTAATTGACAGGATGCCCTCAACCATCTCAAAGTTGTTATAGAAGCTGTCATGGATCAAGGTCTTCCCTTTATCATGTTCTTTCTCATCTTCCTTTATTTTTTTTCTGGCTTTCTCAACTTTTTTTTAATTTTTAACTCCAATGATGCTAGTTGAGGAGCCATTGCAGAATTTTTTTTGAAATTCTTATGTACACCAAATTACTGACTCGTGGTTGGAATTTAAAGTGAACTAATTTTTCTTTTCCTTGGTGTAGTAATAATGCAATGAGCGTGTGGGCAAAGGAAAAGGAAAACGTACAGGATTTAGGGGTTCCCCATCTATTGCACAAGTATAATTCCCTTTACTTTCACAAAACCTTATTAGAAAATTGCACGAAGTTGATAGCCTATATATGTTATAACATGCTTTGAATCTTAAACCCTGGATCCTCGTCATTCCATCATGAATGCATAAGCAAAACTTTTAGGTAGACACCTTTGACCCATTGCATTTTCTGCCTCATTCATCTTGAGCATCAGTGCCTTTGTAGCTGCACCACCTCCCCTTACACATCGGAACGGTCATCATGAAGAAGACTCGTAAACAACACCACAATGAGGTGATAACTAGATGTTGAACAATCCTCATATTAAGTAACTATTTAAGAGGTCTCTCTGAATCCAAATTTCTTGCTCAGTTGGTTTTAGTTCTCCTTCTCTATAGAATGCAACTCATCAGCTTCCCACCAAAGTACTTAATAGATGAGTATATTGGACATTGGTACACTAACATTGCTTGTGAGGCTTGAATAGGTGTTTACCAAAAAAATAACTAAGAAACCCCTATTCACCCTGGCAACCCCTGCAAATCATTGACAACTTGGTTTGATGGTTTACTCTATATCTTCTCTCATCAAGGGTGTGAACAAGTTCACTCTATGGGGGAAAAGCTTAAAAAAGAGGATAAACATGGGTAAATTCCATTTCCGTGAACATCACAAATGTTATGGCTTTATATATGGCCTACATCTTACTTGTTTGAGCTTCCTCTGTTTTGGTCTTGTTGGCTTTTGGGTGTTGAAAAATACTACTCATAATCACATCAACAATGACTTATTTAATGGCTCATTTTGCAGTACCCATTTCAGTGAAGGGGTAATAAATTTAAAAATAATGCCACTCACATGCTTCAATTTCATTACAAATTTTTTTGTTGAATATATATATTTTTAATTATATCAGTTTAACTTGTGTGAATGATGTTACTCTTTAATTTCACTTATGGGTACAATATTCAAAATGTATAGAATAAGTAATTTTTTTATTATTAATATAAAGTCTACTATATACAATAAGCAGCTCATAAATAATTGATAACTTATTTAAGTACATAAATTACAAAATTAAGCTGGACCAAATTGAATGATTGTGTGATATTTGGAAAATAATTATTATTTAGTCTATAATTGTTTTTATATTTTATAAAACGCATTATAGGATTGGATTTAGTTTTTGAATGATGCCCCTAAAGTTAGAAGTTTTAAGATAATAACTCAATTCCTAGTGTCTATTCAGGCCAATTTACTTGCATATTGACATATAAAGGTAATTGTCCTTTTAATTTTGTTAATGGCCAAGTATACGTAGGATCTTACTCGATAGGCATGGGAGCAATTCCTTGGGTTATAATGTCCGAGGTAGCTTCATCTTATCATGCTTCAACTCATGAAATAAAAATTCAAACATAACAAATCATCAGCATGATGAATTAATGGTTATATTTTTATTTTCTAGATATTTCCCATAAACATGAAGGTCTCTGCTGGAAGCTTTGTGACCTTGGTTAACTGGTTGTGTTCTTGGATTGTTTCATATGCGTTTAACTTATGAATTGGAGTTCAGCAGGTAGGTTTGCATTTATTATTCTTGATCCCTGCTTCCCACACATTCATTCCTTTAAAAGATAAAGCAAATAATACGTATGGTATTTCTTGGAGATGAACTCATTTACTAACAGAACATATGTATTGGTGCAGCAGGAGATCAACAGCTTGGGAAGTAAAAGAAAATTCAAATTCAAGAAGTGAAACAGCTTTTCCCTACATCAGTTTTAAGCATTGGAACTAGAATTAGAATGTGAGAAAAGAAAGAAATTTCAAAGGGGGATGGGGGATAGATAGATATCATTGAAGCATTATAATTGGCTTGATATTTTAAAATTATGCAGAACGTGTTTTTACTCAGTACTAAAGAGGTGGGAAAATATTGACAAAGCACAACTCCTTACAAGATGACAAAGATAGTACATGATGTTTTGTTACCATTACTAGCAGCAACTCACTGCTTGCTTGTAACAATGAAATATATGATTGTAATTAATGAGTAAAAAAAAAATTACTCACGTGAATGAACAGTATATCATCTGAACTAAAATTGGAATGACACAAGGCCCTAATATATTTTACATCAAGAAACTAAATTGTAGATTAAACAAGCTTGTAGTGACAGTTGTTTCCAGATAGAAGAATTTGATAGCCTCAGCTCCTTCATGTTCTGAATAGTGACTTCCCAACCTTGGATCAATAAGTTCCTCATTCGCATAATCTTCTAACAGTGGTCGTGCATGTCTAAGTTCCTCAATCGCAAAATCACCAACCTCGCAAAATTCAACACAATTACTTAATAAAGACATTATCATGATAGAAACACAATAGCAAACTTACAATATTACACTTGTTGTATGCATTGAAGTTCCTTTGTACAAATCAAAAAATAGCAGTTGGCTTTACACTTTACATTTGGTTACCATATCTGTCAAAGTCACAAAAAACTCATATCCCTTTACACTTTACATTTGGTTACCAAATCTGATAAAAGTAACAAAAAAAGTCTTATCCCTTTACACTTCATCACAGAGATTGTATATACACAAAAAAATTCTCCATGTACATTTGAAACCCATAGTACTTATAGTATTTACTTCTCCAACCAGCAGTGTCCCAAAATATTTCCTGAAAAATAAGTAAAAACAGTATTAAGTATTTAAATACAAATATATATTAAAAGGTTATAGTTAAAATTATAATAATTCAAATGGTTCATCAAAAATAAGTTCAAAACAAAATAAAACCATGAAATATGTGCAATCGCAACTATTCTTTTGGCTTCTCTCCTGCAACTTCCATCTACAAATGAAACTTCACAAATTTTTTATCAAGTTTAAATAGGAAATCACAAACATAAATAGAAAATTTAAAAATGAGTATCTTTAGCATCTGACAACCTGTTTTATTATGACCCTTCCCTCGACATTAACTGCAAGTTTTTTGTGTTTTGTTGACAACTCCATGCTTGATTTTATTCGTGAAGCAACCTTTGGACGCCCTTTAGTTTTGACTGGTTGAGTAGGATCATGCACATCATTAATAAGTGAAGTTTGTGGAATCATTTGGGTAATTTGTTCATCTTCACCTCTCTTTCTTTTTCTTTCCAACTGTTGTTGCAAAAATTCAGCAACCATAACATCAAATCTTTTAATCTCAAAAATAGAATCTCGTGCTTCAGAAATAGCCATAGTGCACTTCAAATGAATCGACCACAAAGCCAATGCACTAATTTCATCAGGATTTGTTTCATCATGAATGGATACAAGATTTTCAGCCTTATAGCTTGTATTCATAGTCCATCTAAACAAGATATTTTTTCAGGAAGGGTCATTATTTGTTTCTTCTTCATAATGTATAGAATATGTTTACACAAAATCCCCATAGTCTCAAACTTTGCACATGAACATTGAGTTGTGAAGCTTTCTGTCAAATGATACTCGACAATTGCCCACATTTCTTTATCAACTTCACGAGACCCCACTCGATACATGATAAGGTTTTCCTTCGTTGCAATCTTTTCATGAAAATAATCAAGTATGGCAGCCTTCCACTCCTTTTTGAAAATTTCAAATAATTTTCTTGTGTACCATTCACCAGCTATTTCTTCAATAGGATGATTAGTCTCCAAAACTGCTTTTGTATTTCTAGTTTTGAAATCCTCATCTTCCTCCGCATCCCTCCTAGATTTGATTTCTTTGTCATACTGGATAACAAAATCATTTAACATTGTATTAGAGTTGACATATCCATCAAAAAATGCATTGATGCTCTCACTTCGGCCACTTGTGGTCATTCCAGCAAAAAAGGTATCTTTCAAGTATGCCTTTGCCCAATGATGCCGAGAAGCGTGCATGTTAGCCAGCCAACTATCTGTCTTAATAACATATTTAGTCCTCAATACTTCCCATTTGCCTTCAAACTCATCAATGTTGCGACTTTTATACCATGCACGGAAGTCAACATCAAAATCATCTTTAAATTGTGCGCGTAGTGCTTGACTATGCTCCATAACATGTTTCTTTATATGCCAAGCGCAAAAACGATGTCGTGCTTCAGGAAATATCTTGGCAATTGCTTTTCCCATGGCTTTATCTTGATCAGTGATAATAGCAACAGGAGACTTGTCAAACATACATGTCCGAAATTGTTCAAACAACCATGTAAAAATTGCTTCCGTTTCATCTTCTAGCAAAGCGGCAGCAAATAAAATTGTTTGCCCATGGTGATTAACTCCCACAAAAGGAGCAAAAGGAAACTTGAACTTGTTTGTTCTGTAAGTCACATCAAAGACAAGGACTTCACCAAAATGAGCATATGCAGCTCTTGACCTACCATCTGCCCAGAATATGCTTCTTAATGTTCCATCTTCTGCGAAATGCATAGCAAAATAAAAAGCTCCATCAACCATGGACTTCCTTTGAAAGTGTTTGATGATGCCCTGACATTCTCGCCCTACATTATTCTTTCGCTGGCTAGATATAATACTGTTGATTTGAACGGGAGTAAGATTAACCTCTTTATTCATAGCACTCACAACCTTTGAGATTTTCGAAGATGTTAAACCCTCTTGAAAAAGTTTAGACACAATTGATTTTGTCAAATCTGAGCGTCTTAATGGATTTTGAGAAAGAAACTTCTTCACCTTTGTTGGAGTGTTAATCATTGGATGATTGTGTATATCATTGAACTTATCCACTTTCCATAGGCCATCCAGTAACTTTACTTGTAACATCGCCAAACAATTAGTTCTTGTATCCCTTTGCCTTTTAACATTGTCAACATCAATTCTTTTAACATCTAGTCTCTTGACACCTTGCTTTGAGCACACATATCTCCACCTATAAGGTTGTTTTGTAATTGTACTCTTGTTATGGTATTGCTTACGTATTCCGAACCCCTTACCTTTTGCGTAAGCATTATAAAAAATATAAGCTTCTTCTGATGTCTCAAAAACTCTAGTTAAAATAGGGGTCTCGCTTAATTCAGTATCAACATCTCCCACAATTTCATGTCCACCATCTTCTTCACATTCACCATCTTTGTTTGTCATGATTTCACTAAGATCATCTTCTTCACATTCACCATCTTTTTTTGCCATGATTTCACTAAGATCATCTTCTTTAAATTCATCAGTGTCTTTTTCCAAATCAACAATATCATCTACACATACTAAACTTCCACTCATATCAATGTCTTCAATAGTTATAATTTGAGAGTGATCCATCATGAAGAAAAAATTTAAATCTGCAAAATATAGGTGCTCTAAGAAAAAAATTAAATCTTCAAAATTTTTAGGTATACTCCAATAGAGAGAGATTGTGAGTCATAATCCTGATGCTTATCACTTTTAATCAAAAACTTAATCAACGTGTTTTGCTTATATTAATATTTTTGTTGTAGTATAATACAAGACAAAGTTAGGATACACGATACTACACTCAGAGACAAAACACATTAAAAACTAGAAAGTAATACTATCAAGAATAAAAATTTATGGGTTTGACATCACTCTTTCACAGTCATAAAACAAAGTATTATTGAATACATTAAAGTTAGATACCTAGAGCTTGAATTTAAATTTATGAGATTTTATATAGCCATAGTTGCATAAGAATTACTAGTACTCCAATAAGCGCCAGAATGAGACTGATTCCCTTCAGTTTATGTAGGTCCTGCATAAGGCAAGCTTAATTATTCTTTGAAATAATTCATGTGAAAAATAATTTATTATACCAGATTTTGTTATTAAAAGAACCTGCATGAAGAATGATAGAGCTGCGAGGAAGCATCCTAAACATGTATCCTAAACATGTTCCCAGTGCAGACACCTACACAAGAGTCAAAATTTCGGGTTCAAAATTTACAGAACACCACAAAAAGTAGAAAAAAAAGCTCAACCTATTTAATTTACTAACAAAAGTGTCGTCTTCCAAATTTATCCAACAAAATTAAATTGAAAAATTGTCATTGGGATCTATAAACACAAATGACAGATTTGTGTGAAGAGAGTCAAGAATGAAAAGTACACTTATCAAAAGTAGTAATTAGTAGAAGGATTGAAAAGAGAGTACATAAGGATGAAAAAAAAGGAATTATACTTGTGCAATAGATAGGGGACCCCTAAATCCGGTATGTTTTCCTTTTCCTTAGCCCACACGCTCATTGCATTATTACTACACCAAGAAAAAGAAAAATTAGTTCACTTTAAAATCCAACCACGAGTCAGTAATTTGGTGTACATAAGAATTTCAAAAAAAATTCTGCAATGGCTCCTCAACTAGCATCATTGGAGTTAAAAATTAAAAAAAAGTTGAGAAAGCCAGAAAAAAAATAAAGGAAGATGAGAAAGAACATGATAAAGGGAAGACCTTGATCCATGACAACTTTGAGATGGTTGAGGACATCCTGTCAATTAAAATCACCAAAAGCAAAAACCCCAAAACCCCAGAATTGAATTACTGTTGTTGGAGTGTAGCAAACCAAAATTTTCATAGCAGTAGAGGAAAGATAACCATGGAAGTGGTGCTGCACGGAGGTGGTGGAAAACGATGATGGTGTTGCACGGTGGTGGTGGAGCGAAATGGTGGTACCAGTGGCGTCTTCTAGTACAGAGAAAGAAAAAGAGTGAAAGGAAACGCAATACAAAAAAAGAAAAAGAATTAAAAGGAAAGTGAGAAACGACGTCGTTAAAAGTTGCTGCAGATGTTTTTTCTTTCAGTCACATAAGAAGTATATAACCCTTTTAACATTCCCTAAACTTGTGTATGTATCAAAAATATCAAATATATGTAATTTACAAAAAAGAAAACACATATATGATCCGAAAACCTTGTCCGGAACATATGTAATTATAGATAATATAAAATTCTAATTATATATTTAAATAGGCAGTGTTTTAAAATCTCATCCCGTCCTCCGGGTTGACCCGGATCAACCTTGACCCTCCCCTCTGAGGGTTGGGGTCACAAATTAGACCCTATATGTATATCGACTCCTCTGACTCCCAAAATTCGGTCAGGTTTTAGTGACTCTCGGGTTAGAGGGGTCAAAGGGGGTCACTACGTGTTTTTTTTTTTAATTCCATGAAACAACATCGTTTTATTAAAAAGATAAAATAAAAATACATGCAAACCTAAATCTAATCGTTCTCTTCTCTCCCAGCGACGTAGACATCTTCAAACTTCACCTCGTTGCCGTGAATCTTCTAGAAAAGGTAAGAATTTTATCCATTCAAATGAAATCCTTACGGTCGATGGAAAACAAAAACTCATTCTTACTTCCTTTAGATTTTCCTTTGTCAGGGACCTTCTCAAAAGAGGCAGAACCTGGTCAGCGTAGTGATTCCATTAGAATATGAGTTGTGTACTTTGGTATCTTGATACTTTAATTAGGTTGTGTAATATTAACTTTTGGTTGTAATTAGTGAATTATGTTAAGTATATTTTAAATCTTTGATGATTGGTGATTTGTTTTTTAATATTTTCATATAAGATATATATATTTATATTTTTTTAATATATAAAACCGGGTCAAACCCCGTGACCCTTCGGTTGAACACGTGACTCTGTGACCCTTGACCTCGACCGGGTCGATGGCCGGGCTGAGTTTTTAAACACTGTAAATAGGTAATAGCGTGATTTGCCAAATAAATTTTATTATAAAATCATAAATACTATCCACATGTTTGGTACACAGGATAGTAAAAGACCTAATAGTATAAGGTCTGATTGTATAAGGCTTGATTAAATTTTAATATAATTCAGCATTTGGCATAATATTTTATAGTATAATATATTGTATAAGATAATACTATTCATTGTTTGGTAATTCACTGTATAACACTAAATAGGATAAAAATAAATATTTTTAACATAAATATCCTTTAATAATAAATTTATATAATTCTTCCAATTATGTGATATCAATTTTTATAAAAATTTATCCATCAATATGTTCAAAAAATATATCAACTTTTGTTAAAATAAAAATCTTCAATATTTTAAAAATTTCATACATCACATTTCTTTCCCAGCATTACTCATAGACCATCTTGGTCTTCCTCCCCCTTTCTTCAAGAATTAAGGATCCATACTCAGATTCTCATAGTATTCAAAAATTCAATTAATTCGTTCGAGCACGATCAACAACAAACAGAGTCTGACTAATAAAACAAATGGTGCCAAATTTCTTACTCTGGATTGGCTTTAAAGGGGTAAAATTCAAATTCTGGACTCATTGCTTAAACTTGAATACCAAATTAACAGAAAAGCAGGCTATTTCTGCATAGGTTTTCTTCATTCCATTATATCCTGCAAAATTTCTAACCAGAAAATGTAAACAAGAAAATGAATAATTGCATTTCTCACGTCATATACAAATCCATAGAATGAAATACAGAAAAAACCAATTTCTCGGTTTCGCCGTCGAATGCGGCATCGAACATTGCGAGGTTAGCAGCCATGAATGCAACCCTAAAGCAGAGGGAGTGTTCGAAGAGCAACTGAGTTGACTCGGCGTATTCCCTGATGAACAGCTCCGCCACGGGTGGTGGATTTTCAACCTGGTTTATGTGCGATTTCAGCGCCGAAACCCTGCAAATCCGTGTAAAGAACCTTGGGATACACCACCCCAAAAGCTAGCTCAAAGGGTGAGAGTGCCCAAGGCCTTATAATCTCCACATTAGTTGGACATACAACCAATGTGGGACTATTATATATCTCAACACGCCCCCTCACACGAGAGCGGACTATATATCTCGCCTCCTCACACGAGAGCCCTTTGGGCTTGAAGCGTAGACAATGCAACAGGCCCAGCCAACCTGTGCTAAGAAACTCCACAAGAGAAAGTGAGGGGCAGCACGAGACTCTGATACCATGTAAAGAACCTTGGGATACACCACCCCAAAAGCTAGCTCAAAGGGTGGGAGTGCCCAAGGCCTTATAAACTCTCCACATTAGTTGCACATACAACCAACGTGAGACTATATATCTCAACAATCCGTGAATCGTCGATCCAAATTTTCGGTGGGGTTCGAAGCCTGCCCAAAACGGGCAAGGATCTCTGTCCCAGACTCTAATTTCCCTTTGAAAATCTTCGATGTAGCCTCCACTAACGACTGCTTGGAACAGCTCGAAGCAGTGGAAGAAGAAGATGAACTTCGCGAATATTTGGTAAGTCTTCCATTCTTTTGTGAGCAGAACGTGAATGCAGCTTACCATCGGAGAGAGAGGCGGACGCGATAAACCAGCAGAGAGAGAGAGTGTTGGTGAAGAAAGGGAGAAGAAGAAAAAATGTTTACAGTGGGAAAAAAAGGAGGGATATTCTTACTACTAAAATTTTCTACTACCAACTTACTACCTATCTAATCACCGTTGGATTAACATTTTCTCTCTCTTCAAAAACTTTTTAACATTCTCTCTCTTTGATCCAATGATGATTAGATGGGTAGTAAGTTGGTAGTGAAAAATTTGAGTAGTAAGAATATCCCTCCTCGAAAAAAAATGGGAAGGAGAAGAAAACAAGTAGAAAGGTTAAAACAGGGAAGAAAAAGGTGGGGAGAGGTTAAGCTAATACTTAGTACATTAACCATTTATATTTATCGGGTCTAATCCCATCTTTATAGACTTGATAACCGGATAAGCTTATAATCAAAATGATGTATTAAACCTACAAGGTAGCTCAGTTGGCTCCAAAGGTTTGCTTGAGTCAGGGGTTCAAACCCTGCCTCAAGCAAATTCTTAGAAAATCTTTGGGGTCAGAGGACATGCCTCGAATGGGGGATTAGTCTCATCCTTCCTCCGGTAGCGAAGCTCAATGCATCCGCTGTTCCAATGACCGGAGGAGATTAGATTGAGAAGATTTCAATGGATTATTTTCGAATAAATTTTTTTTGTGGTTTTAAATTAGGATTTTAAAGGATTGAAAAAGTCATTTAAATAAGATTTTAAAAGATTATTTTAGAGTCCTTCCAAAACCTTTGATATTCAATCAACATTTAAAACAAAAGAAAAATAATTTTGTGGTTTTAATAAATTTTCTATTGATATGGATTTCGTGAGATTTTTAGTGATAAATATAAATATGATGTCTCTCTCACAATTTTAACCTATCTCATAGGATTTGTTGAGATTTCTTTATTGCGGTGTCGCACACTCTGCTCTAGCATTTTCTTAAAGCCAAGGCATGCTTTTTTTTTACTCTCATATATTTTATCAAATTTTGGTATTCTTCCTTCATGATTAATTATGTGTTTCATTGTTTTTTTTTATCAAAGTTATATAGAGTTGACGATAAACATGTACTTTTTATTTTTTTGGTAAACAGAAGGCCTAAGCCAAAAGAACAACAAAGACAACCAAAACCGAAACTAAATCCTACACCTCACTTCCCTTGACCTACTGACACAAGTCACCACGGAGAAGATGAAGAATGCCAGGAGGAGGATCCCTCCAAAACTGATAAGTAATGGAATCATCCGAATCCAGAATAAAATTCGCCAACCAATCAGCACAGACGACGTTTCTCTCTATAAGTATGCATCAAAGTAACTGACCAACTCCTATTGATCCATGTCCGTATACGAGCAATCAGATGACACTCACGGACTGCTACACCAGACTTGGTGAGCACAGTGATCACACTAATGAATCACTCTCAATGATTATATTACGAAATCCTTCGTTCCAAGCTAGCTCCAAACCATGAAGAACACCCCAGAGCTCAGCCTTAAAAGAAGAGCAAACCCCCAATTTGTAAGCAAAACCCCCCAGCCATCTCCCTTGAGAATTACGAATCAAACCCCCACAAGCAGTTAGGCCAGGATTACCTCTAGCTGCACCATCTATGTTAATTTTTACTGACCCATCTGTTGGATATTGCCAAGTAATGTCCATCTTCATTGAAAACTTTACTGGAAGCCTCTCCTGAGCACTAGCTAAAGCATTGTTAATGTCCCTCACAGAGCTGCAAATAATCCCTTTCCTCACATTTAAGCAAGGAAAAGCCGAGCCATGCACCAATTCATTACGCCACTTCCAATTTTTCCAACAAATAACAAAAAACAAATTCCTCCAACCATTCGTAATCTCATGCTTATCCATGTCCATATTAACCGATAACCAATGATCAACATCACCAAAGAAGAAGTTTGCAAACTTGTCCGAAGGCACAAAATGAGACCAAACGGACTTAGCCTCATGACAGTCCCGAATCGCATGTAACAAGGTTTCACTCTCCTCCCTACAAATAGGACACGATTCAGTGCCAGTCCCCCAAAGAGCAGTCCTACTTCGAGTGAAGAGCTTTTTGTGGCAAACCTTCCACGTAAACAACTTGATTCTTTGAGGACCATTCCAATCCCACACCCACTGCCATCTACCATCAGCCAAACCCGAGATTAACTCTTGGCCAACAAGAGCCTTATAGATCGCCCTTACTGTTATGGTGTTCTCACCATCAAGATCCCAATACTTGCTGTCAGGACCATCATTTACACCTGAAGTTAATGTCCCGCGAAAAATATCAATGACATCTCTCGGGAACCAAAGGCTTAAAGAATCATAATTCCAATCTCCATTAGAGTTAACCATATCAGTGACGATAAACATGTATTTAATCTCTAAATAATGTATCCACTCACGTCTTCAATTTGAAATTGAACTAATAAACTTACAACATACATTCTTCGTCGACCTTCTTCTTTTATATATTGTTTGAATTATAATGAACATAAAATCCTAATATTCTGTGTTTGACAAAGATATATATTAAAAATCCTAATAATATACTTTTTAATTAGACATTTTCAAAAACTTATGTCTATTTTCTTCATAATCTATTCATAGACTGACTTATTTCCCCTTATCCAGGAACGAGGCAACCTCGTTAATCCAAACGAAGGTGTGATAACTTGAGTTTTGAAGGGTGATAACTTATTAAAGAATAAAAGAAACTGGACTAATGGGCCGGGTCCTTTACATATCTAGATAACAAAAATCGTTAGTTATAAATAAAAATGAGCCCAAACCGTCCCAACCCAATAAATGAAAAGAGCCTGTTAGAATAGATTGCTCAATTCCCAGCCTTGATATTACGATTTAGAATAGGCACTACACTCGCTAGTGTTCTCTCACCTTGTCTTCTAGGGTAACCACGGCGCTACTCGAACAAGGATTGCGGCCATTCCCAACGATCTTCTTCTCAGGTTCACGCCTCCTTCTTTTTTATCTTTTCCATCTCTCTCTATATCTTTTTTTTCCCTCACTTTTGAAACCCTAGGCCTTTGTGTGACTGTACGCGTTCGCCAGTGAGGGCAACGCACGATAAAACAACCTTTCAATTTGTGGATTTGGCAGATCCTGATTATCGTCAATCATTGCTTGTTCTACTTGGTTCTTACACCAGTAATGGTCTTTCCTGTTTTAGTGATGCTCAATTCTTGATTTTATCTGCTGATGAAACGGTTATTGGCTTTTGTATAGGCTGATTCAATTCTCGTATTTGTGAATCTAAATTTTTGTCGAACGTTAATATAACAGTATTGTCATTTATGGTTATTCCTGCTCAGTTAAGCAACAGAGACAATTTCGCGTGATTCCAATCGCCTGAACTGTGTTATGTGTACCATTATGTAGATAGTGTTACTTTAGTTGTCGTCTTGTATTTTTTGTTTCGGGCCATAATTTTATTTATTTTTCTTTGATTTTACTGATAATTTTTTTAATATATGTTTCAGCAGGGAAGCCTGATTCTTGTGAATTCTTAATATGACTTCATTCTTGAAGCCTGAGAATGCACTCAAAAGGGCGGAAGGTTAGTTCAAGAGATTATTATTTACTCTTTGTGATTTATGTTCATGATATATATAATGATGCAATTGAATCTTCCTGTGTAAAATTCATTATACAGAATTAATCACTGTGGGGCAGAAGCAGGATGCCTTGCAGACACTTCATGACCTTATTACTTCAAAAAGATACAGAGCATGGCAGAAGACACTCGAAAGGATCATGTTCAAGTATGTAGAACTGTGTGTAGACATGCGTAAAGGGCGGTTTGCAAAGGATGGGCTCATTCAGTATCGGATCATATGTCAGCAAGTGAATGTTAGTTCGCTGGAGGAGGTGATCAAGCATTTCATGCACCTCTCAACTGAGAAAGCTGAACAAGCCCGTAGCCAGGCACAGGCATTAGAAGAAGCCCTTGATGTTGATGATTTAGAGGCAGATAAAAGGCCAGAGGATTTGATGCTAAGCTATGTCAGTGGGGAGAAAGGAAAGGACAGATCTGATCGGGAACTTGTCACCCCATGGTTTAAATTTCTTTGGGAAACATACAGGACAGTGCTTGAAATTTTACGGAACAACTCAAAACTGGAAGCCTTATATGCTGTAATCTTTCTTCTTCTGACTCTTTACAACCTGTTGGTGTCATAGTTGCTTCATATGTATATGTGTAACTCAAAAAATACAGATCTTAAGCAATCAATATTTTTTATATCTATGTTTTATTATGAAGTGGTGCTTGAGTTGCACTAGCTATTTGTTGTTTATAATTTATTGTGGAACTGTTTTATTTCTCTCTTTCTCTCTGTCTGGTCTTGAGAGACAAGAAAATATATGCCATTGTGGCATTATCAAGTTTTCATATTCCTTGTTATGAAGACTTAATTTTGCAGTGTTTTGGAATTTTACAGTGTGAGTAAATCTAGACATTTAACTGTGGCAGGTATTCCTAATGAGTAGTAGTTAATTGTTTGGTTTTGGCGATATATTATTATTATTTTTTAAGTTGTTACTACTGTTCTCTGTCATTTTATATTGTTTTATGCTTTCTTGTAAAGAATGATTGTTTGAGGGTGTATACTTGTATTTTATGTTGAACATATAATAGTCTCTAATGCCATGTGCAGATGACAGCTCATCGAGCTTTCCAGTTTTGTAAACAATATAAGCGAACAACGGAGTTCCGAAGACTATGCGAAATCATAAGAAACCATTTAGCCAATCTTAATAAATATCGGGACCAACGAGACAGACCAGATCTTTCAGCTCCGGAAAGCTTGCAACTTTATCTCGATACAAGATTTGAGCAGCTGAAAATTGCCACTGAACTTGAACTCTGGCAGGTTGGCAATTTCTTGTTCTTCTTTGTGCATCCATTACATGTTTCTTTTGTTAATGCATAAGGCATAGATGGAGAATACAAATTGACAATTTGTGTCTGCATGCAGGAAGCCTTTCGATCTGTGGAAGATATACATGGACTAATGTGCTTGGTCAAGAAAACGCCCAAGTCATCCTTGATGGTTGTTTACTATGCTAAGCTGACAGAAATATTTTGGATATCATCAAGTTATTTATATCATGCATATGCATGGTTCAGGCTTTTTTTATTACAAAAAAGCTTCAATAAGAATCTGAGTCAGAAGGATTTGCAATTAATAGCGTCATCTGTTGTTCTGGCTGCACTTTCAGTGCCTCCTCATAATCGCACTCATGGTGCATCTCATTTAGAACTGGAGCATGAAAAGGAGAGAAATTTGAGGATGGCTAATCTCATTGGCTTTAATCTTGAAACTAAACCTGAAAGCCGAGAAGTGGTACAATACTTTCCCTCAATTGTACACCCAAGGTAGCTTATAGATGTTTGTTTTCTAAATCTTACTATTTGCTTTCTGTTTCCTTTTTTGGCTGCCCCCAGCTCTCAAGGTCATCACTTCTTGCTGAACTGGTAAGTTATCTTTTCATTTTTTTTAAAGTTGCTTCTATTAATCTGCATTGGTTGCTTCGATTATGACTTGCATTATTTGAAACACACATCACAGCTATTGATCTTTGCATTTCTCCTGCTTGTGAATATTTGTTGCATCATTGCATGGTAATTATTTTAAGCTCAATATACCTTCACTGTTATGACACCTGATATTATAGGGATTAGATGGAAAAGGAGATGGAGATGATATAAAATATTATTAATGGGAAAACAGTAACCTGATGCTCCTATTTATGTTAATATTCTAGATCATGTTCTAGTTTAGCATAACTACTAATAGTACAATTTCAGCCCAATGCACGCTACTGACATAGCAAGGCTCTTAAAACAATGAGAATCTTAATATTCTAACAATTTCTGAATTCTGAATAATGTATTTTTATTTTACCTTAATATTATGTGGATGTATGTTGTGCATAAATGATCTAATCAGTTAAAAACCTTCCATAGTAAACTGATGATGATGCTTGTTGATTAGGCTTTCTCTGTAACTGCTTTGGCAATCATGTTTTAGTCATTTTCACTTGATGTCAACACTCATTTATTTTTGTTCCATCATTATCGTTTTCTTAATCTCGTTGTCTTTAATTGTAAGACTTATGTATAGCGTCTAGCCCATTGATTATTAGGTTTGCAGGTTGGGTGTGGTATGTGTAACCATGACTACTGCAAAGTTAAATGCAAACTGTCAACTAATGTTGTTAGAATTAGTCTAAAGTTTGTATCTTTGCGTTCATTACAGGCATCCAAGGGTGTGATGTCTTGTGTAACTCAGGAAGTGAAGGACATTTACCATCTTTTGGAACATGAATTTCTTCCCTCGGATCTTGCATTAAAAGTGCTTCCCTTGTTAAATAAAATTGCAAAATTAGGGGGTAAGCTTTCCACTGCTTCATCTGTTCCAGAGGTGCAATTGTCTCAATATGTTCCAGCACTGGAAAAACTAGCTACCTTGAGGTTGCTGCAGCAGGTGCATTTTCATTTTTTGCTCATTTCTTTATGTAAATTGTTTTTCTTCTGCTTAGCTATGATTATGCTTGTTAACTTGTGGCCTCTTGGTCTTCTAGGTCTCTAATGTGTACCAGACAATGAAGATTGAGACCTTATCTGGGATGATTCCTTTCTTTGATTTTTCGGTGGTGGAAAAGATTTCTGTGGATGCTGTTAAGCAGAAGTTTGTGTCAATGAAAGTTGACCACATGGAAAATGTTGTAATTTTTTCCAAAATGGTATGTTTTCCTCCATTTTGGTGTGGTTGTCTTTCTCTAAACTTTACGATGCTGTAGGAATGTTTCTGGAATGTTTTGTTATCTAGGAATACACGGGTTTGTTGATCGATTGTGTTTCAGCTGAATCACTATACCCTGTAATATACAAATAGAGTTCTTTGGTTAACATTCTGAAATGTCTAGAATCAGCTGTTAACATAATATTTGCTGGGGCTGAGTTGGAAATGGGTGGTTTCTGAAAAATAAAGTTTTAGTTGTATGTCAGCACTGCGTCGGTCTCAATTTACCAATTGTTTTGACGACAATTGCTTGATTTCTATTACAGAGTCTCGAGTCTGATGGCTTAGGGGATCACTTGGCCAATTTTGCTGAACAATTGAATAAGGCAAGACAAATGATTTATCCTCCAGATAGGAAGCCATCAAAAATTGGAGCTTTGCTTCCCACGTTGACTGAGGTTGTGGCCAAAGAACACAAGAGGCTTCTTGCTCGAAAATCGATTATTGAGAAGAGGAAAGAAGAGCAAGAACGACATCTTCTTGAAATGGTATAATCTTAATCTTATGAATTAGTGTTAATTTGTGTATTGGGAGTTGATGATTTTTAAAATGATTAAACTTCCTTTAACATTTATATTTGAAGGAACGTGAGGAGGAGTCGAAGAGGTTAAGACTGCAAAAAATAACTGAAGAAGCAGAACAAAGAAGGCTTGCCACTGAGTATGAGCAGAGAAAAAATCAAAGGATCCTTAGGGAAATAGAGGAAAGAGAAAACGAAGAAGCTCAAGCTTTGCTTCAGGAAGCTGAAAAGCGTATTAAAAAGAAGGGGAAAAAGCCAATCATAGAGGGGGTAAGTTGAAGTCTGCCTTCAATTAAATTCCTGATTTGTTGGGTTTGCAAATGTTGACAATAATCCCAATCTGTAGGACAAAATGACCAAGCAGACCTTGATGGAGTTGACTTTGACTGAACAACTCCGCGAAAGACAGGAGATGGAAAAGAAACTACAAAAATTAGTTAAAACCATGGATTATTTGGAAAGAGCAAAAAGAGAAGAGGCTGCTCCCCTTATTGAAGCTGCCTATCAGCAGCGCCTAGTAGAAGAAAGGATTCTTCATGAGCGTGAGCAACAAGTATGTTGAACTCTCTCGTTTGCTGGAGTAGCATGGTTCTTTTATAATTTTGATGTTGGCTTTCACATTTTTTTTTTTTTCTCTTGGAGACAATTTAACTATTACATATTTCTCACTTCATGTTGTACCTAAATGTTCACCACCTACAACATTCCATTTTAACCAGATTTATTCTTAGACTGACTGGGTTAGACTGTGTTTGATGCAGCAAGATGTTGAACAGAGCAAAAAGCAGCATGAGGGGGATCTTAAGGAGAAGGCGAGGCTTATTCGAATGATGGGTAATAAAGTTAGTATCATCAACACTTTGGCTTCTCTACTGTGTGTCTTGGCCATCGTCATAGGCGAATTGTGTTTTCTGTCTTTTTGTTTATTGGAAACTTTTTTGGGGGATATTATGAGCTAGGACATGTGAGGAACTTTTTTGATTATCAAATATTGTTATTTGTTATAAAATTAGTGGAACTATCAAGTATTAAATTTACCTATTATTAGGATTGCCCTTTTTCCTTCCCAGCCTTGCACTTTGGCTGATATTTTTGTCATGATATTGACTGCTACTATGCAGGAGATATATCAAGAGAGAGTTGTCAGTCTGCGCCAAGCTGAATTTAGCAGATTGAGGAGAGAAAGGGAGGAGAGGATCTCTAGGATTTTACAGTCCAGGAAACAGGAGAGGGAAAAAATGAGGAAGTTAAAGTTTTATCTGAAGTTGGAAGATGAGAGACAACAAAAAGTGCGTGAGGAGGAAGAAGCTCGTAAGCGTGAAGGTAATTATTTATTTATATACTCTGTCTGTGCAGAAACATTTCAATGACTAAACTTGCTTTTTCAGATCTTTTTAGTATTTAAGGATTTCACCGAGCAGGTTGAATGTGTTTTAAATTCCACCAAAGTTGTCATGATTTTGTTTTTCAATTTCACCTTTTACATTTCATTCTTCGTCAGTAAATGCTTATTGCCATCTTTTACACACAATCTAGTAACCTGTCTTCTCTTTTGTATTTACTTATGGTGTTTTCGAACTTCAGAGGCTGAGAGACGAAAGAAGGATGAGGCTGAACGCCTAGCTAAGTTAGCTGAGATAGCTGAAAAGCAGAGGCAAAGAGAGCGGGAACTTGAAGAAAAAGAGAGACTTAGGAGGGAAGCACTGTTGTCTGGATCTAGACCTTCCGAACCACCTTTGAAGCCTTCTGAGCCTCCTGCCCGTTCATTGGAGCCTGGATCTGCTGCTCCTGCTGCAGCTGCAGCTGCTGCTGCTGCAGCCCCAGCCTCTGGGAAATATGTCCCTAAGTTCCGGCAAACAGGAGCTGAAACCACAGGGGCTCCTCCTCCTGAAACAGATAGGTGGAGTAACAGTAGCAGCAGGCCGGACGGTGACAGGTGGCGTAGTGACAATCGAAGAACCGCTTTTGGTTCTGGTGGGGGTTCAAGGTCATCTTCCACTTGGTCATCTTCCAGGACTCGTGATCGTTAATCATTTTGTGCCCCGATTTGTCGCTAATGCCATTGGGGCCCTTGTTGGGGGGTCACGCCTGATTGTGCTGGTACCCGTGTCTTTTGGTCGAGTTCTCTTTGTACTCTCCCTGTTTTTAGTTGTAGAATTCTTTTTGATACTGAGTTCTTAAATTTATTATCTTCCAATGCTTATGTAGTCCTCGGTTCTGTTGAGGAGCATGCCAACAAAATTTTCTATTTATGATCGAGTGGATTGGACATGGTAATCGAAATTTCATATTGGACGAGTACGGCATAAGTGCATATCTATTTTTCTGCTTGTTGGTAATGAGTTGGGAAATAGTGAAAAATGATTGCACTAGTTCTTGTTTTTATTTACTTGTATTGTTCTAATTTGGAAATTTCATATTTCCATTGGTTAAAAGTACAAATATCTAAGCCACTAGATTTGGTTTAATGGTGAAGGGGCTTGGATAGTTTGTATTATATTATGTGTTTAATGGGTTGATATATGTTAATGGAATGCATAATTTCATTCTAGCTTAATTTATATTAGTTTTGAATTTTGATGGATATAATTTTTATGTATTTGTAAGATATAAAATTATAATTATCTCCTATAAAATGAGAAATTCTATAAAGTAAGAAACACTAATCACGTATATAATTTACAATGTTCATATAAATTTCCACGTTCTATTCTTTGTTCTTGTCCGAACTCTTAAAATCTCATAATTATATGATTATATCTATTCAGCAAATTTACAATATCCATAATATGAGGGCTATCCAATTTTTTCAATCTAGGTAGACTGTAAATTTATTTTGCGATTATGAAAGTAAATTGACAGCTATTGATCGGTTGAATAATAATAATAATAATTCTTATGTATAGTATTATAATATTATTGTTGTTATTTTAGCTTATAGTATCATCTTCTATTAAAAAAAATAAGAATAAAGTATCTTTTGAATCTTTAACAAAAATCACGAGATCTATTTTAATCTCTTAAAAAAAATCGACTTGAGGTATTTAGTCTTTTTGAAATTTAAAATAAGTCCCTCAAAAGAATTAACTTGAATTTATTTTAAATTTCATATAAATTACGAGTCAATTTTATTTTAAGAAATCATTGGCATATCAATGTTGTGCTAAATTAATAAATTATAACGTCAGCAAGAATAAGATGGTTGTAAAAGGGGTTTATTATTTCTTATATATGTAAAAAAATATGTGAACATGTAAGAAGAAAAAAGAGAAAGAAAAATATGAAATAAATTTATTTGCTAGAAACATCGAACCCTTGCAAAATACAGATTTTGAAAATGAAACGAAAGCCAATAATAGAGAGGCTAAGTTGAAGTCTGCCTTCAATTAAATTCCTGATTCGTTGGGTTTGCAAATGTTAACAATAACCCCCGTCCGTAGTAGAAAATTACCAAGCAGACCTTGATGGAGTTGACTTTGACTGAACAACTCCGGGAAATACAGGAGATGGAAAAGAAACTGCAAAAAATAAGCTAAAACCATGGATTATTTGGAAAGAGCAAAAAGATAAGAGACTGCTCCCCTTATTTAAGCTGCATATCAACAGCGCCTAGTTGAAGAAAGGATTCTTCATGAGCGTGAGCAACAAGTATGTTTTGAATTCTCTTGTCTGCTGGTGTAGCATATGTGTTTTTGTATAATTTTGATGTTGGCTTTCACATTTCATTTTTCTCTTGGAAACAATTTAACTTTTACATATTTCTCACTTCATGTTGCACCTGAATGTTCACCACGTACAACATTCCATTTTAACCAGATTTTGTCTTAGATTGACTGGGTCGGACTATGGTTTGATGTAGCAAGAGGTTGAACTGAGCAAACAGCGGCATGAGGGGAGGATCTTAAGGAGGAGAGGCTTATTCGAATGATGGGTAATAAAGTTGGTATCATCAACTCTTTGGCTTCTTTTCTGTGTGTCTTGGCCATCATCATAGGCAAATTGTGTTTTCTGTCTTTTTTGTTTATTGTTATTTGTCATTAAATTAGTGGAACTATCAAGTATTAAATTTACTTATTATTAGGTTTGTTCTTTGTGGTAAATTGTAAAAAAATAAATTACTCGAGTGTTTTGGGAGCACGATTAATGGAGATAGTGGAGCAGTAAGAATTAAAAATACTTTGAAAATAATAACCTAGGAAGGGAAAGACTCTTTGTAAATATGAGACCCATTTACTGTATTTGTTCTCCTTTTGAATATATATAGATATAGTGTTTGGTCTGTTTTAAGCTAAGTACTTACTAGATTGTGTAATTTTATTTTTGCGATTATGAAATTAAATTTATCGATATCCAAATTTGTTAGTTTAACAATATAAATTCGTTTCATTAATATTGATTGTTATTATTATTTTTGTTGTTATTTTGGCTTATAGAGTCATATATTCTATTTTCGAAATCGTCCTAAGTAGGTAAAGAAATCATTGGCATGCCAACGGGGTGCTAAATTGGTGAATTGCAACGTCAGCAAGAATACGATGTTTCCGAAATACAGCTTTTGAAAATGAAACGTAGAAAAAGGTCGACCGAACATCAAGATGACTAGAACCAAACGAACTGTTGTCGCTTACTTTTCACTCTTTTTGTATTTGAGAAGATTCAGAATCTTTACCATAGCGTATCTCTTTTTCTACACTTTCTCGGCAACCAAACGGTTTGTCATATGCTTCATTCACTAAATTATCCAAGTATTTCAAACTCTTCCACGCGTCGTCTCGTAGCGTGCGAAGTTGTGGCCGGCAAATTATTCGTTTGGATGTCAACGTCCTGACGCAAGCAAATTTCTAGGTTTTTTTTTCGTTTTTTTCTTTTTCTTATAGCTATCGATCCTTCAACTGGATCGAGAACTAGAACCAATGGCGTCTGTGATTCACCGCGACGAAGAGACGCCACTGGTCACCGTCGATTCGCCACTTCAACAACCTAAGAGCCACGCGAAGGATGTTCATATCTTGTGCTTGGCGTTTCTCTTGATCTTTCTAGCTTATGGAGCTGCTCAAAATTTACAGAGCACTCTCAACACTGTTAGTCTCTCTCATTTTTTATTATTATTATTACTATTTTTCTGTTTGGTTTAAGAGGAAGGTTATTGAACTCCCAAGTTACGGTCTCAGTTGCAAAATTGATTGTGATTTTGGAAGATGGTGAATTGTGATGGTCTTTTGGGTTTGAGTTTCATTTCAGGAGCAGGACTTGGGTACCACTTCACTTGGGATCCTTTATTTGTCTTTCACATTTTTCTCTGTTATTGCTTCATTGGTGGTGCGGGTTCTCGGGTCCAAGAAGGCTTTAATTATTGGTACTAGTGGTTATTGGTTGTACGTCGCTGCAAACTTGAAGCCAAATTGGTAATTACTGGCTATTTTGCTTTGAATGTTCATGTACTTTGCTGCTGTCGAAAACATAAACATGCACTGTAATGGTCTGTGTGGAAGTTTTTTTGAGTTTTGAGAGAGTAGCATGACATTAGTTGAAGTTTATAGTGTACATTTTCTGATGCAACATATGCCCCTTAATCAATGATTGAATTCTTGTTGAATCGTAGATTCGACAGTGGCTACTTGAACTATATTGTGTTTTACTCATGTAAAGTGAATTAAACTCTCAACATCTCACTTACATGTTGTAATTAGATGTATTCTATGATGCATGAATTACTATTATTATTTTTTGTTTAAAGTATATCTTAGTCTCTACAGTTTCTACTTATTTGAGTTTTGGTTCTTAAAATTTATATTTTTTTTTTTTCTGGGTTTTATTCTCTGTAGTTTCTATTCATCAGAAGTAAATGATCCTTATTTTCCATGGAGAATTATTCCCTTTAGTTTAATTCATTAATGTATTAACTCCTGATATACCAAAATCTTAGTGGTAGAAATTATAGAGACCTACACCAAAAAATACAAAAGGGACCGAAACCCAAATGAGTGACAACTATTGGGACCAAAATCTACCTTGTACTTATTTTTTCAAAGGTTGAGCATCATTTATGGTTGTTGATGATGCGGGTTCGTAGTTATACTCTTATATCTGACCATTATTTCTGTTTTACTTTATGACTATATATGCTGAAATAATTCTGACATAGTATGTATTTCCTTTACCATTGAGCGATTCTTCCTGCAGGTATACACTGGTTCCGGCCTCTTTGTATCTTGGGTTTTGTGCTTCAATAATATGGGTTGGGCAGGTACATGTAACATTTCAAGGTTCTGTAGTTCCTTCAAATTGTCATAAGTCACTTTTATCTTTACTATTCTTAGTTTCACCTGTCAGGGAACATATCTCACTTCCACTGCACGCAGTCATGCTACAGATTACAACTTGCATGAAGGTGCCGTAATTGGTGACTTCAATGGGGAATTCTGGGCTGTGTATGCATTACACCAGGTGATCATATTATTTTCTTACTCAAGACGGCTTTTTTGTTTCTGTTTCTTTAAATAAAAAATTAGAATTTAAAATTGATTTAAAAAAACCTGTTTTGCAGTTTATTGGAAATCTTATCACATTTGCTCTACTAAGTGATGGGCAGGTATGTGGTAGTTTGTTTTAACTATCAGTTCATGATATTGTTCAAGCTTACCCCTTCCTTGATAGCTATTAAGAATAAAGAATTGCCGCTTATGACATATTCAGAAAATAGAAAACTAACTTTATGATTGACAGAACCCTTGGTCCAAATTTTATTGAATTCAATTCAATTAACTTGATATAGTATTCTTCTATTGAAAAAAACACTTAACTGGTGATAGACAACTATATGTCTAATATTCATCTTGTTTTAATTTTAAACTACTTGTAATGGTTTGCCAATAAGGCTCATGGTGTTCACACCGTAATTCAGCATTTCCCTTTCCCTATTTTCTTTTTAATTTTCTAATTTGTACAGTATGCAAAAGATTTAATGGAAATGTAAATTTGAGCTGGGTTTTTCCTTTTATCCTTCATCAAATATGCTTATCTCACATACGAACAAGTTTCAAGTTTTGATTTAAATTATTTTACACATTATTAGGATTTGATTTTGTTTCTCATCACTGCAGGAGGGAAGTACCAAGGGCACAACTTTATTGTTTGTTGTATTCCTTTGCGTTATGACCTTTGGTGCAATACTAATGTGCTTCTTGTCTAAACGTAGTAGTAATAGTAAGGGTGAATCTGAGCTTTCAGGTGCTGATGCTGGTGTACATTCGTCCCTGAAGTCTCTATCTAGATCACTTACCAGTGCATTGTCTGATGTAAAGATGTTGTTGATCATACCCCTTATTGCATATTCAGGTCTACAACAAGCATTTGTATGGTAATTTCTTATGAATTATAAGGCATTCATCCTCACGATCTTCCGATAATGGTTATCTTATATCTGGTGTCCTTTCATGTCCATTATTTCTTGTTTGTTAATGAATTACTCTTTCATAGGGCTGAATTTACCAAACATGTTGTAACGCCTACACTTGGTGTTTCTGGTGTGGGAAGTGCGATGGCAGCGTACGGGGCTTTTGATGGAATAGTAAGTATTGGAATGCAGAACTGTAGTTCTTTACCTTTGGTGGTTGCTCAAAGAACTAGATTGCATCATCCTAAGGAGCATCTCTCTTATGTTCTTCATTCATTTATTTAATTTATTTATTTGAAATGTCTGGAGCAACTATTGCCAATATCTATACAAGGAAACTGCCATATTCTGCTTTTTCCCTTCAAAAATATGGAGCCCTGCCTCATAAAAATACGTTCTTGTGGGAACTTCTTTTTTTTTTCTTAATTTCTTTAAATATGTAGTGTTCCCTGGCTGCTGGTCGTCTCACCTCCGGTCTCACTTCTATTACATCAATAGTTTCTGTTGGAGCTTTTGCTCAGGCAGTTGTATTCATCTTACTGTTGCTAGATTTCAGGTCAGCAATAATTTACCTTTCTTTGACTGAAGTTTATGGATATTATCTTCCCTCCTGTAATCCCATCTTGCCTTTATCTTTCTTTGCCACTCCTGATGCAGCGTAACTAGCGGATTGCTTGGTACTCTATACCTACTCTTTTTGGCTGCTTTATTGGGCATTGGTGATGGAGTTTTAATGACGCAGCTCAATGCTTTGATTGGAATGCTATTTAAGCATGACACGGTACACAAAAGTCATCTTTCTCTTTATTACCCTAAAGATGGATTAAAATGTTTCAAATCATGTAATATTGTCATGTTTACTTTGCTTCTCCATTACTTTATTGAGGTCGGACTGTTTTGTTTTGAGTTATTCTAGTTCGTGTCTCTAATCTGATTACCCGGGCAAGAAACTTCATTAACAAATTGGACATCCCCCATTATTGTTCTCATATTGCACATGCTTTTTGCTTGATTCTTTTTCTCCATCCCTGGTATCTATTCATTGAGCTTGTACTTATTATTAGTTAAAGTTGCCTCTAATGCCAAGTCTATGTTGCTTTCCGGTGCAGGAAGGGGCTTTTGCACAGCTAAAGATATGGCAAAGCGCTACAATTGCTATCATGTTCTTTTTGGCCCCGCACATCTCGTTCGAGGCAGTGCTTGTGATTATGCTTGCTTCATTATGCTTCTCATTCGGCAGTTTTCTATGGCTATCTCTCAAGGTCGCCAAGGCATCATCACCCTCCACCAGTGAGTGAATTTAATGTTGCCGCAACTGCAAGCATAATAGATTTTTATATATGCTGTGCCTTCTTGCCTGTAATTCATTCAATTCGAACTAAGTCTTATTTTATGTTGACATTTCCTTCAGTTGAATGAGCTGTAAATTGTGACCGTTATAATTTATAAGCTCACTTGGTTATACTTTGTTATTTACTAAAGAATATTCCTAGACAATCGTTAAATGGAAAAAAACTCTGGCTGAATCAGTAATGGAATTTTCAGTGCCTATTATAAGTAATTGAAAACTCAAGATAACATTAAAAGTGTTTTATTTTTTTATTACTTTAATGTATATAGAGTTTTTGATTGACAGTTCTCAGCTCGTAAGTAATAGTATCCATGCGCTCAAAATTCACACACACTAATAATAATTTTGTAGGTTATTGAATCTGTCTCAAATCAATATATGTGACCTGCAGTGGAGGTTGTATTGCTGGTTAGTGTTCAGCTCGGGTATGACAATGAAATGCGGAAAGTAGTGTTCCGTTTTGACCTTTGTGCATTGTAGTGCCGAAACAACTATCCCACCAATTACCATATTTCGACGTGTACATTATAATATTTAAAGTTGTGGAGTCTTTTTCAAGTCTCCGGTCTTAATTAAAGGGAACCTATAAAACACGCTCTAAAAATGACTAATTCTAAGCCTCACAACTTGGTCAGCACAGCCATCATATGACACTCAAGTCATGCTCCACTTCAACCCTCATTGGTCCATCGTATACCAAACCAAAATCACCAACATCCTCAAAAAGTAGTTATGATTAGGTAATTCTGCACCTATTTCTCTGTCCTGTTTATATAAAAAAGAAATTTGCCCACCCAAAACACCAACGATTTTCATTCATCTACCTCCTACCATCCCAGAGCTTCCCACAATGTCTCTCTGGCTCTCTAACTTCGTCCGTTTGCACCTCACAACCTCATGGCCTATACTAACTTATGCTGTCACTTGGGTAACGCTACTAACCTTGACGGTGGCAGTGGCATCTTTGTCAACACAGTTGGCTTTTGTCTCCGCCATATCACCTTCCTCTTCTTTCTCTCAGAAGTGCAACACTGATGGTTACATTAGAATGCCCTTGGATGTTCCAGGTGACATTCTCTGTTTTCCTGCTCATCTGTTCATGAAGTCCAAGATTGATCTATTCGTTCCACCTATCTTTGCGGCGGTAATTGTAGCCGCTTCTGCTTGCTTGGTGCGAGCTGTGGGGTTGTGGGAGCATGATCTAACTCGTTGAGATGCACATTAACTTTGGTATTCCTTTTAGAATCAGATTTTCAAGCGATACTTAAAAATAAAAGCTGCGCTAAACATGCAAGGTGATCCAGTTTTATGTTAAGCGGCTTGTAACTTTGGGATTAAACTTTACTTGCAAATTAAAGCAAAGAATTTGTGCTAAACTCATTGATTCTACTAACATGGGGTCATTGGCCTTTGTAAATTTACACAACGATATTGATATTATAAATTTCAGAATTACTTAAAAAAAGTGTCAGCTACCATGCTGAAATTACTGTCTTTTATTTGTTCGTTCTTTCCTCTTTGGGCTATGCTGGTCTTTTGGGTTCGTTTCTTGAGTGTTTGATTGATTACGGGAAAATTCAAAGTCCATAAGATAGCATCGGAATCTTAAATATTATTGAATAAAACAAGTTACATTCGCTGGTAGCAACGTCACATGTCGATTGTTTATAAATAAACTTTACTCTTTCAATTTTCACTACTTATCATGTCAGGTAATGGCAATAATACGTGTCAGTTACTAATAAGGTTTTTTCTTAAAATTCTCACTACTTTAATAGAACTTTATCATCAAAATTATTAATTTAATCACCTAACTTACGTTTAAATTAAATTATTTACTATTCAAGATTAAGAAAATGAAAAAATATATCATATAATCTGACCTTTTTTTTTATATTAACAGCTTTTATATACTTAACAAATAAATAGTTCTCAGCAAATTTAATAAAATAATGGTTGGATTGTACCGTGTTTCTTATTTCAAAATATAATATTTCTTAAACTTAAGAAAAGCATATAGATCTTAAAGTCATATGCTTGGATTATCTTTAAAAAAAGTGCATTTTTTGTTTAATTTTTCTTTAAGCCACTTTTTCAAATTTGTAGAAGAAAACTAAAATAACTTTTTTGAATTTTTTAAATTTCTTGAATTAATAAACATATATTTGATTAAAAAAATTCTACAAAAAGAACAAACAAACAGCTCATAAATCCACATCTAAATTGCATTATATATTTAGTATTATATAAAATATAATCAGTATTTATATATTTGTTATGATTAAATCGAAAATCCAACTGAAATTTAAGTCATTATTGATTTGATTTTACGCCAAATAAAAATCAACATTATGCTTTGTTATTTTGTTGTTTGTGTTATATATATTAGTAATTACAAAAATATTAATTTTGTAATGATTACAGAACAATGCCATTTTAGAGGAAAGTATAGGGTCTCTTTGATTTTTGTTTTTAGACACAGTTTTTTAGTTTTCAGAACAAAAAAAACTAAAAAACTCGTTTGGTAAGGCCTGTTTTGTAAAAAATATTTTGAAAACTATAACTGTATTTTTTGTTTTTAGAATAAAATTTAGAAAATATATCTGAGTTGTTTTTGTTTTCTGTTTTGGTTTTTAACTTTCAAAAATTAAAAAATATAGAAAACAACTATTTCCATAACTATTTTACAAAACAGTTTTAAAAACACAAAAATCAGAATAGAGACCCATATATTCTCTCTTCAATTTTACCTATCACACAAGGCTTATTGACCCAATGATGATACTATTTACAGATAAAAATTCATTGACATTTCTTCTCAATTATTATGTACAACCACATAATTTTGAAATTGGACAAACCTTTTATAATGATACAAAATATTTAAAATTATTATCATATTATTTTATCAGAAAAACATTTTTACTGCGGTTACTGCAGATAAGTTATCTGCATTTATTCTTAAAACGATGTTGTTTTGAGATTGAAATATTAAAAAAATTAATTATAAAGACTATAAAACCCTGAAATAAATTAAAATTACAAAAACATCATGATTTCCGTCCTAAAACGATGTCGTATTGCGCTTACTACAGATAACTTATCTGCAGCAACTGATGCAGAAAAAAGGAACCCTTATTTTATTTGTATACTTTTATTCATTATTATTTTGAGTTTGGTGTTTGTAATTTTAAATGACATAAGTTATGTCATTTTAAGAGAGAGATAAACACATAAAAACGAAAATCATGGAAGAGAGAAAGTGAGTGATTTTTTTAATTTAAAATTCAAATTTTCTGTGTCTATATCTCTCTTAAAATGACATAACTTTTTGTCATTTAGAATGACAAACATTTTTTCCTATTATTTCACATCATCCCGTATCTCGCACTAATGTTAAACTATGTAAGCCACTCACGCGTAAAACGAAGGCAAGCATAATTACGAGTGAAATGCTCGGAAACATGTTCATAGAACGAGAAATTATTACTGCATATAACTAGAACTGTAATGGGCTTCTTATTGCATAACGAGTTTTGATAAACTCGAGACCATAACGAGGCTTCTGTCCTTAAAGGGAAAAAACCAAGCAGCATGTGCATTCAAGCTTTTGAAATTGAATTGATCAAGTTGTTGCTGAAATCCCAGAGTTTCTTTCCTAACTGTTTGTTAGAGGCAAATGCACTTGGTTTAAATTCATTGCAATCCACAAAGTACTTCCCAGTTACACCTTCCACGTTTGGGTGGAGAGCAACATAGCATGTCGTGGCTGCTCCCTGTGAGGTATTAAACCCCAAAAAGAAAACGTTCATTAGTCACTACATATATTTTAATTTTTTAGTACTATCAAATCAAATGTAACATTTTGGACTTGTATTGGAATTCTAAAAGGACCAAGTGAAATAAAATACCTGTGGGATGTTCTTCCATATGTAAAAGGTGAAGATCTTCAGCAAGTCTGCATGAATCACATCATGGTGTTAGACAAGAAATAACTAACAGAAAAAAGGGAACTGCTTAAGTATTTTGTTTGTGTGTTTAAGGAGAATTAACATACGCATAAGGTAAGAAGAATGTCTCATTAGAGGAGTCATTATCACTCCTGGGTGGACTGAGTTGGCTGTGATGTTCACACCTTCTTCCTGTACACAAATGTCAGAAACCAAAAAATAAGTTAATACATGCTCAATGACTAGTCAAGTAGGATATGCTATGTTGCACCGACACCGACACGGGATATGACACGACACTCCGACACGTTAATTTTAAAAAATGTTAGATTTTGACACGCTAGGACACGTTTTAATATTAAATAATATTTTTAATTTATGTAGTGTATATTATGTTTAATATTCAATAATTTACAAAAAAATGAAACTAATCTTATAATACCCATCAATTTTTCAAAGAAATATAAGATATCACAAATATTTATATTATACTCAATAAAACAGTAACCGTAATCCAACGAATCTAATAGTTGGAACTAAAAATACAACGTAATGCAAACTTTGAACCCTTTTTTGAGTCTCTACAATGCGTCGGAGAGTGTCGGGAAGTGTCGGACATGACACGTCAGGATTTTTGAAGTGTCAGTGCATCATAATTCTCAACTTCTATAGTATCATCAAGAAAGTACCTAGGTAATTTCTCTTAACATGATCAATAAAAGAAATTGTTGCTAGAAACTCAGTGAATTACATATTAAGAGGCAACAGTAGGGATAATAACAAAAATAAGACACTAGAACAAATTGTGGTGATAATCTCATTTATTTATTTATATTATAATCTAGATTATAATTTATTTCATGTTTACAACAGTGAAGCACTAGTTGGATCACCTGCAAGCGACGAGAAAGCTCATTTGCATGTAAAATGTTGGCTAACTTGGACTGTCCATATGCCTTCTTGTTAAAATAACTGAAAAGTTATAGCAATACAGAAAAAAAAAAAAAAAAAATTAAGCACTACTCATCAGAATCTCAACCATGAAGCAGTAAATTCAGGTCTGAAGCAATTGGAGTCAAAGTGAAAATACCCAGTTTGGTCATTGATCTTATCAAATCTAATTCCCTTTCTATAAGTGAAGTTATGGGCAATTGATGACAGATTTATGATCCTGCCCTCTATTCCAGTAGCTTTTGCAGTTCGTTTCATTTTGTCAAGAAGAAGGTTCGTCAAGAGGAAATGGCCTGAGAAAGTTAAAGGAATAAGCGGAGACAATACAACACTACTATTAAAAAAAAGGCAAACCCCAGACTTGTGAGGGATTATACGCAGTCTTATCCTTGCATTTTGCAAAGAGACTGTTTCTCAATTCGAATCGGTGGTCACAAGAAACAACCTTACCGAGAGGACTCTCTCACAATATTTCTACCAATTAGACTAAATGTTATGCACGATTGCTGAGATATTACCAAGATGGTTTGTTGCAAACTGCAATTCAATCCCATCCTCTGAGAGCTTGAAGGGGCAGAACATGACACCAGCATTGTTTCTGACATGTAAAGCCAATGCTTCAATTAATCCAAATTTGGAATGACTAATTCACATGTAATGAACCTAAAATTGAGAATGAGATAGAAGATGGATTAAAAAAAAGCAACAACATTAAGATGTTGAGAGGAAGATCAAGAGCAATGAAGTTGTCCACAAATGATCTGACAGATTTCACTGAGCATAGGTCGAGCTTCATTATGTCCACTTTGGCAGACTCGTTCTCTTGTAGTATTTGTTCCTTAGCTTTCTTTGCTGACACCATGTTTCGTGCAGCAATGATGACATGTGCCTTTCGAAGGGCCAAGACTCGTGCTGTCTCCAAACCTATACCACTTGCTCCTCCTGCAATATTTTTTAGGGTGTTTACTAGAACAGAATTAAGAACAAACAAGGGCTGAGAAAACTTTGTAATCACGCAGAATTGGAAGATATAATAAAGATCATGCTCAAACTCTTTTTCTGACTACCCCTGCATTTGTGTTTGGACCTATAAGTTTCACATGAGATTGTGCTCTATTATTACTGTCACTGGGCTTATAAAAGTAGTTTAATTATATATCTAACTATAAAAATAGTGTAATAAAACTAAAAGAAAAACATGAGTGTAGTAGAATCAATTAAATTTTTTTAGGAAAATAAAAGTAAAATGTTGTAGAAAAGTTATTAGGTTATGTCGTAGAGATAGAGATCGTGGGACCCTCACTTGTTTTATTTTTTTATTTTTTTGAAAATAAGTGTGGGTCCCACAATCCCTCTCTCTACAAGATAACCTAACAATTTTTCTACAATATTATTCTTTTTTTCCCCATTTTTTTATTATGTGAGTCATATTATGTTACGGGTTTATTAATCTAATTATTTTATTATCTCCTAAATTGTTAGTTTATTTTGAGTTAGTGGATAAATTATAGGTAGTTATAAGTGCCGCTACGTCGGTAGTTTGTTTTAGTTTAATATGTTTAGTTGTAGTGGGTAGTTAAAAAATAGAAGACGCAGTTTGGGTACTACCCATTTAATTAAAGGAGATGTTTACCAAACTCTCTAATCGGCTAGATGTTTTAATCTAATCGGCTAGATGTTTTAATACCAACCACATTTTTTCTTTCTCTTTGAAAAGAGAAAATAAAAAATAATGGCTAGAGAATATTTTCCAATCAACATGAATGGAGAGGCGAACATAAATATTAAAAATGGTTCAATCAATTGATCTTATTCTTAAGATCAAGAGTAATTTTTAGAGGGAGATAATATTCAATAGGTTGATCTTACTTTTGAGAACAAGAGTAATTTTTAGGGAGAGATAATGTTACGGAAAAAAACCTAACCTGAAAGAAGAGCTTAAAGTCAATATAAAATTCATATTAGTCACCCGTATAATAATAAATGTGGCCTTAAGTAGTATCGTAACATATTAATAACATAAGCTGTAAGGAACATCATGAATATCACGATTCTGATACAGTACTCATCATATGAAACTGACCTAAAGGGATATTCAAATTGCAAAAACTAACCTGTGACAATTGCAGTGAGGTTGCTGGCATCAATTCCTTCAGTAACTTGCTCTGCAGTTGAAGCTGATCCAAAACCACTTCGACCAGGCTTCCCTGTTACCAACGAAATAACACCCACCATTGTCTAACCTCTCCTAGCACTAAAATCTAGTAAGCGCACTGTATATAAAATAGAAACCTCAAAGCTTTCCTTTCTGAGTTGTGGCACAAAGTAGTCACTGTTCATATATCTATTTATATGGAGAGCAAAAAATAGAAAATAATAATAAAGATTATGAATGTGGGGACAGGGGTAGAAGAAGAAGGGTATAAAGTAGTAGGTTCTATGGGGCCAATGAAGTTGAGATAAGGGAAGAAGATCATTAAATTTTACGACGTTCGGGAGGTTGCAGTAGTTGCCAGGTTGTAAATTCTCTTTATTATTGGTACTATATATGGTAAATTTAATCCTCACCGGTGAATTGCTGTTAACATATTCAACGTCTATAGCATAAATTTTACCTACACAACTCTTCTTCATTGATGGTTAATCACTGGGCCATATAAAGTTATGGGAACCCACGTGAACTCATTTTTCCTCCATTCACGGTGTACCTAAATTAAGCTATTTTTGGTTATTTATTTTTTTTAATTTGATTTTTTCATGTTCCTAAGAATTGAGTTGTCATGTTGACTAGTAGTGAGCCTCATATTTATTAAATTTGAGCCCCACAGCATGAAAATTCACGCAATATTAGAAAATGTTTTTCTATTTTTTTTATGGGAAAACTTCAAAAAAAAAAAAATTATTATGAGTTTCCTCAATTATTATTTATCAACTCACATTTTTTTTGAATTATTTATATTTTTACTTAAATTCTTTTACCACTTATCCTTAAAGTTTTTATTATTATTTAGGATGATAAGTGATAAAAAAATTAAGTCAAAAAATTAATTAAAATTTTTAGAAAAAAGTAAATGATTACGAAGAAAGTTAAGGGTTTTTTTTTTTGTTTTTAAGTTTTCTCTATTTTTTGAAAATAAATAATTGAAGAAAATCAATTAATATTACCCAGACTCTGGTTCAATGAGATTTTGAAATCAGGGAGCAAGAAGGGAAAGTTGAAGGGAAAAAAATAAATAAAAGAATTACTCTTTTCTAAAGCAGAAGGCTTTTATGGGGTACGCACTAACGCTGCCACCACATCATGCATCAAATCAAACCAATTGAATCTTTTATGGCTTTAGGCCACACAATGAACTGAACTCAAGGAGAGTTGGTTTTGGTTGCCCTTTAAGGGAAGGTAAATGGACCACTGTAGTGGGTAACCCGGGTCCCTTAAACTTTAGCACTGTAACTTTGACCTAATTTCACTTCTTGGAAAGAAGTTGCAAGCAAATATTTCTATTAACTAAGTTGTGCGTTAGGGATGTATTTGCAGTTTAAAAAAAATTAAAAAAATTAATTTTAAAGTGAATAAATAACCTTAAGGAATGTTTGGTAGGATTTTTTTTAGATACTCAAAAAAGTGAAGGCGAGTTTTTAAGAATATCATGTTTGATATTACTTTTAAAAAAATTTACTCAATAAAGTGATTTAGTTGGTAATCCATTTTGTTAGTAAATGAAGGATGAAAGTTAATGTTAAGAATACCACCCATACGATGGTATTGTTGGATTGCTGAGAAATTAGAAAAAATGGTGTGAAATTTTTGACAAAATAGCCCTGTTTTCAATAAAGTGATTTAGCCCTTTTTGACAAAAAGAAAATTTCAAAGTGAGGGTATATTTGTAATATCACACCAAATTTTCAATAATACTTTATAATCAATCAAACAAACATAAACTCAGCAAATTTCACCCAATATTTTTGATAAAATTTTGGTCTATCAAATAATTTTTTAGTCACATTCCTAAAAATCTCATTTTTCTATCATATTCTTATTCTTAGTAACCCCCTAAGTTTTAGTGAATCAAAATTACAATCATCAAATACCCAAAGAAATAAATTACAATGTATTTAATTAAATGAACAATGAATATTCCCTTGATTGCTTAATTTAAAATTTTTTTATTCATAATTTGTATTATTACTTTAGGTTTTTATAAAAATAAATAGGGAAATGTTTTAGGTTTATGAAGTATTAATGTGATGATAAAAACTTTAAAATCTTTTTCAAAAGTAAATAGACTGTTGTATCGATTAAATCAAGTATGTGAAGACAAGCCAATGAAATCAAGGAAGACGAAAGAAGTGAGGATCATAATTTAAAAAGTCAGTCAAAATAAATGACTTTCTCACCTGGAAATGACACACACATTGATTATGATATTTTTCTACGATAGTTATTGACTGAAATACTGTGATTACTTTTAAATTTTAAATTAATTAATGAACTGATCACACGTCAAAAGTGAAAGACGAAAAAAAAAAAATAGGTATCCTTAGTCCACATATGAAATATAAACATTAAATATTTAAAACCATTTTCACATGCTCTTTTAAATTTCTGTATGAAAGACTTTCACAATGTGAGAAAGGCTGTTATTGTCTAGTTTCAAGTCAGTTGGAAAGATAGACGAATGGTTGTTAGGATAGAGTCAATTATATATTTTATTTTCACATTGCGTTTGAACTTCGGGTCCATAGCTCAGTGGTAGAGCATTTGACTGCAGATCAAGAGGTCACCGGTTCGAACCCGGTTGGGCCCTTTTGTTTTATATTTTGTGAAACTCTTTTTCTATATGCCTAGTTTCACGAAAGTATAGTATTGTCATTTGTCATCAATCTGAGCCTGACTGAATTGATGCTACAAAAGGTAACAAATGGTCAACCCATAACATGAAAAGAAGAGTTCCCACAAATGGCCCATAACCTCATTATCATGGGCTTCAGATGAACCCTTCCATCAATTTCCTTTGAACTTACTCGTGCAGGTTGAGATACGTTCTGGCCATTGCTTGTCTCGTTTTGGAATCTGGCCCATATACCAACTTATTGGTATGGGCTTCAGACCCTGGTGGCTGGTGTTATGAAAAACGGCATGCATAAACAAATTCAGAGAAACAAACTGACACGTATATATAACAATGAGAAATATGTTTTGAGAAAAAAAAAAAAAAAGTAAGACCTATCCATTTTTTTATGTGTCCATAAGATATAATTATTCATACAACATGATAGACATATTTTCCTATAACAATTACTTCAAAGATTAACATCTTTTACTTAAGTGGTAAAGTAAGGTTGAGTGATTGTGTAGAAAAAAATTGTGCTGACAGTATACTAAAATTAAACATATATATCAATCGCATCAAACAAGACTTAAAAATAAATGCCCTTTTTAATATGTTTTGAAAAATTGTGACGAATTTTGGGTCAAGTAAAACTAAATTTCTTATCTCAAAAATGTATAGACACATCTCGTTCTTGTATTTAATGTAGTTTAATAATATCTCAAAATACTGAACAAGTATTCAAACTTGAGTATTTAAAAGTATTTATATTTGTAAATGTAGGATTTGGAACCCCTTTCTAGTTAACCTTCGCTCGGAGATTGAAGATGGCAACAGTATCATATTAAATGTCTTTTCAAAGCTTAACAAAACATTTATAAAATTAAATTTAAATAATTTACCAATAGCCCAACTTATTTATATTTTAAAAGATAGATATCAACAAACCATTTACTCAAGTAAAACGGTATTACACGTCCTAATGGAAAAATCCATAATTAGTTCACGTAACAAAACGACAATATGGAAGCATATGGCGCGCTCTCTCTCCCCCATAAGACAGCTATTAAGCAAGCACTTAAAGACACAAAAGTTTATATAATTTTAATTTTTTTATCATGCTCTTTAAATTGTTTTAAAAAATTAAGCTAAATACGTTAAAAATCTAATTTTTAATTAAAAATAATAATAAAGGAAAAAGCAAACAATCCCTGATTCAATTAGTAAGATTAATTATAGCCTATAGGGGCATGAAGAGTCAGCATCCAATAACCCCAATTTGCAGGTGTCGGTGTGATTCACCTTTCTAACCCCAACCACTGTCTCAATTCATTCTTCCTTTTCTCTCATTTTATCCAAATTTTTTTTCCCTTTCTCTCATTTTTCGTTTCGTGTTTCTCTCTCTCTCTCATTCCCATTTCGCTGTTCGGTTTGAAAGCACATATAATCGCATTAAGATCAGATCAGATCGGATCGGATGGCGGCATCGCGGCGGCTCCGGGACCTTCAATCACAACCGGCGAACAAGATTTGCGTCGATTGTTCCCAGAAGAACCCTCAATGGGCCTCAGTTTCATACGGAGTCTTCATGTGCTTAGAGTGCTCCGGCAAGCACCGCGGCCTCGGCGTTCACATCTCCTTCGTTCGATCCGTAACCATGGATGCATGGTCCGAAATCCAGATCAAGAAGATGGAAGCTGGTGGCAACGACAAACTCAACGCCTTCCTCGCTCAGTATGGTATCACCAAGGAAACTGACATCGTCACCAAGTACAACACCAACGCAGCCTCCATCTACCGCGATCGCATTCAGGCCATCGCCGACGGTCAACCCTGGCGGGATCCCCCTGTCGTCAAGGAGAATGTTCGCTCGGCCGCCGCCGGAAAGGGGGGAAAGCCGCCGTTGGCTGCTGGAAGCAACGCGAATAATAATGGAGGGTGGGATAATTGGGATAACGATGATGGTTTTGGATCTCGCAGCAACGATATCCGGCGCAACCAGTCGACCGGTGATGTTAGGGGGTTCGGTGGTGGCGGAAGCGCCCCGGCGAGGTCGAAGTCGACGGAGGATATATACACGCGGTCGCAATTGGAGGCCTCTGCTGCTGGCAAGGAGAGTTTCTTCGCTCAGAAGATGGCGCAAAATGAATCGCGACCCGAGGGGCTTCCGCCGTCGCAGGGTGGCAAGTATGTTGGGTTCGGATCTAGCCCTGCCCCTGCTCAGAGGAGTAATCCTCAAAACGATTATCTCTCTGTCGTTTCTCAGGTCACATATTGAAGCTTTTTTTTTTGACTTGGAAATGATTTATCGTTGAGACCTGTTCTATGTCGTGTATATATATATATATATATATATTTTTCATGTCTGTTCAGGGAATCGGTAAATTATCTTTGGTTGCTGCCTCTGCTGCTCAGTCTGCTGCTAATGTTGTTCAGGCAGGCACAAAAGAGATCTCTGCTAAGGTAATTTGCATAAATTATGTTCACGCCTTGATTGTTTAGCTGGTTAATAATACAGATTTCGTGTGTTTCTTTTAGGTCCTCTTTGATTTGAATTGAATTCCACTTGGATGCATAGCTTCTATTATATTTTAACTTAGTTTATCTTATACAAGGACAGTAATTTTTCTATTAGTCAACTAAAGAAAAGTAAAATAAATGAATAAGATGAGACAGATTGAATGTTTTTCTACACACATGCGCGCACGCCCTAACACAAATGCATATTATTTTTTTTGGAAATGAAAATGCTATCTTGGCGTGTGAGGTTTGTGAGCGAGAATAAATATTGATACATTATTTCTCTGTCTCCCTTGAATTTTGTCTCTTTTCTGAGGATCTGGAACAATAAGGAACGGAGTGTATACTGATTACCAACTTACTGAGATTTAAATGAGAGCATAAAACAATTTCCAAACTCTTTCACATCGAATTTTTTTTGCAAGTCATTTGCCAATCTAATAAATTGGTAATTGAATTCTATATCTATGCTACTTATTATGGGTAAAAAAGTCCTGTCTTCTTGTTCAGGAACATATTTCTAACATGTTATAAGATATCATATCTTTAAGTCAAGTATATTTCAAATATGGAAATTAAATTGTGTCCCTTCACTACCTTGCAAAAAGACCTATAGCATACTTCTGAATGAAGATATCTTTTTTAAATTTCATATTTATTCTTATATTTAATTTGAAGTGACTCGGGGAAAATGATATTAACCTCAGCCATTGTAGCATGACATGATATTGTTGTTGTGACCCTTCATGCTTTATGGAACCACTTTTACTTATATTTAAGTAGATGTCACCTGTGGGCCTGCTTCATGCAGATGAAAATGGGATGGTTGCACATTTCAGATTCAAATAATTTTAAACTTGCTTGATCCGGCAAAAATAATGAATGGTTGAAAATGAGATGCACATGTGTTTTCATTTTTCACCCTCCATCAAGTACCACATGTTGAAAATAAAACCTTTCCATGTGATCCAGAGGCCACAAGTTCGTAACATGTAATAAGTCTCCTGCATATGCAAAATAAGACCGCCTACTATAAACACACACAATAGGTCTGACCCTTCCCTGGACATTGTGCATAGCGGGATCTTTTTAGCACCAGCCACTAGGTTGCTTTTTTTTTTATTAACTAAAAAACGAGAAGTTCGTCATTACAAATTTACTGCAAATCCCACCACTTTCGCTCACTCCTACTTCTAAGATATTTTTCTTTAAAATTATTTATTTATTTATATTTTGCAGTTTAGAGTCAGTTTATTGTTGCACCGAGTTTTAAATTTGAAAAAAGAAAACTGTCATGCCCTAAGGTAAAGTTGAATTTTCTCTTTCAACCTGCATCAGCCGTGCCTTAAGAGTAAATTGATCAATAATTGGTTTTTGGCAAAAATATCTGATGCCTCCTCCTGCTGCTGCTGCTTCTAATAAGTGTAGTACCGTAGGTGATCTGGTATTGAACTTTGTGGGTGAATGTTGGTGGTGATAACTGAAAGTGCTGACGGTGTTGAAATTTTGGATGTAAGGCGAGTAGAACATTTACTTGTTTGAAGAAGTGTATATGGATTATTCTTGTTTGTGACTGGGTGTCAAATTTACTATAACTGCTTTGCATTATAGCTTCCCGAAATCTAATTTTCTGGGGTTTTTACACTTGCATTTATTATTATTTTTATGTGGGAATGGAGTCATGAAGGTTTGGAGCTTTTAGGCATATCTTTTTAATCCAAGGAATTGATAATCTCATTCTATGGTTTATTTTCTTTCATAGAAAGGTGGAAAAGGCCAGAATTTTATTGCTTCTCATACTTCTCCCAGCAATTTGGTTGCCGGCACTTGGCAGTTATTCTTTGAATGATTAACTATATTTTTTTGTTTCAGGTAAAGGATGGTGGTTATGATCACAAGGTCAATGAAACTGTCAATGTTGTCACTCAGAAGACATCAGAGATTGGACAAAGGACGTGGGGTATGATGAAAGGGGTCATGGCATTGGCTTCACAGAAGGTTGAGGAGCTCACTAGAGATGACCCAAATTGGAAGTCTGGTAACTGGCAACGAAATGAAAATGATAGAGATGGTTTTTATCAGGAATTCAATCAAGAGAATAAAGGCTGGAATTCTTCTACCAGAGGAGGACAACCTTCATCAGGTGGACATACCAATACTTACAACTCAAGCTCTTGGGATGATTGGGACCACCAAGATTCTAGGAAGAAAGAACCAGCTAAAGGATCAGCTCCTCAGTCATCAGGGAACTTCGATACTAGTAACCCAAGTTCTTGGGATGATTGGGATCACAAGGATGCAAGGAAGGAAGAACCAGCTAAAGGATCAGCTCCCCATAACAGTGATAGTTGGGCTGGCTGGGATAATGCTAAAGATGATGGATTTGATAATTTCTACGGGAGTGCTTCTGATAATAAAGCTGTTGGTCATAATGGGAAGTCAGATGCTGCCTGGACAGGAGGAGGATTTCTCTAAGGTTTGTAAATTATGCAATACTCCTGTGGAGACTCAAGGGGGAAACTGAACTTAGATAAAAGAATAGAACTAATGAAAATTTTCACATTTCATTTGAATGGCTTAAACTTGGTATTATTTTTAGCCTAGTACTGTCTTTTACTTGAACAAATTCTTGACACAGACTGATAATCTTCTTTCTGTGCCATAAGAAACAATTAGATCCCACTTCAACCTTTTCTAAATGGCTCAGACTCCGGTTTTGGACAATCTCCTTACATGGCCATACATCAATCATTTTCCTTTTTAATATTAACCTGCATAACCACTTTTAGGCATGTGACACTTCTTAATAGGGAGAATTAAGTTTGGATGGTATATTCTAGAAGGAATAAATAGTAGGTGGTTAGTTAGTTAGCTACAACTTACAAATGGTTACATTAAAAATTCTAAAGGAAGTCATCTTGAGACATAACAGAAACCGAGCCATTCTTAATGGTGAAATGGGACATGCCTTGTAAGAGGATCCTATTCGTCTCTTCATCCTCAAGAATGATTCCATGCTTTGAATCCACCTTCTGAGCAGTTGCTTAATCCCGTAAATCCCTTCTAAACTTTTCTTGATCTGTGAGAGTTGAGACCCATGTTCGCTGGCCACCTTGTTCAGAATTTTCACCGAGTGCCTCTGACACTTCCACTTGCAATTCCATCTCCCCCAATCTTGATTCAATTTGTTGGACTAAATTGTTATGAATCCAGAAACCGGTTCTGAATTTTCAGAGAGGAGAGAAGAAGGGAGAAAGGAAAGGGAGAAGAATACTTTGATGGTGTTTATTGAATTACCATCAAAGAACCTAAGGAGAGAGTTCTCTTTCCAAGGGTTTTTTCTTCACAAAGGGTTGCCCCTTTCACAAGAGAGATTTTGCTTAGTTCTCAAATCTAAATTCCTAAATGCCTCCCTCGTACTTTCATCCCGCTATTTAAGCATGAATCCTGGTGCCTAAATACCTAGTCCCTTGATAGATTCTAATTGTAACTAACTAATCAGACATCCAACCAGCTCATTAACTTCGACAGTCTGACCCTGTTCCCATTTATTCTTCTGGGTCCTCTCAGATTGGAAATCATTATGTTTGGTTTTATTATGTATTGTTATTTTGATATTTAATGTCTATTTTGTTCTAGCTCTGATTTTGAGTACACACCTTTGAACTATATTGTGACTTGTTATTCTTCTTGAACCAGGTTTGATCCTATCTTTATTATCATGTCAAAATTTTGTGTAAGTGACAAAAATATGGTACCTTTCGGACTAGTGGCATGCGGGTCAAGCAGGGGTGTCATTTAACATGATGGACGGGACCAGACTCTCAACTATAAGTTTGCTGGTCCCTGATAAAATCAGCCTCCACAAGAGCAGGAAGAATGATTTTTTGAGGTTAGTTTATTGTCAGCAAGTCTTTATTTTTCATCGTTCTCCCCTCCTCCCTTTCCTTATGTAATTTTTTTTTTTCTCTGTAATTTTTTGGGAACTTCTGTATGGTTGGCAAGGAAGTTTTACATGTACTAGTGTCCAAAGAAAGGGCCAATTGCCCAAATTTAAGATAACTTCTACCTGGAAGTGTGATGGAACGTTATTGTGACATGAAAATTTCATAATTGTCTTTGAATTTGCAGCTGCTTAATTTGCCGTGTTCTTGTTGTACTTGGTCCATATTCTTGAATTGTTATTTTCCCATATAAGTTGTCATTATCCTGTGTCAAAAAATCACTATTATGAGGAGCAAGTTTCAATATCGTGCCATCAGTGTAAATCGTAGTCCCATTAAGAATGGCGTAATACTGCCAACACACCAGATAGCTTTTTCTTTTTGGAAAAATAAAGAGGCCAAGATAAAGATTTGATCTGCTGGCTAATGACATTGAACTACATAAAAATAGATAATACTTTTTTTTTTTAAACTCACGGATTTCACATATGCTTGCTAAATTGCTGCATTGTCAGATACCTACTCGTGTTTGCGATGTCGGAGTTTCTTTTTATGGGTGTACAACAATGCATCACTTGAATATTTCCAAACATAAGGTCTTAGATTCATGAAGAAACAAAATACAGTACCTGAGAAGGTTTATTTTGTATATTATTGATATCATTTATGCGGGTGATTGCTTATACATATTTAATATCATTTTAAACGGATGTTTGGATTTCTGAGATAGCATCGCCATCGTTAATCACAGTACTCTTGGTTCTTGCTGTCTTTTTTTAGAGAAGTTCTGTTTGAATTTATCGAATCATGGTCTTGAATAACGAGCAATGAACTCGTAATGCCCTGACCTGAAGAAGTTAAGAGATCTCCAATGGACCCAAGCTCAGCATGCGCGGGACTAGAATCATTTATGTTTTGTCACCATGGTTGACTCAGAAACTGTTGTCCCTTTCCCGCAATTACTAAATAGGTCGTACTCCTTGGCATTCCCGATTGTTAACACCATCTTTGTTATGTCGCTTGAATCCTTTTCAATGTATTCCATTAATCCAACTCTTGCTCATGACAATGAAAAGAATGCTCACCCTCTGCTCTGCAGCAGCACTGGTCTCGGTTCCTTGTTTAAACCCTCTACCAACCCCACGGTTTACAAGCACTGCAACGGAGACGTTGAATGCCTCTGATTGACTTCCCTCCAGCCCTTCCCTATGTTTTCTATTGCCTTTTCATCTTCCCTCTTCACCTTTTGTGGAAAGGCAATATGATAACTGCCACACCCTTCTTCTGAAACATGGCATATGTCCTCGTGCATTGTAGATGATGATAATGAGATGGATGTCTATTGATGCAAAGTAACTTGACCTACTTGACCATAAGCTTGGAATGATGTGGCAGTTTGGTCATGCGGTGCTCCTCTTTGGAATCGGTTGAAGGGAAATTCGTTCTCTTGGCTGCGTTGAACTATTAATATTGAGGATGAGCTATCAGCTAGTTGCACCAGCTATAGTTTAAGGTGAGACTTGTTGGTGGCATGAACTGATTGAATGAAGTTGATTTAGGGAGGTGAGGGTACGTTGCCTGTTCCATGGAAGCAAGCAAGAATGCGAAGCTTCCATTGCAAGTCTGTCAGCGGTCTAGAAGGGAAACTTGAATGAATGACAAGTATAGAGTGATACACACGTTGAAGCCAAAGTTGCTTCTTTAAATACACACACAACCACCCGTTCCTTCATAATTCATAAATTGCCAAAACATCTTTATACACACACACACACTCGATTCCTCTCTTCCGCGTTACTTCCCCTTCATAAAAAAAAAACAGAGTCTCTCGTCCGACTTATTAGCTCCCAACCAAAAACCGCGTACGTTGTCACACTCAGGGCAATCATGCCGATGAACATAACCTCAATTCAAACGTCCTCCAATGAAGTATGGCAAGGAGAATCCATTGGACTACGTCTTTCCATTTCTAATAGTTCAAATCACCTTTGTCCTCCTCGTCAAATCATCTTGTCGACAATTTCAGCAATGACTTTGGGGGTTCGGAGAGGTTTGAAGCGGAAAGGGCGGAAGCGAGTACAAGGACCAAGGTGATTTGAACTATTAGGAAGGCAAAAAAATTAATTTATTACTTTTTTAATAAAAAATTACGAATAAGTTGTCGTTTTGCAAAAAATTACGAATCTATAGCACCCAAACACGCCCACATGGGGCGTGTTCTGATGGAGAGAGACACGCCCTACGTAGGGCGTGTGTGGTCACGCCTAAGATAAGGCGTGTTCAGTGGGTTGACACGCCCAAATATGGGCGTGAGTGACTAAACTGACTGCTATTTAAACACCCACTCCCCTACACACTCTTCACAATTCTGTCATTGTTATGCTAAACTCTCTGATAGTTTGCACTTGTTTACTCATATTTTGTTTTATCTTTTAAAATTTTGTTTTTAAAAATGAGTGCGAATTCTGATACTATTCGTGTCGTTCTATATTTTAACGGTAGGAAAGAAGAAGGTCGTCGTGGTGTTATTTTTGTAGGGGAGAAAAGGCCATCACGTATTAAATGAAACTCAACGGTTGCTGAGCTGCATCAGAAAATACGTCAAAAATTATGTCTTCAAGACAACCAATTGATCACTCTTGTCACGGCAAGGTTATGGCAACGTGTTCAATACATTAGCTTGCAAGTGGTCGATGACGAAGACATCGATATGGTAATGGAAGAGTTCTTGAACCAGTGTAGAAAGGATTTCTTAGAGTTGTATGTGGATACTACAACCACGGAGGAAGTTGTCATACCAATGAGGTCAGTTAGGTCTACTTCTCCTCTTAATGCATCATCATCTGTTGTTCCTGTTGTTCCTGCTGTTCCTGTTGTTAACATGTCTGAGGAAGATGAACATGACCCTACTTGGGTTATGGATGATGAGTATGACGAAGATGATGAGGAAAATATTGCAATAGAGGATCGTCTTCTTTTAAAGGATGCGAGTGCATCGGACAATGACGAAGAATGTGGCAGGTCTGGTACTGAACTTCAACCAGTGCATGATTTGGGGGAGTCTCGTATCGTTGTACATCATGGCACAACATCGAGTCAAGTACCAGAACATCCTGAAGGTATGCTATCAATTAATATACTGACAGTTTGGTTGTTGCAATTTTTGATTAAGAAAATAATTCAATTCTATTATTATTATTACGTAGTACATGTAGGCGATGCACCTGTTGATCCTTTTTGGTCAGAAATTCCACATTACACATATATTGATTGGGATTATCCGAGTGAGGCACAATCATGGACGCAGAGTTCGGGTTCAATCCAGGGTCCTTGGCAATTGGGAGAAAAGTTGTTTGTTAACCAACAATTTACATCCAAAAAAGAGGCTCAGATGGCAATCAAGCGCTACCTCATGAAGGAGCATCAAGAAGCAATTGTGGTTGAGAGCACTCCCACAAAATTAAGCATGAAATGTTGTGCACACGTCCAAGGTTGCCCGTGGAGGGTCAGGGTAATTAAACCAACGTATGGTGAAAATTGGAAGGTGACGAAATGGGGTGGGAAGCACAATTGCTTGAATGACCATATTTCTCAAGATCATCGACAACTTGATTCTGACGTTATTGCAACACTTGTAGTAGGTACGTAATTTCAAATTAAAAAGCTGATTAAAATTGCAGTTGATATACCTGTTGTTCTGTTAATGTTTATATCCAGCTTTTGTGATTCAGAGATGATAAAAAAGGAACCTTCAGTGGCCATTTCGCTCGTTCAGGAGAGGATAACGCATTCATATGGATTCAAAGTTTCATTTCGAAAGGCATGGTATGCGAAGCAGAAAGCAATGTCAATGTTATATGGTGATTGGGAGGAGTCCTATGCATTTTTACCCAACTGGTGTGAATATATGCTTCGTTTTTCACCAGGTTCCTTTTACAATATTCAAACAAAGGATTGTTTTGTTGAGGGGCAGTTGGTTACCGGAAAACGTGTATTTGTTCGTTGTTTCTGGACTTTCAGACAATGTTGCGAGGCATTTAAATTTTGCAAACCAATGATACAAATTGATGGCACTCATCTATACGGGAAATATAAGGGAAAGTTATTGATTGCCACAGCTCAAGATGGTAATAATGAATGTGTGCCACTTGCATTTGCCGTTGTTGAGGGTGAGACATTGGAGGCTTGGTCATACTTCCTTGCCAATCTTCGTCAGCACGTCACTCAAGCGGATAATATATGTCTAATTTCAGACCGGCATGTTAGCATATTATCGGCTGTTGAAAATAATCCCATATGGCAGCCACCCTAACAATTATTTTTCTAAGTCGCTAATATTTTTCTAACTCCCTAACAATTATCTAAGTCACTATTAACTATCATATATTAATTGCTGTTAATAAAAAAAATAAACAATAAATAGGGACTTACATAAGAGAGAGACAGAGCTTCGCTGCGCAAAACCCTCCAAAAGAAATTTAGAGAGGAGGAGGAGGAGGAGGTTTAGAGAGAGGATGGGAGGGTGGAAATGAGTTAAAAAAGTGAAAAACGGATTTATATACACCGCGGATAACACGCCCTATCGTGGGCGTGTCTCTCTCCTGGAACACGCCCTTCCTTGGCCGTGTTTGCTTCATAAGCTCACGCCTTACCCTAGGCGTATCTCTCTCCTGCCACACACGCCCTACCTTGGGCGTGTTTCTTTCACAAGCTCACGCCCCACATGGGCGTGTCTCTCTCCATCAGAACACGCCCTATGTGGGCGTGTTTGGGTGCTATAGATTCGTAATTTTTTGCAAAACGACAACTTATTCGTAATTTTTTATTAAAAAAGTAATAAATTAATTTGTTTGCTCTATTAGGAATGGAAAGACGTTGAGTTCAACTTATATTCTTCGCAACCCAATAACATCTTGTTGAGTTCGTCAAGATTAATTTCATAAGAGAAGAGAAGAGAGATGGGGCAAAGAATGAGTTTCTAGAGTTTCGTGCCCACAATTAGTAAGTAAGCCAAAGATCAACTGTTATCACGCTTCCTTTCACATGTTTTTCTTTGAATGAATTCCAACCGAGTTCCCAAGGCTTTTTGCATTATTGACACTCAATCTCCTTACACTATTTCCCAGCACTTCTGGTATAAGATAGGCTTAAGTCAACGCCACTCATTGGTGGGGAGCTGGACTGAGGTCTCCCTA